GCAAAAGTCTATTTCCTGGTACTTTTTATCTACCCCAAATACTAAGAACGATATAGATAGACAAGCTACATAACACCTAGCAGTTTATCAAACTACATGTACTTCTTCTCGCTCCTCCTTGAGCGTCTCCTGTCTTTAGTAACCAGACTAGTTCTGTATACCAAGGGACCTCAAGAAGTACATGTAGTTTTCAAAATTGGCTGTCGTCTCGGCATTCGTGGTATCGGGCAGATCCCGCCCTATTGTTGTTGCCGGGAGGCTTGTGGAGTATTTTAGTCTGCTTGTATTATGTACATATAGTAGAATACAAAACATACATGTACGTACATATACTCTCGCATATATATATGCAACGACAAGAGAACAATTAAATGTAGGTATCCTATTGTTTTAATTTCGACTCAAGATCTTTATGTATGCAGGCCTTCGCGCATGGGGCTCGCTTAGACTAGGCTTCTAGAAGACAGCTCTTACCAGGGGCTTCACATCCCGGGAATTAAATACATGTACCCATGAAAATGAAGTCGGTGAAGATGCCGCACCGGGTTGCACACCTTCAATCATGCTAGGATCTTTTAATTGGGGAGGGGTTGATGAAGTTTGCTCATCTTGTAGCTCACCTTTTATACATAAGAGTATATATAAGAACTTCTTTCCGCAACGTTGTTGGGCACATTTGTCGTCAAGGGATTTGTCACGCATTAGTCAGCACAGAATGTGTAAAAGTGGACAATCCCTTGTAAAGGTGTCCGCAGCGGTATGACCTTATAACTAGCTTGCTATCTTCCTGTTCATCACATATCATCATCCTGTTTGTTCTCGGTTTTTTTTCTTAATTAAAAGTTTTATTCATTCTACGTATTTTCGTCTTGAATCGTCGTTGAGAAGAAAATAGAAACAGAGAGTGAACACAACAGCCAGCCAACAACGTTCATGCAACGCGTACCCACACAATCACAACTTATCACTCAATTAACCACTCAATAACAACAATGCACTTTCTTCTAAGAACGTACGAAGTACAACAACCAGAATTCGATTTCGATGATGGACCACACAAGCGATAAACCCTTAGCATCTCGCTTATGGCGGCGTCCTCTCATTCGAAAAGTCGGTAACTCCAGTGTCGCTACTCGCGATTCGATGCTCGGCTGGATGGTCAAAAAAATGGAAGCCCCGCCCCGTTTTATCTTCACATATATAAAAAAAGGTTAGGGCCTGGATTACGTATGGCGGGGGACACCTTGAGACGGAGTGGTTTCGGGAGTCAACCTCAACCGCTAATGACTTTCTCCTAATTTATTTTTCTCTCTGTTATTCGATAGTTCTGCTTCTTCTCTACAACGTGACAAGCCAGATTAATTCTATCTTTCGTTGTGGTGGTGCTATGAATATTCTAAAAGCTGGGTTTTTGGTGGGGGACCCAACCAATGTCGCGCCCATAATTACCTATTTGGGACAGGTAAATTACCCGATTAGGAAGATCTACATCTAGATACGGCCTTTGAGAGCGCCCAGAGGCTGATTTTGGCGAATTACAGCGGGGGGGAAAATTATTGTAGAAGTATGGGAAGAGTCCCATTGGCCGAGTCAGCCACTTAAACCCTGTTTTTAGACCCCTGTTTCTACAATAATTTCCCCCCCCCCGCTGTATTATTGGTAAATTGATTAAATAATTACCCGATTGGGAATTGATCATCAGAAACCAATGTCGCGAACCTCCGTCTCAAGGTGTCCCCCGCCATATATAGAAATTACTGAATCCATTATACATGAATCATTCAAACATGAACGTTCTCCTTTCCCTTGGCAGAATATACCTACAGCAACACGTGTTCATCCCCAACCACGAACTTTACGAGAGGCTTTGATAGTAGTAGTTACTCTACTGCCAATAAAGCTACGCTATACATAAAACTTGGAGAAGATCTCAGGTTCGGTGTTCTTCGTCCAGAATAAATTTTGTGATTTTATTTACTCTAAAGGTTTCCGATTGATCTTGATCGACATGCCAAGAAGGGAAAGTGCATAAGCTTTTGAGAGGTGTTGGCACACATGTTGATCGGCAAAAATAAATAACAGCTCAAATGTCGGAGCCCGTCCCGCATTTGAAACCAGAGTCTGATGGGATTGTGCATTAGATACACTCAACGATAAAGGAGTGGACTTGGGTGCCTTCCTGCAACGTACCAGAATGTCCTGCTTACCCACATCCCACTTTTGCCTTTAGAGCTGGAATTCTCTTTCCATCCCTTCTCCTTTCAGGTGTGCTCTTTCTCTTCTACCATTCACTCGTTTGCATCTTGCCTATCTTGTTCCGAGGGTCCAAGAACCTGTCTCTAATCTCTAAATTCTATCACTTTTGTTTTCGAAAGACATTTTATTCATTTATCCATTTATTCATCCAACCATTCGATCTAGTGCCCTGATCACGCCCTGCTCACCATGGGTGCCAACGACGACGATGATAGAGCAACCGAGCTGCCCACGACAAATCTTGACGTGCCTGTAGCAGCGACACCTCGTAGTAAAATTCCTTCGGCTGTCTATGTAATGTGAGTTTATCTAGCAAGGCCTGTAGCAAATATCTAACAGCTGACTTGCGACAGTGTATGGATCTCTTTGAGTTCGGCTGTCATTCTATTCAATAAATGGATCCTAGATCCAAAAACCACCAATTTCCGTAAGATCAACCAAATCCTTGGTACTACTTGAGGGAATCCCTATTAACTAAATGCGATTTTTAGGATTTCGTGCGGCCCCCCCGTTGTAGCCCCAGCCATCTAATCGCGTGTAAACTGACTGGCCAAAAATAGCTATTTTTCTTACGACATGGCATCTGTTATTCTCATCAATCGCAACGCAAATCCTGGCGAGGACAAGCACTCTTCTTGATGGGCGCAAAACGGTCAAGATGACTGGCAAAGTCTACCTCAGGGCCATCGTCCCAATCGGATTGTTTTTCAGCTTAAGTCTGATCTGTAGTAACAAGGCGTATCTTTATCTAAGCGTATCATTCATTCAGATGTTAAAGGTAGCCAGCCTAGACTTTATCTACAACTTTTTAGTGCGAATTAAGCTAAACAAAAGCTAGGCAACAACCCCCGTCGCAGTTCTTCTCACTAGTTGGAGCTTAGCAGTAGAAAGGCCAAATCTCAAAACCCTACGGAATGTCTCGTTCATTGTCATTGGTGTTATGATTGCCTCATACGGAGAGATCCTCTTCGTCCCTACTGGTGTTGTTTACCAAGTTTTTGGCATCGCCTTCGAAGCCGTCAGGCTTGTGATGGTTGAACGTCTGCTATCCTCGGCGGAATACAAGATGGATCCCCTAGTATCATTATACTACTTCGCACCCGTTTGCGCCTTCATGAATTTCTTGATGTTTCTGATCTTCGAGAGCTCCACGCTGGCTATGTCCGATCTTGCCCGTGTTGGCCTAATAATGTTCTTCTTTAATGCCTTGGTCGCATTCTGTTTGAACGTCTCCGTGGTGTTTTTGGTAAAATTCGCCCCTAGCTTTTCATTTTTTACGTACTAATTAGGATTAGATCGGGAAAACCTCCTCTCTTGTGCTCACACTCTGCGGTGTCCTAAAAGACATTCTTCTCGTATGTGCCTCTGTTCTTATTTGGGGAACCCCAGTCACAGCCATACAATTGGTCGGTTACAGCATTGCTTTGAGTGGCCTTGTGTACTTCAAATTAGGAGGGGAGAAGATCCGTGAGCAATTTGCGCAGCTGCGTGGGATGAGCTCTAGAAGCTCGACGTCACGGAAGATCCTCGCTGGTGTAGGCATTGCTTTTGTATTGTTGATGGTTGGGAGGCTGTATAGCGGGGCGTCCGGCTCTACAAGTGAAGTCGACATGATCGGAGACAAGACAGTCCACGGTTCAATGCCCGCTTATACGGATAATAAAGGCTCCAGCACTGCGCCGACACCAAAGAACAAACTTGATATTGTCATCAGCATGTATAAGGAGGACCAAACAAAAATGGCAGAACAGCTCAGAGAACTCAAAGGCCTCACGTCGCTCAAAGGCCTCGACCCTAAGGTCATTATTTATGTCAAGGATCAGGAGGCAGATGTGGAATCCATTAAAAAGACTGTCGGGGCAGATGTCGTAAAGATTATTCCAAACAGGGGCCGCGAGGGTGGAACATACCTCCATCACATTGTGAACGAATGGGACAATTTTGCGGCACATACAATGTTTCTCCAAGGCGACATGCACAAATTCCAGAAGTTCAAAGACCGGATTTCCGATTATTTTGTTCCAAAAACTGGAGTACTATCCCTTGGTTTTGGTCAAAGCACTTGTGAATGCAACAACTGTAAAGATTCGTGGGGCGGCGAGGATACCTGGTTCCGAGTTCCTGAAGTTTGGTCTGCAGTTCATGGCGAACTGTGTCCTAATTCTGGAATTCTGATATCATATGGCGGGCAAATGATCGTTTCAGCGAGCCGTATGCGATCTTCTCGCAAGCAAGTCTATGAGCATATTAAGGGGATTTTGGAAAGTGATGAGGATCATTGGATCCATGCAGACTCGAAGGCCGATAGTTTCGTTGATAAACCCGACAACCCGTTTTTTGGGCATACATTGGAGAGAAGTTGGATGACCCTCTTTCATTGTTCTGACCCTAAATTGGCGGTTACATGCCCTTCGCTCGACACAAGGAGAGGAGAGAATGACTCGGATGGAACGTGTCAGTGCCTTGATTAAACCTAAGGCTCTGAGAATAGGCAGGATATGGCGTCTAGGTTTATTATTTATGATTGCATGTTTTTCGAGGAAAGTTGTATTAGTCAAACTCATGACCAATCTGGTCCAATTGTACGTGTAAATATGGTAGACATCCTTTCTTAGTTGATTTAGAGTAGGTCAAGACATGGAATAGCAGGCTATGTATGTTCCATATAATCATGGTTTGGTACTAGTTATGTATCCATAAGGCAGATATTATTTCTAGGTCATACTATAGATTACAATAGATAATCAATTCTTGAAATCGCCCTTGGTCTCCCATTCAAGGTCCTCATAATATGGCGCAAAATTTAACCACCCCATTTCCGGTGATCCCATCTCAAACTTCGTAAACTCTCTCTCTGTACCGCCGATAATCTTGACCCTCGACTCTTCTGGTATCTTCCCTGTTTGGTTTCTCCCCACCGCGCTATCAAAGAGCAACTGTGCCCGACAGCACATTTCAAAATTCAAAAACCACCAAGCTGCCTCGTCGATACTTGATTGACCAAAGGCCAATGCCCCGTGATTCTCCAAAACTGCAATCTTCTTCAATCCCTCATTCTCACCACCAAGGAGCTTGGAAATCCGAACTCCCTCATCTCGGCCCTGAATCAACCCGCCAAAGGGAACAAGGACATGTGAGTTATGGAAGACGCAGCTGTCCTGATTTATCATGTCAAGCTGACGGCCAAGAGCACTGAAAGCCTTGGAGTATGGGCCATGGACATGCACTATCCCTATGAGTGAGGGATTTGCTTCGTGTAAAGCTGAATGAAGCGACGTCGCAGACGCATCTCTAAGGCCAAAGGATAGTTTAATACGTATGTTTTTGGCTCAAAAACTCATTCGAACGCAGTATAAACTCACACAGCACGGTCTCCCTCCACAACCTCACCCGCATGATTAACAAGCATCAAGTCCGAAGCTTTCATGCGTGAAAACGATTTGGTCCATGGGTTTACCCTTATATCCACTCATTAATTTCCAGCATTAAAGAATAACTAGCACAGTAGCAACGCCTAGGATGTCATTCTACTTACCAAAAACAATCTGGCTTCACAGCGTCCCTCACGCTACAATGCCCTGCAATGCCTTCCCCATGTCCATGTTTGCCCAGAACTCTAAAAACGGCTGCTAGGTGTTCTTTCCTGTATATACTTTCCTCGGCCGGGTTTTCAAAGCTCGGCAGGACCGGACGTGTGCGGCCTGATGCAAGTTTATAAAACGGGGAGGTGGTGATGTCTGTGGTTGTGGGGAACGAATAGCCTTGGGAATCAACTCCGCCTTTGAAGGAAGACATTGCACGTAGGAAAGTTCGGGTGCGGAGCATCATCTCGTAGGGAGCCTAAGCATATAGCTGTATGTAACGTATCTACGATAATGTAGAAGGTACCGCTAGGAGTGGAGACTGCGACGTGATTTGACTCACACGATATTCGATCGGCACCTGTGAAAGATACCTAGTATCTGACCTGGTCCATAAGCAATAAATAAAGCCTTAATACCTGCATGTGCTATATATATCTTTGATCTTGTTGTAGGTGGTTGGTTGGGTTAGGGTTGGCCATCATTATCTTCATTTGAAAAAGAATTGTATCATATGAGGTGGTGTGTGAAATATTCCGTTGCGGGGAATTGAACCCCGATCTAGTCGGTGAGAGCGACTGATGCTAACCATTACACCACAACGGATTAAGTGAAGAAAATTACTTTACTATAGTATTGATTTAATATATAGCCCAAGCTTGGGTGGAGTCCCTATGTATGTAACTCTATTACGTATTTACATAGATTCATGTACTACATGTAATTGATTACTGAAAGTGTAATTCAATTGTAGCTCAAATGCGAACTCACTACAGTCGGACTCTATGTTGTATGTGTTTTGGCATCTAACTATATAAGGTTAGTCTCTCACTGAAACCCCAGGATCAGATCTTCTCAGCTGCGTTATCTTTTTTTTTTTTGTGGCGGAGGAGCTCAGGAAACATTGACTGCATGGGGAAGATTAAGTTGCACAGGGAAAAGTGATTGTAATCGCGATATCTCACTCGTGCATTACATAATGAATTTCTTTTCGCTAAGGTCCTGGACAGATTTTACATGTGCTACATTGTAATGAGAACGAATGAATCCATTAAATTTCCCAATATCGGCAGGAGAATACTTGTTCCAAGAGATATGTATATTGGCCTACTAAGGTTACATTGCCATGATGGAGGTACTGTCTATATACTCTCAAGCTATGTAAATTTAAGTACTGCATGTACTACATGTACTTTGTACGTTTTATATGAATGCTAGTAATGGACAGCTAAACGGCTCAAAATGATTAGATAAATGTAAGTAAGCACCGGCCATGGGTTTTTAATTAAATAACTACAGTTGGGCCACACTCTCGAGCTCCTATGTGCATAGGATTCCAACTCGAGTACTTGTACGAGTCGATTACATAGAGACAGACATTTACAACTTTCTCTAAAATAATAAAAGTTGGGACGTTGAAGAAGGATAAGCATGATGGCTTATGGTGGAGGGGCGTTCTCATCCTTTGGCATTCAATTTATGAATGAGAGATAGTATCATTCTACCCCGGATCCACCTATATAAAAAGTATGTATAAAGTTGACAAAGTACCACAATATAAAGTGGCCTGGGCCGTTTTCTTCAATGGCACAGCGCCTAGCTTACCTAGATTATTTTTCTATAGATCATCAGCCTAATATCAACTTATTCATCCTGAAGAGGCTGCACGCAATAAATGACGCCGGCACGCAACCGCAGAAGGCGGCATTGTCGTGTGCCTCAGAATGGGAGAATTATCTACATTAGCTAGCTATGTAGAATAGCGATAGATTCGCCACTAGGAATATTGTGATGTACAGGACAGGTTTGGTTGCCCAAGGTCCCTCTGATAGACTTTACAGCCGAATAAACTATCATGTGAATGGTATATCAGACCTGAACATAGAAAGGATCAGTGAACCATATACTCATAAAGCGGTTCAAAGGTCATCTCGCACATCGACTGGACCGGTAGATCAGGATATTGGCTGCTTTTTCTCAGTACCGTAGAGATTTGCGCCGTCATGTGATTAAGAGTTGGTAATGTCTTTATGTGTCGAGGTTTGGGGGATCTCGCGTCCCTATTACACGCGATAGGTTTCAATCACGATATATCACTCACATTAAGATGGAATCTGATACGGTCCAGCATCAGAACTTATTGAGTAAAGGTACTGTAAATTGGCGAGAATAATATTGTTAAGAATAGTGGTATTTGTTACCTGGGAATATGAGACACTCCAAGTATACTTTCTGGCATTTCTCTTTACTAGAGCGCTAACTATTAATTCCGCAAATAAGTATATTTGAGACCCCCACTAGAATATCCTACAAAAAAAGATACCGACTCATACGGCATAAGTAACTCTGGAATACATCGACTCGTGGCGTAATCGTATTCCACTATATGTACCCGGTTATATCTCATGTTTCGACTACCCCCATGTTTGCGGGTCGTAGTGATAAGAGCAAACGTACAAAGAAACCTGGATCCAAGATGAGGGTCAATTTAAGAGGAATCATAATGACCCGAGATCTTCCCAAATCATGGTGTGTGAAGAATTATGCCTCATACTATAAGATGTCTTTCCCCCCCAACTGCGAGACCCGGCAAACATCAACCCGACTGGCTTTGGGAGCCTATGAGAGCCTCGAGTATAGATATAAAGAATCATATGACTATTCTCATATAGATGAGTAGTCTGGAATCTTGGTATATACCAGGAAATAGGGCGCGCAGTCACTTAGACACAACTGCACAGATACCCAGGCGTATGTTTTTCCCTTTCGTTCCGAGTTTGCTCTAAGCATATCTGGAGCGAAAAAGAAAAAGAAAAAAAAGACATATGAATGTTGTCTAGTGACCTCATGGTAGGTCTATGGCTAGAATATTATGTTTCTATCCTCGTCATTAGGTCGAATTGCGGGCGCCGGAGGAGTCGTCGGGACAGCTCCGGAGGCCTTAGCGGGATCCCCACAACCATGCCCAACAGCGGTCCGGCAATTGTCCCTGAAAAACGTTCAAAGATGGGCCCCTGTGGCTACACCATCTATGTCGTAAGCGAACCAAGCGAACAGATTGTAGCTTTCCCGCCCCCTTCTGGCTTGCCCCAGACTTCTAGGCTGGATTATCCTACCCCGCTTCGCTACGATCCTAGTTTTTCTCGGGGGCAAAATGTGGAGAAAGGAGTGCTTCAAAAGAGCTCATCCATGTCTAATACCGAATCGGTAAATCATTTGTTGCGGTTGAGGAGCGTGGGAATTAGTAGCTAAATATCCATATATTGTGTTGCGCCTGCTCTCTCAATTTTCACTTTCGTTCCCAGGCAGTCACTGCGGTCGCCCCAGATTTGAGAAGGATAATATAATAGACGTTCAGCATGGCAACCCAGCAGCACCATGTCACTGACTCGGCAAACGTTAGGCCTTTATCGGCCAGCGTTGTTGAGAGTATCGATGTTGCCGACAAAACACTTCAGCAAGTTCCCCAGGAAGAACATGGGAAGAAGGCGGAGTACACATTCTGGACAGCTTGGATGTATATTTTTGACTGGTATCCATCTCACTATCCGCCGGAAGAACGTAAGCTCTTGAGAAAGCTTGATGCGTGCATGTTGACATTTTGTTCGCTGTTGTGTAAGTAACTCAGTTGTAGAGAGGGATGGTTACAGCTTACTGATCCGATGGCTAGTCTTTTTGAAATATCTTGATTCGTCAAATATTATTAATGCGTACAACTCGGGTATGAAAGAAGACCTCAATCTTAAGGCAAACGAGTAAGTAAAATCAAACCAGAAAACAAATATCAAGTTGTAGTGGTTATTAATATTGAATTGTAGATACTCATTCTTCCATACATTTTATACCATGGGTTATTTGATCTTCCAAGTCCCGGCGTTGATGATACTTTCTCGGCCAAAGATCTCACGTTGGTTTGTGCCCTCATGTGAGCTTGCATGGGGTGTTGTTACTGTAGGTCTATGAGCGGAAAGTAAAACTCTTCAAGTCCTCATCTAACAGGTTGTAGTTTTGTCAAAGCCGTGTAAACACCGCTCCTCACATCTATGGGACTCGATTTCTGCTCGGGGCCCTTGAAAGCCCTTCATTTTCTGGAACCAACTTTATCCTTGGGTAATTTGACTGGTTCCAGAGGCCAATGTCTATGACTAACTCTGTTACCCATCTAGATCATGGTACCGCAGTGATGAGCTTTTCAAACGTGCTGGTGTCTGGTATGTCTCAAACAACCTAGGTCAAATGTTCTCCGGATTCCTCCAGGGGGCAGCATATAAAAATTTGGCCGGAGTTGGAGGAATGCCCGGATGGAGATGGTAGGTTAATCAAAACCCAATTCGAGAGCAGGGATTAAGTGCTGATATTCATGCATGTATAGGCTATTTATCATTGACGGGATCATTACGGTCCCCATTGCCATCGCTGGATATTGGTTATACCCCGGTCTTCCGACTTCCGGAAAGCCTTGGTTCTTTACCCCACGGGAGTACGAGATCGCTATCAGCCGTATGGAGAGAGAGGGCGTTGCTGCCAGTGGAAAGATTAACAAGAGGATGATCAAGAGAATACTTTCGAAATGGCACTTTTGGCTGGTGGTCCCTGCATACATCTTGTAAGCCCTATTATCCCGTTCCAATCCTATCAATAGCCTAGCTGACGGTAAATTCTTTCTAGCTTCTTGAGCTCCTCGTACCCGAATGGCCAGATGGGCCTTTGGCTTAAGGATATGACTAACAAGCACGGAACCTACACGGTTCCTCAAATCAACTACATTCCAACTGGTGCCGCAGCTGTTTCGGTTGTGTCTGCAATTATTTGCAGTTCTTTGTGCTTGCTCTATCCGATATGGGCTGTCTTTAGTGTGGTCCAGGGAATCACACTGTTTGGATTGATCTCACTTCTTGTCTGGGATATTCCGTATGACCACAAGTGTACGACCCTAATTCGCTTCTGAAACAATTTAACGAATTTGATACTGACTAAGTCCAGTTGTTTCTTATTACCTCCTCGGATTCACCGCGGCAGTCAGTCCAATTCTCTTCTCATGGGTCAACGTAATTTTGAAAGATGACGCAGAAGCACGTGCCTTTACGATAGGGTGCATGATGACTCTAGCATGGGCAATCTATGCCTGGATCCCACTAGTAGCGTTTCCCGCTGTGGACGCACCAAAATGGCGAACGGGATATATCCTGGCGGTTGTGTTTTCACTATTGACCTGGGCCTTGATGATGCTGGGTCAATGGCTCCACCGACGTGAGCAGCGGATGGTAGCTCGGCAACATATCGCTGATGACGAGAAGCCCAATGTGGAGTATCAGGAGGATAGAATGACTAAAAAGATCTGATATGCCCGGTGCGGGTTATTTATGAAATTTTGTTTTTGACAATGAAGGTAGTTTGGTTTTTGTTTATACTCAATATAAAAGCAAAGGAATTGATGTAAAATAAGCTTTGGGGTGCACCTTTTCGATATGTCAATCAATGCACGTGACGCTGGTTTATGTGACAGAAGATTGAGCGTGAGAGGAGTGGTTCTAAATTCGTCTGACAGCATCCCATCTTGTGTACCAGAGCGAGATTCGTGGTTGGAATATTGTACCCCTGTATTCCCCACTAACCAACGGACCGTGTTCATAAAACTAGATACTACTTGCGACGCCAAGTCAGTAATTGTGCTCTGTAGCGTTCATAGGATATCACTCGCCTGTGCTAAGCCCACCTTCTAGGCACACAACTATGCCTAGACTTCCAAGAAAACAAGTGCCGAACACCGAGACTAGCTAAGCGTAGTCACAGGAGATCACTCAGTCGAATCGACTATCCTTATCAGTTGATTTAGGCAAAATACCAACTGGGCTAGCTTCTTTGAATTTGTAGATCATGGACTACTCCAGATCAATGATTGACCCTACTAACTATCACTCGTACATAGCTATAGCGGTATGTACTACCAACTGATGATGAGAGAACGATTGATTTTATTGAAAATGTCCAGCAATGAGCTTAACTTCTATACAATGTATCTTAATAACCATACAGACTTCATTCATTCATTTCGTTTGATATAATAATAATAATAATAATAATAAAAATAAAAAAACATAGCGAACGTATTTATCTTAAACCAGACACCAGCGAATGTATAATTTTTCCCCTTGACCCAAAACCAAACTCCTTCCAAAAACCCAAACACAAAACTTTGATAACCGACAATCTGCGAAAATTCGTCAAAAGTGCACCCGCCCTCATTGTCCCTGCCTTCGCTCCCAGAAATCTTTACGCGTCTCAATGTAGCGCGTTTTCGTTCCTCACCGGCAGTTTCGCAGCCATTGTAAGGTCTTTATAGCATGTTCGAGGAATGTCTCTGCATCGTCAAGCTTCCCTGAGTCTAGCAGCAGGGCGGCTGATCGTACGCTTTCCTTGAGACCTTCCTCGATAGGAATTAGATCTGAGACTGGTGGTAAGGATATTGAAACGTAGTTTTCTGATGATCGAACAATAGGTTGCACTGAACCGTGCATATTTCCTAGCCCTAGTACCGTGTGCTGAGAGTCTGAATACCCAGCATGGTCCGAGTTAACACCCAATCCTCCATATGCATTCGTTGTAGACATTTGACCAGGGTGATTCCCTAGGCTATCCACAGGACTCGAGCTTGAGTGTCGAGGGATGTGATGGGTATGTTGTACCCTGTATTGCCTTGTAGTGGCAAGTGGTGGTTCAACAGGAACTCCCATGCTTTCTAAACTTATACCCGAGTTACGCTATTTATAGAATAAGCTTGAGATCAACAGATGCAAAGTCCTCAACAGAGGAGGGGGAAGAAGAGTTGATGTTTACCGGTGTCTTTTTGAACCACTTCCACTCCTTGAATTTCTGTTTGTATGCTCGTTCGCTTTTTTTTAACTTAGCATTCTGATCTCAAATATATACGGTTTCGTGTGGGATTGGGAGAGTTGGTAGTGGGCGGTGGTTATACTGGTGCTAGTAGGGAGGTGCAAAAACTGTCTGTCTTCATACCTAGCAAGAAAATTATGCTGTTCGCGCATGACTAGTTGCATTTGGGACAACTTCATCCCCCGTACCATATATCTTTACATAAAATTGTCAGTTTTGAAATTCTTTACATTAACCCCGCCTATTGAAAAGGCCACGGAGGGGAAAGGCAATTACAGGTCATGCATCCGTGACTTCTCGCGTTCCCAAGCCTTAGTCATTATGGGATGATATCGGTGTCTGTGATAAACCTGCGGTGTCGGTCAGATAGAGTTTCGCTCTGGTTCCTCCAAGAATAACGGGATGAAGGCAGCTGCTGATGTTGCCGTTGTTATAAGAGATCTTGGGCTAGATATGACCTGCAATCTTTCAGCCTCGCCTTGAAATCGAACCCAAACCCCCCGGCGCAGAGTTTAGGGCCAAAAGTGTGGTTGTACAAGGCTTCTGAGTATTGCTAAAATCATTGGAGGTGGGATGCGCCTGACCGCCGCCGCCATGGCCACGTACTCGACAGTTTTCTCCACTTCAAGCTAATCTGCGAGACAATTTCAGCCAATGAGCTGACGTATCTGCATGTATTATCGCCATTAACCGTTTTGGAAAAAGCAAAAGGTATTGAGGCCTCGCTGACACAAAAGGAAATGGTCTAACTCAGCTGAGGCATCAGAACACGCAAAGCAGCAAGGCTTCTAAAAAAAGTGAACTTTCTTCCCACATATTAACTGCACCCAGTAAATACTAGGTAGAGTACATAAAGATAATCCGAGAACCATCGAGGTGGGTTGATGTTGTGATGGTGGTGGAGTAAATACTAGCTGCATACATCACATTCGTTAGTGATAGGTTCCATCAGCAGGCGGCCTAGTTATCGAACTTTATTTTTTCCCTTCTGCAGGTCTCGGAGCTACTGCAAGGCCAGAAGAACGGACCAGAGATCCAATCTATACATATGTACCGTATGTACCATCAGCGGTTGTATTGCACTGCACTGCAGACTAGAGCTTGGGTCTTTGCACTTAATGTCATGGTTTTGCAAACCCAAGCTTTTGCGGGGGTGACCAAGGGCTGCACAGAAGATTTGCGATGAGTCTGAGTCCTGTTGAAGATCGATGGAATGTGGAGGAGAGACAAAAATAAGATCTCAATAGCTTTTTGACTTACCTAGCTTACACGCCCAAAATAACAGGCTTAGGATGCATCCATCAATTACCAGCTTCGATTGCGCTTTGTGCGGGCGGCTACTCACTCATGCTCGTGTATGTAAAGGTTCAGCCGTACACAGATGCTCGTAGGCCTTCGGCTGTGTATTTCTGGTTTCATGGGGATTGCCGTGTGCTGCTGCCCTTTACCCAATAAATAAATGTACATTATGGCATGTCGTCAGTTGAATCTATCCCTAATTATCTATTCACAAAGAGAAGGAAAAAAGCAAAGAAAAACATCGAAATTAACAAGCAGGGAAAATACCATGGGTCATCGATGATAAGTCGAGCGTTTAATCATATCGGTAAAGTGTCCACGAATAATATCGGATCCTAAGGTGAACAACCCGGATATCATAATAACTCAGTTTACATAATATTTGTGGTATGTTCCCCTCAGGTTAATTTACCAGGCACGATCGTCAATCGCTTCAATAACAGCAACGGTTGGCGAGTGATAACCTGTGACCCAAACGGGTCCCCCCGCAGCTGCAATATTAGGGCCAATCAAATGAATTATCGTATAGTCTACCAAGCTCCAATCTTAAGCTTTTTTGCTCAAGTACAAGGGTAGAATCTGTGGGGTTGCTGTCCAAAAATACCAATGTTATCAGTGTCATTTGGTACTAACAATATCTTGTTCATGAGATGTAGGTCCCCCGGTAGCCGGAGATAGATCTACCCAGCTCCAAGGGCAGCCGCTCGTAAGCTCACGGGAAGGGCTGTAGAGCTGCCAACACACAATTGGTATATGGCACCGACATTGGTCAGAAGAGTAATACAGATTTCTGCTGATAATTTCTTGTGCTAGAACAGCTCATCTTTAGTGCTTCACATACAGTAGACGTTTGAATCGCTAAGCGAGCTGAAAAGTTTAGAGTTTGTAAAAAAGAAGGTAGGAAGTACTTGAATTTCGGTACTTATCCTATAAATATTAATCCTTGCGAGAACCTTACCTCATATTCTATCTCCATGTATGCATCTTCATAGCATAGCCTCCTTCAACTATTTTGGCATGCATCTACATGTATGCTTGAAGCTTCTCCACAGCTTCATGTGGGCGTTTTTCTCTCGCACTGAGACTTTGTCAGGGTTAGGGATACGCTGCGGGGCATCGTTCAATGGCGTTTTCCAGTTCTCTTCCCAGTCGCGTTTCTTTTTCTTTCTTTCGGGTTTGTGCTTTTAGGAGAGCGATAAGGTAAGTGATAAGGGTTTTTTTTGTAACCATCCGCTTCTTGGGACCATTCAGGAGACTTTACGAGATATAAATTTAGTTTTAATATTTCTAGCTATGAAAATGAGACAAAAGAGAGCTACAGCAAAGTAGTTTAATGTGCCAGTGATAATCTACGAAGACCTTCTGCAGATGATCTCGATATAGCACTTTTGCTAACAAGGAATTTCGCAATGACAATGCTAGTGTTTTCCATCAGGGGTCCGAAGCATTAGGATCCACCTCATCGGTGTAGGGGAATTTCCGGGTTTGCTCCCCGCCCTGGTAAGTGCTGAAATCAGGAAACATTGGAGACTAAAATCACGTCAGCTTTGAGTTAACGGGGCCGGGTCGGATAGTGGTGGGGTAAAAATACCATGTCTACCACCAAACATTTGGGTGTGGATGGGGCATCTTTCACAACAGCCGAGTTATCGACCCCGGGTGTAAATCTCACTTCTACTTGCTGAGAGGTAAATCGAGACGGATCTCCGAGGAGATAATTATGAGGTGAAAGGAAAACGCTGGACTGTCCGGTCGTGAATACCGTATTCGGGAGATCGCCTTGAAAGCAAAACAGTCTCGTCAGATTTTCTCGTATCTCTAATGGTAGTTGTTTTTAGGATGTGAGTAAAATGAGAAGCTTACCGGTATGCGGAACATGGTGCATGCCCAAATTGAACCAAACAACTCTGTTTCCCGGTTAGAATTCTTGGCTTTCAGGCGGAGTTCAGTAGGGCTAGTCACATGTCTTCTTGAGCCAATGATTCGCTATCAAAAAAATTCCCAAAATTTACAAGTGGATCTCCAAGGTCCATTGAGTTCGCGGCGGCAGCAGAACGGGGTTCTGTGTCTTTCTGCTTGGTAACATAGAGATGATGGGTTCCAAACTCGGCGGAATTGAGCAGATTTGACGAGTTTTGGATTGTAAGATGAATTGGGGATCCAGAACCTATTGTAATGGTATTCAAGTTAGAAGATATCATTCGTGATTAGAAGATTGTTTTGAAATTGTTACCTGGGAGGATTCTGTAGCCAGGGTATTCTCCATAGATGTTGGGCTCATCGGTGTTGACAACAACGTACATTGCAGCACTGTTCGTTGGCCAGTTGATTTTCCCATCATCCTCATTCTCAACAAAAGATCGCTCAAGACGCATAGTATTACGAGGAATGGGTGACCACACATAACTTACGACAGATGTTAGTTTAAAAAGCAACTATTTGCCAAGGAAAAAAAAGGCTTACTCTACTGTATCGCTGACGATAGCGACCTTCTCAAAAGTATTTTTCACTCCAAGCACATCAATATCAGCCTTAAAATTCAAGACATGGTCGTGCATAGAGCCTGATATAGCATCATGAATCTTATAGCCATAATCCTCGTTATTGGCATAAAAAGCCGCTTGTATATATCCAGATGCTCTGACCTTCACCTCAATGCTCCCGTCAAGGTAAAAGTTATAGTCAAAGTTATAATCGTAATTTCCAACCGTTGAAACGAATCGGAGTGTAAACACCGTGTTTTTTGTGACCGTTATAAAGTCCCTAGAAGTGTGACGTTGGAGAGGATATCCCGCATCCTGCTCAAACAAGCAGATGCTGTCTTTATTGGTAAATGAATAGCCAGCTTCACTGTACGAGGTCTTGAGGAATGTTGAATAGGTTGGGCAATCGTATCCTGGTAATAGCTCAAACACGTAGGGGCCAAATCCGTAATAGCTATCCAGGTATGCCGTTCTGCTTTGCATGGGATCATTCCCGGCATAGTGCGCAATCGCTTCTTGGAGCCCAAGCTCATATATTATTCGCTTACCCTTGTACTTGATATTGTAGAGTGTTACCCCTAGATCTCGACTAAAGCCGGTATAAAACTCGAAATCCATCCATTTGACATAATTTTCATCTTTGTCGACACTGAATCTTTGACCTTCGGGCTGGATCGAGATTGGAGGCGCCCGTTCATCTAGCGGGATACTTTCTCCTGTGCTAGATCTTCCCGTGTGTGTCCAGTTTCCATCGACTTGTTTCGTAAGTTTGTTGAACCCGGGAGTTTCCCACGCCTTGCGGAATTCATCAACTCCATCATATAGAATATTATCATAAAAGATATTGAGCAGTTTCCATTCTTCCGGTTTCCGACCAGTGATATCTATTTATTTTGAATTGACGAATGAGGGGCTGAATCTTCATTATGGGTGGAGAGAGATCTCTTACCGGTTTTCAAGAAAAGGCCCTGTGGGAGGATAGACCCGCTATCATATTCACTTGTAGGATAGAGCCCGTATTGCGCCCAGAGAATAGTCCTACCATCCTCTTGTTTAGGGTCCGATGCTATGATACGAGATGTGTTTAGATCCTAAGCCCAGCAAATATCGATTAGGACGTTTGTAAATAAAGTAGGTGCACCGTCAGCATTATAAAAGCAGCATACCGTCCCAAGAATGTCCAGCATGATATCAGAAATTTGCGTCCCAATTGATTCGGCCCATTGAATCAGGAGTTGGTAATCGGCAGCATAGACAGGTGATTTGCCATTGCCCTTGTTGTATATAAAGTTCAGAGGGTTGATAGTTGTTGCTTCCGAAACGGGAATAGGACCAACCTTAATGACATTGTGTTACAACGGTTAGCATGCGGCTACGCGCAGATAAGTTCTTTAATACATGTCGATAAGTACTTACGATGTAGTCTTCAGTATACGGGTTTTCTGTGGCGCCAAAGTAAAGTTCAACACGCGCATACCGGACTGGAGCAGGACCGCCCTCCAAATAATTCAAAACATCCGTTTTATTCGGAATCAAAAGCTCGGTAACCCCGACACGGTTATCCCAAGGGGTGAAGTTTGCATATACCGTCAAATTGAGCCCTTGAGCTGGAGCATGGAGCCATTCGAGAAGTGTAGCTGTCTCATTTCTCGAGAATGGAAGCCAAGGGTTTGGTTTCGGTGCCTTTATCGCGGGATCTACCGGAGTAGAACAATTGCTTGCTTGCCGGCGGATACGACGATTGGGATTTGGGAGAATTGCAGATACAGTAAAGTCGCATACGATTGCGGCAAGGGCCAGAAGTCCTAGTATGAGGCGAACCATGATACGATAGCTAGCTAGCCAGGAGCGATTAATGGTACCTTGAGAAAGCTCTGCACGTTCTACACCAGCTATTATATACTCGCGGAGAGTATTCCACAAGATGTATAACTATGTTTCGGCTATGATTTTTCACCCGCCTGAAAACCATCACGTTCCACAAAAGCACTGCACTGGGCGAAGACTGTCTCTGGAAAGTCCTCCTCCCAATGATACCTACCAGTACGTACTCTATGAGCCGCCAGGCACAAGGCTGAACACACCAATTTCACGCGGGGACTTAAAATCTAGATTGACCGATCTATCGGAGCCGCTAACCACTATTGATCAGGCGCCTTCCGTAAGACCAACCTCGAGTCAGGATGAAATACAGCAAGACATCGGACAGCAACCTACACAGGCGACACGTACTCGTTTTAGAATTACTACGACAACATGTATGTAGGTTTGTTGAGAATAAGGAGGGGAAAGACACGAGAGTGTAACGGCCACGCACAACCATACGAGAACGAAAAGCATGAGGGATTTAAGAGAGTTAGATCTACTGTCTACTCTACATAATGTAGCTGTGTACATGTGTCAAGCTTTTTAGAAGAGAGTCGGGGCGCAGCAGATCCGGTGCTGCTTTTTATAGTTTGATGTAACTTGCACTATAGGCTGTTGACCATTGAAATCTCATATCAACATTATCGCACCAAGGCTAATTTTACGTATATCAATGGTTGTTTTTCGTATATCAATGGTCATCCTTTTTTTTCCTAAACTACATGTATATCGAGTACCTTAACTCTAAGCATGGATAACCCTACTATACTACGTACGTTAGTATACTATGATGAATATGAATTCCCTACCTCCCTACCTATATACCTCTTGGTTTATAAAACCGCCCGATTATAGAGCAATGATTCTAGTTCCTGGGCCAGCTGAGTACAGTATATAATTAATATACATGTAATTCAGAGTGTGTTATACGTGTATATGGTCTGGCTCTAGAGTATAGTAGAACACGTACATGTATTGAGAATACGAGGCGATACATGTGGTGTTTTACGTGCTTTCTTGGGCATTCCTTCCGTGGTTTTTGTATCGCTCGAATTTGAGTATATGACCGGCGGTATCAACAATTCTTTTGGCGGCTGCGGAGCAAGTACTCTACCTGGGAACTCCCGGTGATGATTAATTGTGGAGACACACATGCGTGTGTTTTTCTCATCAAAGATTTATACTCTATGTATACATGTAGGTACATGTACTCTAATTAGAACACTTTGGATAAGGCGTTGACGCGGATTCAGGGAATAAGATGGATTTGAGCACATGAATGATGAACCGGAGGGAAAGAAAGAAAAAAAAAAAGCTCCAAGGATCTGATAGGTTGATTGCACCTTCTATCCTCATCACAACCCCACTTCTGTGCCTGGTGAGGAGCTTTGAGATGTGCTCCAAGTGCCGGTATCGAGTGCAACTCTAGAGTGGGCCGTGCACGTCGGCGGAAACCTGGTGCAGCCAGTTAGAGTCATTCTTCGGTGTGACAAGGGAATCTATACCAGGGAGTCAGTGTTCCTGTAATATGCACTTCTAGGATTATTGATATTGAGTGTAAACTTAAAACTGCGATATGATACCTGTATCTCTGCAATCATATATATCGAGGGCAGGAGGTTTAGTGCAGTGCAAAATTCTATGGTAGTACCAAATATACACGTGTGGTGCTAACTTTAATATACACATGTAGTGCTAGTTCCAAAAAAAAACTCTATTTTTACCCTCGCACATACCCTTGAGTGTACTAACCCAGGATATAGATAGAGTAGGGAAGAAGTATATACGTCAGCGGGTGGTACCGAAGACTAATTTCATGACGTTTCCGAACACGACTGCTATTGCATACCATACAAAAAAGCGCCAAATACACCTTTTTGTATGTCATGCAATATTAACCATATTCGGAAACGCTACGAATAGACGAGTAACCGAGTCTGTTGTCTAGTGTTGCTCTAGCCCACGATAACTACATGTACATAAATTTAAAGCTCACACTGTTCATGCTCTCTATAAAGTGTATATCTCGGAGTATTCTTCTTCCTTCCTTTCTTTCTTTTCTTTTCTTTTCTTTTCTTTCTTTTTCTTTTTTACATTCAAATTTGCATGCATGTAGGCATGGAGGGCCTTGTACCGATTGGCGAGCTACATGTATCAAGGCTGCGCCCAACGACGTACGTGCTCATCGGTTCACAGGCAAATATCCAATACCCTTGTTTCTTGATCTTTTTGACGTTTTTGCGCATCCAACGTATATACATCACCTTGGAGACCTAGGATGCCAATTGAAGTCCTTCATCCCGAGGGGGGGATGCCATGTTCTTGTCATAATTTGAACTTCTCCACCACGAGGTATGTACCTACTTAGTGTAGTGGAAACATTACCAACTTGATTCCTAAGAAAGCTTAAAACTCATTTAACTTACATACCACCTGTAGATGCCCCAGAAAATGATTACATCATGTACCAGTAGTGTACTGCACTTCATACATGTATATGTACGAGGTCGGCAATGTTATGGTCAAACATTGGGGTAGCCCGAGGCAGAGAGAGCCGCCATCACCTAGTGACTTTGTCTACTGGAACCTCCTCTTTGTGCTGCTTCAATACGTGGAGCTTTGATTTAGGCATACCTACTGCGCTGCGCCATCATCAGTCTCTCATAGGCTTTCAAAATATGCCTCAGATACGCCTACGTGCTTGTAGCCGTAACGCTTATCTTGGCAAATTGCTTTCTGCGTACATACACAGGGCTGGGTACAAGCGCTTGTGCGACAGAATTCTGGACCTGCGATGATAAATATCAATAGTACGTACGTAAACGATCGGACAAAGTCAACTCATCTGCACAATCATCTCAGCGAGTGACTAGGCATGATTATCCAAAGACCTGGAGTTGTGTGTAAGTACATGGGTCTGGAAGCTTTCTATTTACATCTCGATTTCTCCCCCAGAATTTGTTATTTACGATTCAACTGACGTACTATCTCAAGATTAAGGCTTTCCTGGCTGTCGGAAATGAAATACATGGGTCCTTGTTGATCTGACACCTGACCAGCTAGTGTGAATATACAGCGTGTGATAGCGTAGAGTATGTGCCCCAGAATAAAACGTCTGCATGAGTCTAGACAATGAGCTTCTCTCTGGCACTTTTAACCTGATATACTTGCAAACATGACTGCCGTTTCGTGGACGTGTATATTGTGTACTAATCTTCATTTATTAGGTCATTGAACGTCTAGGACATTATAGGAGCTTGAAGGAGGCGACCTATATTTCCTTCGGTCCTCCCATCGAGTGATTACCTATGAATGCAGCCTCGTTTCATACATGTATGTTGTTGGATGTTGATACAAACGCCATCACGTGTGTTTGTTTGTTCAACACTCAGGCAAACTTGCATAGAATACATACGTCCATTTCCTGTGGGCTGCTTGATACAGTAGAAAGCAACAGACAGGTGGTTCGCAATCTCCAGCAAAAAGACTCTTCGCCTCGCCTTCGACTGATCCCACGGGTGTGTAAACATCTCCCTATCTTCATGCGCATTCTCATTGATGCCCACTTTGTTGCCTACCAGACTGCGCACATAGGCAATTAGATTTGTATAAAGATCCCTCATTCCTTTATCTTTGTCTTTTCGATGCTTCCGATAACAGAAACACAGCCTATAGCGTTCTCTGTAGACCGATCGACTCTGCCACCTCGATGCTTTGCTTCGCATCCCCGGTCATGGTACCCTATCTGTATCAACTTCGTCTCAAGCTCGTCGTACAGACCCTTTATGGCATGCTTATTCGTGGGGAAGTCTATCCTGACTCATGAATCCGAAGTGTCGCCTTGAAAGCTCGTGATTGGAGACCTCCCCCGAAACCAGCCTTGCTTTGCTCCTGCACGTGCCTGCTTAGCGGGTACGTCATGCACAGTCAAACGTATCAAAGCATAAGGATCGATTATATGCATCTCTTAGTAGCAGCCTTTACGGCACTTTCTTGCTCTGATACGAGTATCTGGTCATTGGCAGCTGATCGTGAGCGGCACCTTGACACATGGCCAATCGAGAGGAAGGTCTTAGCGTGCTGATTATCATTGGCTGTATATCATTCCAGCATAGTTTCCGACATCTCGGATCCTTGAGGTTGTGCTTTTATGACGATAATGACAGGGTGTGTAAAGAAATTGGGCTTGCAGGATACATATTATTATACATACTTGATCCATATCACATGTGTGTGGTATTCCAGGGCTGAACGTTCACTCTAAAAGCTTCTATGGTTATCGTTAATCAGGATACTTTACACGAGAATGCCTATAATTAGGTGTGACCTGGCCCTATGATAAATTGGTACGGAGTAATAGCTCGAAGCATTATGTTAACGAATAAGTTAACGGTAATATTGTATTAGTTGGTGACAGGCATTGATTCGAACCTTCGGAAGCTAGGAAGTCTTGGTAACCAGAATAAAGAATTACCCCGAACTCCAGATCTACACTTACGGGTGTATTTTCCCAAATATGTGGACCTCCGACGGAGCCAACCCCACCAATTGAGACCTGGGGACTGCAAATGTACCGTTGTTATCGATAATGATCTACTATGTATGTACCTAGCAAGTCGGGAGTTCCAAGGATACCCGAGTGCGAATCCATGAAGCTATACTTTTCCAGTTACGCATGAATACTAAACTATTGCAACCCCCTCCTTAGGAAATCTCTAATTGAACGTATAGAATCTTCAACCATTGATAGTGACCTGGGTATTCAGCGGTAAAAATTTCTTTTCTTATGATAATATGTAGGTACATGTAGTAGAGACGGCAAGCAGTATATGTGCTCCAGGGTGCCAAGAAAAAAACAACTTTTCAAGACCTAGGCAATTCCACGATAAGGGCAGATGAAGATTCGTTGGGAAGAGATTTTGTCTGTAAATTAAAGGACAGATCGTCTTTGGGAATGCCTTTCCATTATTTTCGGAGATCTCCTTAGGGCCAGGGTTATAATTGGTCATGCCGCGGTTAAGCGTATGTAGGTACATTGTACATGTGCATGTACCTACCCCTTTACGTCATGTCAGAAGGGCAACCTGAAAGTAAAAAATTGAAAGAAACATACCAAGTTCCGAGCACAAAAGCTATATCTTTGACTACATGCTTGCACGCCAATCTAGACATCTTACCCACAATTGCTTTTATTCCTTTAAACTATCACCAGCAATTCGTTCAATCGCCTTCAAGATGCCTGATACCACAGAAGCAGATCCAAGTCCTGTTTTAACACTCCCCAGTGGCCGAAGTCATCCTCTTTTCCTGTATGGAACCGCTTGGAAGGCAGACAAAACCACCCCTCTTGTTCAAGCAGCTCTCTCTCATGGATTCACTGGAGTTGACACTGCTTGCCAGCCGAAACATTACCAGGAGCATCTGGTGGGCCAAGGCCTTTTCAATCATCTCCAGGAAAACTCAATGGTGGACCGTTCTAGGCTTTATATACAGACCAAATTCACCCCTCCAAATGGGCAGGACCCAAGCAATACCCCCTACGATGCGACAGCTCCACTCAGCACACAGGTCAAGCAATCAGTTGAGACTTCCTTGAAAAATCTCAACGTGGATTATATAGATTCGGTTCTACTACACTCACCATTGCAGACCCTAGAAGACACAATCAAGGCCTGGAAAAGCCTCGAACAGTTTGTCCCGCACAAAGTTCGTCATCTTGGGATCTCAAATTGCGGTTTTCCCATTCTCTCAGCACTCTACAGCAGCCCAGCCATAAATGTTAGGCCATCAATTGTACAGAACCGATTCCACGAAGCGACGGGATACGATACTCAGGTTTTGGCTTTTTGTAAGGAGCATGGGCTGGTCTATCAGAGCTTCTGGACCTTGACGGCGAATCCAGGACTGCTGAGGTCTAAATTGGTTAATGGATTCGCCGAAGAGAGGGGTTGGACAAAAGAGCAGGCGTTGTATGCACTTGTTTTGTCTCTTGGGAGGGAATGGGAGAATGGTGGAGGAGTATCAATAATGAACGGAACCACCAATGAGGAAACAATGAAGAGCGATCTGAAAGTTTTGGAGGGAATGGGTGGTGTTCCAGATGGAATCATGGGGGAATTTGTCAAATTGTTGAGGACACAATAGCTGCTTTTCTTGAGAACTCTCCTATTACTTTCCTACTGTTGTATTGTGCCGTCCGTAGGCATGGAAGCTAGCAATTTCAACGGTTGAAACTGTGTTCGAAAAAAAATCAAGACTGCCTGAAGATGATACACATCTTGTCTCGGCTTCACGGATAGGTAGTTTTCCTATATGTGGCATTAGTTTCTGTGGGGTCGGATAATGTTACGAAACAATTCCAAAAGAGTCTATCAACTTATTTGGTTCTCTGACAATGCAGTCGGCCGGCCGGGCTATTAACGAGGTTATTCTGGTAACTGCTACATGAGGGTCCCGCGGGCACGTTGGCAGCCCGTTTAAGGACCTCTTAGACTGCCGCGGAGACTATTTATGGTGATTTTAAAATTGATAGTTTCTGTTAGATTGTTGGCCTGTTCAATTGCTAGGGGCGTTGGACGACAATTTAACTGACCATCAGGAAACGTCAAAACGCCCGATTTTACAGCCTTTCAAGTACAAGAAATACAAGTGGTATGGAATCGATAAATGGACGGAACGACCGAAAGTAGCGCTTGATTGAGTCAAAGTTACATGCATCTAGCTACATGTAGCAGGTACATGTATGTACATGTCCTCTACGTAATAATCTGAGCTGAGTTGGGTAGATGCATGTACTCTACTCTACCTTTTTCGGTCCTGCATGCATAACCGAGAGCGGGGAGCCAGCCGTATGCAAGACGGGAACGGTTTCAGAGGACGGAGAAGCCCCAAAACCTAAGCACTTGCAGCGGGGCTGAGGAATACATCCTGCGGACTAATATCAAAGAGGTTGACACCAAGAGAGTAGTAGTCTCTCTAGGAGCTTCTTTTGAAAATTTACATACTCTATCCGCATGCTTAAGGGGTGCCTGGGCCCGCGACGACATCTCCAATTGCGTTCTTCCATCCGAGTACGCCAACACACGCCTAGCCTTGATAGTTGCTGGAAATATCAGCGAGCACTACATGCCATCGAGTCTCAATTATCCCATAAAATACGGGTGTACAACAACCAGCACCCGATACTTCCAATTCGAACCTATTCTAGAAAGTCTGCCAGAAGCGAGATGTATCGTGCAGTTTCTACCGGCCGCCTAACGGGGATCTTCTGTGACATGTAAACCATGCCTGGGTCACTCTAGTGAAGGTCATCTAGCTGACGTGGGGAATAAAACTTTAGAGGGGACTCTAAGAGATATGTCGAAGGTTATCCTAATGCCAGTCACAGAATCTTTGAGTGCAAAGAAGAGGCATTCAGATGGATGGAGTACATGAAAAGATGCGAAATCGACAAGGAGAATGCAAGATTGAGAGAACGCTTTGGGGAGGATTGTACGGAGCAAGAAGAATGGGAGAAGAATGTCATTGAGCCGTATAAAGCCGACGGAGATGCCGAAAGTCCAAGGAATATCGAGGGTCTAAACTGGCAGGATTCCGTCGAATTACCTCCAGAACAACTATCTGAGGACCAAAAATACATACTTGGTCTCGTATTGGACGGCCATAATGTTTTCTTTACGGGCCCAGCTGGATCAGGAAAATCTCTACTCCTGAAACATATAAAATATCATCTACGGAAAAATAAAAAACGGTATGATATCACTGCACCCACCGGTGTTGCAGCTGTTCTCATAAATGGACGAACAATACATTCATGGAGTGGTTTAGGGAAAGGCGATAAAGGCCTTAACAATTATATCACCAAAGTATTGAGAGAGATACGTATGATATCGGATGAATCGGGTGAATCAACATTCAAACCTTCAAAGAAAAATAAAAATTTGGGAAGTAGGTCAGTGGTAGGCGTCTGGCGTGAAATAGATGTGTTGATTATAGATGAAGTTTCTATGGTACCTTGATTGTTCTAAACGCATGAAAGGGAGAGATATACTGATTCGGCCGCTACATAGTTATCACCGGACTTATTCGAAAAATTGGATAAAATTGCAAGACTTTGTCATTTCCGTAGCCCCAGGGACCTTCTCGACAAAATTGATAGTAATGGCTTAGAACAGACCTTAAACACGATTCCGGCCTTCGGTCTGTGCCCTGATGGAATTGAGAAGAAGGCATAAAGCTCATTATCGGTGCGAATTTAGGTTATGTACAGCTTGTTATATGCGGCGACTTTTTCCAGCTCCCACCAGTTGACGTTGAAAGTAACAAAACCTGTTATAAGTGCGGTAATATACACATACACTCAAAATATTGATAAATGCTAATTTGTTAGGCGAATCTGTTATTCCCATCAAAGAAAGAAAATACCTCTGCGAGGATGATGAACGTACCACCAAGGAAGTACCACATCTTGAACGCATTCATGCAATGGGTGTAAACTCGGTCACTTGGACGACCTGTACACGAACACGATCGGGGATTGAATGTGGACATCTCTGGAATGAAACTGTGAAATATTGCTTTCAGACACAAACATGGTCGCAAATCAATTTCCATTATGCGATTTTGACGAAAGTATTTCGACAAAATGATCAAAAATGGATTGACATGCTTTCGAAGATTAAGACTGGGGATGTGACAGATGAGATTCTAAACTATTTAGTAACTTTAAATAGGCCTTTAAAACCGACCGAAAGCGGCATTATACCGACCAGGCTATATTCCTACCGCAGAGATGTTGAACGAGAAAACCAAGAGGCATTCAACAAATTAAATTCAAAAGTTTGGGAATTTACTGCGGTTGATCAAGGGTTTTCGGTAAGCCTTGATAAAAAGCAGAGTTTTGGGTTATCAAAACCAGAGTTGGAAGCACAACGTAAAGGCCCTCACCAAACTGTTTTGTCTCATGGCTACTCACTCATGCTCGGAATAAGCCTTCTTCAATAACCTCCCGGTGACGGAAAATCTCAACCTTCGATACGGCGCGCAGGTGATGCTTCTCGCAAATATTGACTTCGACTCCAAGCTTGTCAACGGCTCTCGTGGCGTTGTAACCGGCTTCGTCACCTACACCAGAAGTCGCCTTCTTGAAGGGAAAAAAGACGATGTAAAAAAAGAGCTCTCCGATTACTTCGCAAAGAAAACCAAGGAGGCTGACGAAACCATCTGTATACCATTGGTAACCTTCCGTGAAACTAACAAACGCTGCCCTATCCTTCCGGTTCTCTGGAAAGAGGAAATCTCGCAATGGCTCAGCCCCACCGAGAAAACAAACACCTTAGTTCTGAGCAGGAAACAGATCCCGCTTGGGCTGGCGTGGGCAACGACAATCCACAAGAGCCAGGGAAGCACGCTTGACTTTGCTTCCGTGCAGGTCGCCGGGGCATTCGACCCCGGGCAGGCCTATGTTGGGTTGAGTCGGTGCAGGTCAACAGACGATATGCAGGTTCTGGGGCATAGACATAGCCTGAAAAAAGCGTGTATGTCGAACGAGAGCGCTTCGAAGTTCTACGACTATATGACGGCGGAAGCGGAGAAACTGCGGACGGAAAGGGGGAAAAGAAGGGCCCGTGAATCGAGTGGGGAGTTTGGTGTTTTTTCTTTGTGAATGGTTTTTGGAAGTGTTGGAGTTATTTTGGTTTATATATGTGCTGTTGAGGTTTTTTTTTTGGATACACGAGTATGAGGTATAAACAAGTCATGATGTATTAGAGCTCAGGTGGCAGTGGTGGTGGTGCGAAACGTTCAGATTGTTTTCAGTGGAGGAATGTCGTGCATGTCATGGTATCTGATAAAATCACATAGTATTGTTAAAACGTGCTCCTGGTGCAACATATATAGCTGCCAGGAACTGTTACTGCTACTACAATACCATAACACTACCAAGGTGACATGTAGGACGTGACCCCAGAAAACGTACTCGTGGCCGGTCCTACCGCTTCTAGAATTCCGCCCACTCTTCACCGATGTTCCGTGACCCGGAACCAAACAAGGCATGATCCAAGTGAGTGAACAGTGAGTAACCAACCACCCAGGGCCGGTCGATGCACACCTAAAATCCTAACATACATGCATGTAGGTCTCATGCTTAAACTGAATCACGCATGTACATACCTACTTAATTGAATTGAATTCAATTCGAATCACAAAGAATCACTCAACCCAACCCCAGCCGGACCTCTCCGTGTTTATAATCACAACGCATCACTCGCACGGCACTCGCCCCGCCCCCAGTACACTAGCACGCGCATTACCAAGGCCGCAAGCGTACTAGTGCTCAAGCACTCGCAACAAGCAAAAAAATACATGTACTCATAACTGCTTCAATTCCGCACCTCACCTCACCCCCACCACCCCACCACCCCACTACAGTCCCGGAAATGAGGGTAAAAATTGCTACCGTGGGACTGCGGTATTGAGTCAAGAATACTGGTTTAAAACCATCATCGTAAGTAGAATACCATATCGATACCGTATTCTTACAGCATCACTAGCGTATTGACTGGAATATGGTAGTGGATTTCTACCCCTTTCTGGTGCGTGTACCTTCCTACCATGCACCTACATGTATCTACCCACCTAGCTACTACCTCCCCACACTCTAGCTACGCTACGCTACCTCCCTACATACCTCCCTCCCAAAACCACTCACCACCACCCCACCACACCCCACAAAAGACGAAGCAAAGCTCGAGCGAGAGAGAGAGGGAGATTTCCAATTTATTAGCCCATTCCAAGCCACCCGGCCTCCACAGACCTAAAGCTCAAGATCGATACACCACGAAAAATAGCAATTGAAAAAAAAAAAAAACAATAACCGCGCACCAACCCTACCAAGGGCCCCCCACCCCAGTTCTAGATAGAATCAAAGAAGATGATGATGATGGGAAAAGAAGATGATCATGGGAGAAGAAAAGAAAGGGAGATGCATATAACAAGAAAAAGCTAGTAGTAGTAGTGGTAGCAGTAGTAGTAGTAGTAGTTATTGTAGTAATCATTGTAGACAGCTACAGAGCGTAAAGGTTGGTTGCTACAAAGCATGTAGTAGTAGTAGGTAGTAGTATAAACGGTTATGCCCCCGCCCCCCTCCTAGATCATTACTCTCCCCATCCTCATCCCCATCCAGCAGCCAGCCACAGCGAAAAGGGCCGAAACACAAAGGAAAATAAAAGGAAGGAAAAGGAAAAAAAAACCCGGTCACCTACTCCAGTATCCTCGCCAGGAGCACATACACCAAGAGCACAATCGCACCCACAAGCATCTTATGCCTCCTCATCCAAGTCTCGCCCACCCTGACTACGGCCTCCCCTGCCGCCGCCGTCGCCGCACTCCCACTCGCCCCCGCACCCACAACCCTCTTCCTCACGCCCCCACCCGGCACCACACTCCCGCCATGCTCCCCCGCCGCTCCCGCCGCCGCCCCCTCCTGCGTCCCCGACCCCAGCGCCGGCATCGCCATCCCCGTATGCATATTGATCCTCTCGACCTTCATCCACTCCCAATTCTCGCTATCAACCTGCGGCCACTCGCTCCTAAAGCGCTTCCCCATATCGCCCCACCCCACGCCCCTACCCGTCGGCCCCGAGCTCGCAACAGTGTTTGGCACAACCGCGCCCGTGGCGGGGTCCAGCACGCCGGAGCCGCCGCCGGTGCTGTTCCACCATCTTGTGCGGTGGGCGAGGATGCGGCGGTCGGCGGCGGAGGTGCTGATGGAGCCTGTTGTCATCTCCTCGCTCGTCATGAAGGAGAGGAGCCCGATGAGGATGGTGGACACTTCCCAGGCGGGGTTGAAGGACTTTGGGTGGAAGTCAGAGATCGAGAGACATAGCCGCGTCGAGGTCTGGAAGCGCCCGGAGGGGGTCATCATGCGGATGGCGGGCGGCTTGAAGGGGTAGTCGGGGGGAAGACGAGGGTGCCCCAGTATTGGCCGTGCTCGTAGGGGGTGTCTTCGGGGCCTGTGATGATGAAGTGCCATCTGTGATGGGTGGGGGAGTGTGTGGTTAGTTATGCGGTTGCGGGAGTGGGGGGTGGGGTTGCACCTTGGGGGGGAAGTGGGGGGTGGGGGTGGGGGTTCTTACTCGAGGATATTCGCCTCGCTGGGGTGCGCCTGAATGTAGGGCGGGGGGTTCTTCTGGATCGCGAGGTATTCGCGGGCAAGCTGTGGTGAGAGGTTAGATGCTGGTCTCGGATATAGGACTCGGGGGGTGGGGTTGGGGGGCCTTACGCGGTTATTTGCAGCGCGGGTGGCCATGATCAACTGTTTGATCGAGGGGTAAGGGGGGGGGGGGATGTTCTGGTTCTGCTCTGTCTGTAGATGTGTGTGTGTGTGTGTTTTATATAGCGGTGCAGATAGAACTTTGTCGTTGGGGAGGAGCTTCCTTAGAAAGCGAGTGTCTGCGGTGGGTGTGTAGTCGACCCTCAGTCGTCTAGGGGGGGGGGGGGGGGGGGGCTCGGCGGGCAAAGCAAGGTGTACCTTCCGTTCTCTATGTATCCGTTTCCCGGTTTTTCTCGGAGGTTCGGTTTTGATGAAGTGCAGCGACGGTCGTCCCTCCTTTTTTCTATCTGAGCGAGCGAGCGATGGGATTCAAAGAGGACGGGCGATAGAAGAGGAGAGAGAGATAGGGAGAGAGAGAATAGCAGTGTGAGAGAGTAGTAACAAGTGAGGTGAGAGGTGCGAGATGAGAGAAGTGAGAGAGAGAGAAGAGAGAAAGAGGCTGTGTGTGTGGTTGAGTGTGGTTGAGTGAGTGTGAGCTACTTTACTTAGCCAACGCTCTCCCCGGCCAAAAGCAGGAGAGAAACACACCAAAGTGGCGTGTGTGTCTTGGCGATCCCTCGCCGAACTGAGAGAAAAGACATCATCGAACCTTCGACTCCGCTGCTGCCCCTCGCTGCCTCTCGCTTGCTTCGGTGCAGAGGGGCTAAAAATACCCACCGCACGCAGTCGCGGACACACGCAAGCAAGCAATTGCTTTCTACGGTTGATCCCAAAGCTGATCTATTCTTTGATTTTATATTCACGGGCCGGGCCTTTTTTTTTTTTTTTTTTGGCTACAAACCACAGACAGCAACAACAGCAGACAAGAGATAAAAGAAAAAAAATCTACAACAGAAAAATATAGCCCTATTTTGCACAAGAACACACACAGCACACACAGCACACAGCACACACAGCATACACAACCTACAAAAAGTTCATCCCCACCCCAAACTGTATCCCCTTCCTCGCCCTGTCCTCAGGCCTCTTCACAATCGGCAGACAAAAGTTAAGCTCAAACCTCGCCACAGGGTGCGCATACACCAGCCCGAAGCCCGCCGCGATGCTCGGCAGCTCGCTCGTCAGGCTCTTTGCCGCCTGCGCAACACTCTTATTGACGTCGCCGCCCGCCTCCCGACCAATACCCTGCAGCCCCACAAGTCTCCCGCCATTGACAAACGCCTGCAGCCTCAGCGGCTTCTCGCGCCCCAGCTTTGGCAGCGGGAACAGCACCGACGCCCCACCGGCGATGTAGGCATCGCCGCCAACAGAGTCCTCCCCGGCCTTGGGACCCAGTCCGCACTCCCTAAACCCCCTCACGTCCGTGGGGCCCCCGAGCTGGAAGCGATCATTGATCCTCGACGGCCTCGCAGGCCTAGACTCCTCGCCCACCGCGGACGGCAGCGGGTACAGCAGCCCACTCCTCAACCCCGCCGTAAACGAGATGCCCGTCCTCGGCTCCGTCACCGCACCCTGCGACTCAAGCTCCACCTTCCCAAACGCCACATCCCCGCCGAGAGGGCCCACCCCCGCCAGCTCCGTAGCCGCCTTGAAAAGATACCCCCTCCCAGGCAGCAGCGCATTGTCCCGGCGGTCCCTCAAGAACGAGTAGCTCAGCGCGCTCTTGACACTGTCGCCCGCGTCGCTGCGAACAATCTGGCTGGCGCCCTTCCCCAGCCCCGTAACCTGCCGCCACACACCGCCGTAGCCGACCTCGTGCTCGCCCCACTTGATTGCGGCGCGGGCACCTTTCAGGGCCTCTTCGTGGTTGGCGTAGTGGTGGTGGCTGCGCGTGCTCGCGTAGCCGCCAACCTCGGCGATGATGCCCGGGTTTGCGAGGACGGGCGTGGTGAAGTTGAGGTCGTAGGCGGAGCGCGTGCGTGTGCCGATGGAGGCCGACCCGTTGAGCGACTCGGCGCCGCCAAAGACGTTGCGGTAGGTGAGGTGGACGTAGCCTGTGCCCTCGGCGTTGCCGACGTCGGTGCCGGTCTTGAGCAGCAGCCGGGACTTTTCGGCGACGGTGAGGAGGACGCTGAGGTCTGTGTGGTCGGGGGTGGAGGTCGGCTTCTTGTCGAGGTAGATGCTGATTGTGGGGTGGAAGATGCCTTTTTTTCATAGCTCTGTTAGCACCGCGGCACAATGGGTTCCAGAAATCCAATTGGATGTAGTAATATAGGTGGGTAGACATACCGAACCGGTGCAGGGTGTTGGTCCGTCCATGGAGCTCCTCGAGTGCCGTAGCAAGCGTGTAGCTCTTCCCGCTCTCACTGCTCAGCGCCGGCCTGATGACGCTTGCCAGGAAGCCATTCCTGGTGTTCTTTGCGCCCTCGATCCTGATTTCCGAGATGGAGACGGGCAGCGTCGAGTTCTCGTCTATCTAGACATCACAGCACATCAACCTCCTAGTACAAGGGAAAAAAGTAAAAAAGTAAAGTAAAAGATAAAAATAAAAAGAAACCCATACCAGCCCAGCCAGCGTCCTCTGCGCTCTCTCATACTGCGCCCTCACACGGTCCCTGACAGCGTCCTCGCGGTCCTTGTCGGTGCTTGCTTTGAAACGTGCGAAAACCTAGATCCTCTCTCTCTCTCACTTTTAGCCACAAAAAACAGCCCCCCAATTGGGTGTGGTAGGGTGGGTGGGGGATGCAAACGTACATCGTCGTCCTCGGGGGTGTTGGGGGACGCCATTGTCGGTGTTTCCAAAGGTGTGTGTGTGTTTTTTTTTGGGGGGGTTGCGTTTCTATGGGATTTGCAGCAAGTACTTGCGGTAGTGGGCCTGTGGGATGGAAGATTGCGGGATGACGTTACCCGGCGGGGTGGTCATGTAGGGTTAGGTTTGTTTGGATGGGCTAGTGCAGGGGGTACTGCTTGGTGGGGGGCCTTGGGGGAGATCTTGCAATTGTGCCGTGTAGGCGCTGTTGGTGAAAATATGTGTTTTTTGTTCCGAAGGTAGTTTTGGGGACTTGGGGGTGCGTTGGGTGGCGGTTGTGGTTGTAGGTATTTTGGTGGTGATTGTAATATCTCAATCATGAGATGTCACTCGGTAAACTGATACGTACCAAAGAAACTTTCTCATGATGGCAATACAAAGCTCCGCTTCCTTCATTCATATCCCAGTGGGGCGCTTTCGGGACATATATTCAGGTTGGACCTAGCAAACAGATAAGCTACTGCACTGCTACCATCAGGTTTCTCAAGCTGGCTTATTTGGTCTAGGTGTGGATATCGATAGAGTGAAGATAATTCCCCCCCTCCCCCCGTGTGTTGTAATTATAATATGGTATGCCTCTTAGAGGAAGTGTGTAGAATACATAACCCCACTCCAATAGAAAAAAGAAAATGCCTCAGATGTGTAGTAAAGATTGGGCGGTCTTGTTGTCGGGGCATAGAACGTCCTCTATAGCGAAGATACCGCAGGCCATGAATCCCCTTGGTAGCCCATATCTGTTTGTGGTATTCGCGTGGATAGAGAGACTTCAAAGCCCCACTTTGGGCCCTCCGAGGCAGCCACAGGACAAAGTTGTTTGAAGGAGCCGGCTAACCCGCTTTCGGGGAAGGGAAAGGGATAACAGTCCGAGAGAGAGGAACGCAGGTGGGATATGACCGGGCCATAAGCCAGGTCTTCATTGTTGTGGTCTGGGGTTTAGTTGAAGATCGTTGTTGAACTTGGCCTCCTGTGGCTGGGGAGCGACGGAGGGGTGGTAGATGGTTTCGCGTCTGTTGGGGGGGGGGGGGGGGTCCTGAGGGTGCTTTGTCGTAGCATAGGATACGAGCATCGTTTGGTCCTTTGTAGGAGGAGTATGGCGCTCAGGTGATGTATTGAGTAGCTTCTGTGTAGCTTCTGTGTAGAGCGGGTAATGTGTAGCTGTGTGGGTCGCATTGTCACAGACGTTCAAATCCCTCAAACATTTATATACCAACAAGAAGGTTGCCAGTGCAGGTTCGTGGTAAATTGTGACTGCAGGGTTAGGTCTCGGACCCCCTAGCCCGCTCTGCCCTCACTCCCTTAAATATTACTTCCCGGCCTTTCACAGTTGTGTGAGCGTGGTAGTCTAGTGGTAGACGCCTCGTCTTGCTACACCGCGTGGGTTCAACTCCGGGGGTGGGAGTGGTGCTCGGGAAGTACGACACTTTCACGGGAAGCATTGTTCAATATCTCGAATTAGGACCTGTAGACCGTGGGTGGCGTATAGTCGCAGCATCAACTTTTTGTGTATTTATTGTCCGTTTTTGGTTTTCTTTGGAGGGGCATGAGGAGGGCCTTAGCGGGGTATGTGTGATTATCGATTGGAGCTCTCTCTCTCTCTGGCCAGCCTACAATCGCGGATAAAACTATCTTAGCTTCTCACTCATTATTTGGCCAATCTGCCTCCCCAATGTCAGGGCCGGATGTAGGATTATATAGGTCAGTTTAGCGAAACTCTTTCAGGCCATATTCTTTTATATATAGTATAGTAGATATCTATCCCGGATACCTGTCTAATTGCTCTTCACACCGTGGCTCTAAAATCATAATCTTAATCGATAGCGATCTTCATGCTACGTTTTTTTTTAGTAACTCTACTTACAATGTAGTTCGTTACGACGTGATGGTTTTTCCAAGTTACGAGTTTAATTAACCCCACTCAGGGCAGCAATTCGTCATGGTTGAATACTTGGAAACGGCTCCCAATATACTGGGTTGGTCTCATCTTAAATATGTGGAGCAGGAGGTGTCACGCCAATATGAAGAACGATGTTGTTATGTTCCTCCAGTATTGACCAGCTACATGTCTGGAGACAAAATGACGAGTAAATCAGTCAACATGGGTTAATTTGGTTCAATGCTTCAATATGTTGAACAAAACCGGTGATTAGAACATAGTGAGAGATACTTCCCCCTCCCTTGTTTCTTCTTTATATATAGTGATCGATTATTTTAAAGTATTGGCGGGTTAATTCCTAGGTTGCGGCCGTTGATCAGCTAGTGCTCTCAGCGAGATAAAGTACGTACCTCATACCTCCACCTTAAATCCCACCAGGATTAATTTGATCAGTACTCACTCCTTGTTTAGTTAGAAGTATACATACAGCAACCAAAGCTTTAATAAGCATGCGTGATGCAGGCTATAGGAGGCAAAAGCGATGAAGTAAACCAAATTTTGTCGAACAAGAAGCGTTCTAGACATGAAGATTACTCTACCGTGTACAAGGTTGTATGTACCGAGACCCAATTCACGGAAGTCTCCCTGAAACGGCGCCATGTGGAAACCTGTACAACTGAATGCTAATGCAGTGCTAGTGTACCACGAAGCTCAATCCAGACTAGATTCGTAATCTGACCTTTCATACATGTATTTTAGTCTGGTCTCCTATCCAAGTTAGCTCAATCGATAGCTCTCTACATAAGGCCATAAACTTACCTGTACTTGGAAGTACATGTATCTACATGTAGCTGATGCGTGCATTTATATCTTTATATCTACATGGAGTAGTCACTCATGGGATGACTAGGAGGAAAGGACGCCACTTTTTCACATTCACTTCTTTCTCGAAGACTACCATTCCTTCTACGCCCGTTGGTATATTGCGCTACTTACTCAGGAAAGTATAGCAACGCTAGAAATCCCACCCGAGCTACTCGAGTACGAACCGATTTAAACCATCCAATGAACTTATTTCGTGTCATATTTCTATCGCCAAACCAAGATCTACACTTATTCATCCGGAGGCCAGCTAGGATTAATACTTAAGTAAGCTCTATATTCAACACGCATAGAGTTTGAGAAACCCTGACTTAACTCGTAAAGTGCGTAGAGGATGATTTAGATGTTATAAAATATCTCCATTGACTCACATGTGGATTGACTCAAGTTGCGAATAGTGTGGCCTACGAGGACGAGTGTTCTTGTGCCCTTACCTCGAAGACACACAAGGGAGGTGGCCCAAAAGAACAAGGAGCCTCGAGGTCATTATCTGACCTTACCTCAAGGACTTCCAAGGACAATTCTTGGCTATAATACGCAGTTAATATATCTATATACTGGGTTGAGACTACCTACGTCCTCGATAGACTATGCTATTTACTTGAGTAAATGCCTGTTTCTGTTCCCCCGGAAACACTTTTTATCACCCTCGAGGACACACAAAGACGGAGGTCAATAAGGACGAGGCACCTCGAGGATACTCTCGGACTTCGCCTTGAGCGTACTTATGGACCACATTGATTGCGGAGAAGAAACATAAAGTGTAGTAGCCCCTAAAATCGGGCTAAGAACATGTTCCGATTCCCATCTTCATCTTCCTCATAGACGATCACTCGCTAGGCTTGGGGCCGAGACATACGATACAGAAAGAAACCATTCCATATAACAGATAAAGCTTATACATCAGTCTTAGATCCAACCTGTAACACAAGTTGTTCAGCATCCTTCATGCCCCTGGTGTTCCAATACTGACCCTTGTTTTACGAATTAAACAACAACTGGCATGTTTACAGTAACACACGCACCACAAACGCGCAGATCAATCGCGCCAAATCAGGCCAATCATCACACAACATATAAATATCGCCGGCTCAACCTACTCAAAACCGGCTCCGGCTGCAGTATAAAATAATCGTGACCCTTCATAAACGAATACCAGGACCAGGGGGGGCATGCTTCCTGCTCGGATCCTCCCTTCCGTATGTGCAACCTGAAGTCGGCAGGATCAGCCCCAATATATTAAGGTTTTGACATGGCAGCGGAACAGCGGAGCATCCGGCTAAATGCCTTCTAAATTGTGGGCCACGTTTGTACGAAGGAAAGACCTTTAGGATATGTATTATCATGATATAATGCGCCGGGTGTTTAGTAGGTATCTAGCCTCAAGGTCTTCCTAACGATTATAATTATTCATGCATTTGGCCGCTGATTGATTGATTCGTTATTGGTTCCACATGGCATTATGTACTGATATCCGTGGTCAATCATGATGAATAATTATATGAAGCCAGATACTTGGCTTGGTTTGTTTTGTGAGGCCAATTGACGACTGGCAGATCAATACATAGCTTAAGTACATGTAGTCATTCGCAATTAGTTCTGAAGTTGAGAAAAACGAGGGGTATGTTGGCAGGGATTACCATGTCTTATGATGGTAGTTTTAGATTAACTAACAGTGGAATTGGGGTATAAAACGGCTTTGTACAGGGACCTCACGATGCGAAAACAATTGGTCTTTGAATTTCCAAGTCAGACAAACTGCAATGGCGTTTAGAAAGCGGGAGTCGGATTAGGTTTACGGCTCAATCACAACCGCAACCGCAACCGATACACCATTTTTGCCATAGAAATGACTCAGGTATCGGAATGACAGCAGAGTACAAAATCAAGCCTTTCCCCTAGCATGGTCCCATCGTTTCCATTCATCCCAATCAGCTCTCATCCACCGACACCATAAGGCTATTTCGTCCACAGCATTTATACTCCCTCCAGAAATTCTTGATTATGGTTAATGTGATGCAGGGCTGTGTATGCCCGTTACAAACGAATGTGGAGCCCAAGTATCCCCGGTTACTTTGAATCTTGAGGTATTAGGCACTCGTTAGGAAATAATTAGCCTCTTATCATCGTGGCGTTACTAGCTCTCGAAATCCCATTTCTATTTTAAAGACTAGGTTTTGAACAACTCACTTCGTGTTACTGAAACTTGTAATTTTTCTTTAGATCCGTACTATTAGATTTAGTTATAATAGTAGGATAAATTAAGAACAAACTTCCTGGAACGTAGGTCGACTTAAATAGTTATTCCTCACGCAAAGGCGCCGAGTGATAATTTATGACCTGCCCATCATGGCCACTGTCACACGACTTAACTAAACACTGTCACAAGCCACCCAAACACAGTCTTTGCCATAATTTGAGGCTTAAAACCAAACTGGGCATCAAAGATACACGCGGCATGCACCTCCTTCGGGCAACTTTCCACCGTCAAACCCTGTACTCCTCCCTTCCCCATCCTCTCACCAATCTCCTTAATGTCATCTCGTGATAGCTCCCACTCACCACATACGAGTAGTGTCTTCGCTCCTGGGAATCCTGTCCACCAACTTGGGTCTGCGGATAAAGGAACATTATACGAGTTGTAATCCGCGTGATCGCAGAACTCGCTGGGGGCCCATGCGGCAGCGTTTTCGGCGTAAAGGTAGTCCTTCTCAGCATTCTCTTTGAACGATTTGGCTGTGTTTTCAAAGGTTACCCATGGTGATAATAGGAGTATGCCACCAAAGTCTTTGGAGCCGAGTGTTAGTGGCTGGATGTCCTTATGAGGGTGGAGAATATGAGAAATAACGCCGAGGGCTAGGTTTCCGCCGGATGAGTCGCCCCCAATTATTATCTGGGTAAATTATTGGTTAATATGTTTCGATTACTGGTGGGTAAATTTTTGGAGGTTACTTACATCGGAAGGTTCATATTTTGCTTCGTTGAGAAGATGCCTGACGGCTTCTACACCCTGAATATACTGAACGGGGTACCTGACTTCTGGAGCAAGTCCTAAACCCTACTGTCAGCATATTATTCCGAATTTTCAAGAGGCCATGTATTTACTTACCGTATTCTACGATACAAAGTACGGCCGTTTTCCCGCTCTCCTCTAGCCTCTTTACGCACTGCATCAGGAATATTACATGTCCTGACTTTAGAGGTCCTACATACCCCCCACCTATCACCACCCATCACTATCAGCCCTCACTCGGACCACTTTTAGAGTTCATAACACCCAAATTAACAACTCACCATGATACCACAGAATAACCTTTCCCTCGCTGCTCCTCTCACCAACTAAATGCAGCTTTGCTCCATGTACCAACTCTACTGTCTCTATCCGGATATTCTCTTTCTTACAATACTCATCCACCACATCACTCGTACTCGGCCACCTCTCCCGCCGTTGCTCTGGACTCTCTGGGCCGTTCATTGCATTCCGCCGTGAGATGCTGGTATAAACTTCACGATGCCATGTTTCCGCACCGTCAGAGCCTCGGAATAGGGCTTTGAGGCCCGTTGAGAGATACACAGCAGCTGGAAGCATAGATGTTTTAGTGTATGAGGTATTTCTGTTGGTGCGGGATATAGGTATCTACATACGTAGGCTCAACTTGCTTTTGTAGACTTCGAGCTTTTCGCAGTTGATGAGCGGCATTTCGGTTTCTGAATCGGTAGTAGGTTGCTGGGGCGGGGACTGGGACTCGGAGATTTCGTTTGGTGGGGTAGACATACTGGCTCCTGTCTATTCTATTGGGAGGTTACCAAGTAGAGATCGATGGTTGTAACTGACTAGTGACCAGTTTTAGCTTTACGAGTGACAGGCAAAATTGGCTTCTATTAGAGTAGGGATATTAGGGAGCTCTTCATGTATAGGATACCGGTGATGGTGGTAGAGGTCGGGTAATTCTACTTTACCCTCGTGAGCATACATAGCCATATGCGAACATCTGTAAGCCTTGTCTTCTTTACTACATGTGTAATGCGAAGTGTATAACACACAATCATCAGCCCACTACATGGACTCCACTGAAGCACTAGTTAGATTGTCGCAAGATTTGCTCTATATGCCAACTAGGATTGAATAGGAGTGCGGTAGGGGTAGATATGAATGCTTGAAATTTTTGCACATGGGCTCGAAGTTAAGGTAGTTCTTTGAAGAAACCACCTAGATCTGTAGTGATGGCTAGGTACCACCACCACGGGAGGCGCAGAGATTTGATTTTCGCTATGCCACGGGGCTGTGCGAGCTCCAACCCCCATTATCGATTACAAAGTCAACCACAGCTCGATAAAGCTCTGCCAGGGCTAGAAGTCAAAATAAGGTTGGTCTAAATAAACCTGAGATCGTGCCTAGCCTTACTTTTATCATCATCTGTCACTCTACCAATTTATTACAACAGGGGCCACATGTTCACATCCGCCTCAGTACATAAGATCACCAAGAATGATGGGAGGTTTGATAAAAGCAATGCACACGTTTGAAATTAGTCAAGACTATGGAGCATTACACCCTTTTCGATCACCTTTTAAACCATCCGTATTCGTCATATGCGCTCTATTAAAAAGTGACGGGTATAGATTCAAATTCCAACAAAACGAAGAAAAAAATTGCCACTCTCCACTTTCATCTGCACCGAACTCAAATACTCGTAATCGTATTTTGAAGTAAAGTAAAGATTTAAGCCTCCTCAGCTGGGAGCTCCTCCTCGTAAGCCTCGTCCTCGCCATCCTATTTACCGAAGTGTTAGTGCTGGAGGGTAGAGTGATGATTGCGAATAAACTTACAGAAATGGTGGCGTCTTGGTATTGCTGGTACTCAGCAACCAAATCGTTCATGTTGGACTCGGCCTCAGCTGTAGGTGAAAATAAGGTTAATTCGGGCTCTATTGCTCAGGAAGGATCAAGACTTACTGAATTCCATCTCGTCCATTCCCTCTCCAGTGTACCAATGCAAGAAAGCCTTCCTCCTGAACATGACAATAAATTGATCACCAATACGCTTGAACATCTCCTGGATACTGGTAGAGTTTCCGATAAAGGTGGAGCTCATCTTCAGACCTCTGGGTGGGATTGAGCAGAGAGCGGTCTGGACATTGTTCGGGATCCACTCAACGAAGTAGCTTGAGCTCTTAGTCTGGATGTTGCGCATCTGGTCCTCAACCTCCTTCATTGAAACCTTTCCGCGGCTGTTTGACTGTTTAGTGAACGTTTCCCGTTACTGGAAAGAAGGAAACTTACAAGAAAGTGGCGCAAGTAAGGAAACGACCATTACGGAAATCTGGAGCAGCCATCATGTTCCTGGGGTCGAACATTTGCTGAGCAAGCTCAGGGACAGTGGTGGCACGGAAGGAATGAGCACCACGCGAAGTAAGAGGTGCGAAACCAACCATGAAGAAATGGAGACGCGGGAAAGGAACCATGTTGACGGCCAATTTACGGAGGTCAGAGTTGAGCTGACCGGGGAAACGGAGACAGGTGGTGACACCGGACATGACAGCAGACACAAGATGATTGAGATCACCATATGAAGGGGCGGCAAGCTTGAGAGTGCGCATGCAGATATCGTAGAGTGCTTCGTTATCGATACAGAAGGTTTCGTCAGAGTTTTCAACCAACTGATGGACAGACAAAGTAGCGTTGTACGGCTCAACGACGGTGTCAGAGACCTTGGGAGAAGGGACGACAGAGAAGGTAGCCATCATTCTATCGGGGAACTCCTCGCGAATCTTGCTGATAAGCAAGGTTCCCATACCGGCACCAGTTCCACCACCGAGAGAGTGGGTGATCTGGAATCCCTGAAGGCAATCACACCCCTCGGCCTCACGACGGACAACATCCAAAACCTGGTCGACAAGCTCGGCACCCTCGGTGTAATGTCCCTTGGCCCAGTTGTTACCGGCACCGGATTGACCATACACAAAGTTGTCGGGACGGAACAATTGACCGAAAGGACCGGCACGGACAGCATCCATGGTACCGGGCTCAAGATCGACTAGGACAGCACGGGGAACATATTTGTTTCCGGAAGCCTGATTTGCATGAGCTAAACTCTAAATGAATAGAAAGTAAGGGGTGCTTTTTCTTACCTCGTTGAAGTAGACGCTCATACGCTCAAGCTGGAGATCGCTTGTTCCATTGTATCTAAGGGAAAATTAGTATCACTTGATAACACCTAAAGGTAGATTTGACAACTTACACTCCTGACCCATCAAGACCGTGCTCACCACCGATGGTTTGCCTATATTAATACGAAAAGTCAGTCATCTACAGTCCATCGTTTTTCTAGAAGACGCAAAGAAAGATGATGCGCACCAGAAGGCACTACCAATTTGGTTACCCTATAGATAAAATGTTAGGAAAACGGAAGGGGCAGTTTAAAAAAATCACTGAGCAAGATCAGGGTCTTACACATTGACCAGTTTGGAGATGAACCTGAATTCAGTTTTATATTAGCAACAGAGCTACGGGATTAAGCACGCGATATCAAACAGGGAGAGATGGAACATACGATTTCACGCATTTTGATAAGGGTTGATTATTATTGAGATAGAAATCGAATACAAGGAATCCTAGAGCTTCGTGAGATCGTGGGAGGATGGAGAAGGAAGATTGGAGGATGTAGAGGATGAAGAGGAGAGAAGGGTGGTGTTGGTGATGGATGAAGGAAGGAGGTGTGGTGGCGGACGGGGGGGTTAGACTGGTGACGGGAAGGGACGTGGAAAAAAAATCAATGCGGCTGCTCGTGCAGTGCTGCGGATAGGAGAAAACCAGCACTTCCCATACTGACAGACCACCACTCACACACACACCGCCTAATCTCCGTTGCCAGCAACCCAATCCCTCGCCCACTCTCAGGAGAGTGATGGACAAATCCCTCAGAGCTGCTCTCAGGTAGCAGGTGGACTTACTGTTCAGAGCCAGTACTTATCAAGGTATCGTTTGCGGTATCTCCTATTCACTTTATCGCACTCATAATCAATTGAGCTTAGCCCAAATACGAAGACCGAGACCTGGCTCTGCCGTATCGATAAAGGGGCGCCCCTAACCCTGTCTTCCCAAAAGTTTGGCCAGGAACAAAAACATCATTGTTGTATCGGTACCATTTCCCGGACCACTCAATCTCACATTTTTGTATCAGCGAAATCCTTTGACTTCATGGAGCCGGTCAATCTTCTACTTAGATGCAACTTTCTGCATTAAGCAAGATGTTTGACACCTGTGTGGTCCCTGCGTAGCCCAAATCTTGACTGGTCACCTGTTCGCTCCCCACACCCCACCGCTCGAATGTGGTCAAGCCTGCACTGGTCCGCATTTCAAGCCTAACTCGAGTTGGAGGAACGGCGATTTAACCCCTGTCAAAAAGCCCTGAACCGTAGGCAATCCCGCCTGTAGGTACACCTGCAGCCGCTCGTTAAGTTGTCCAGAGATCTCTGAATATTCACTCTGCTGAGAAAGATTATTACGATCTGGGGGCTGTCGATTGATTAGGGTGATGCAGGTACCGATGTGGATGCATATATATTATTGTGAGGGTAGGCCATAATCCATCTACGTTTTGATACTGAGGAGTTGAACTCCAAGCTACAACCGTGGAGGTGGGTTATTGAAACTAGAGCTTAAGGCAGCTATCGGTTTTCTCGATCTTGGGGTATATCAGCATTTAGTCCCGGATAATAGATAATAGAGATCATGGAGCGTGAGCTGATTTCTTGACTACCGGTGTCAAATGTTTCGAACAGCTGGTTGGTTGCTACTAATTTCAAGTCAAATAGGCCAGACCTACATCTTAGCACGGGCTATTGCATGCGATTTAGTTGACCAGCTGGGTGATAACGTGGAAATGATCAACTACCACCCCGGCTATTGAATAGTACAACATCCACCAAGGATCGATTCTTGTCTCCATTCCGGGGTTTATAGCTTTTGATGTTTTTGAAAAGTCTTGAAATTCGGGATGCACATGGCTGAACTTGGAAAACAATTGATTCATCACCAAATCTATTCAGGTAAATGAAACACTTCGGAATAGATTCTTGCGAATATAGCCGGTCTTTGGGGCGTAAGATTGTATATCATCGCCCCCCCAAAAAGACTTAGCTATTCATCGGTATTCCTTTCCTGTCTTTTGTCATGTTCACTTTCCTGAAGCGGTAAACATCCTGTACTTGGTTGAGCTAGGATAGGCATCGTAATGCGAGCCTAATAAACCAAACAAAGCCATGGGTAATCAATACATAATATTTGAAAATCCGCCTGACCGGACTCTGATTCACTTTATATCAAAGTAGTCTCACCGCCGCGTGCTACGTGAGATGGTGGATCTGGGCACCTAGACGTTCCGAGTCCCGAAGCGCGATTGATCACCATCGGATCCAGTACTCGCTTTTTCACAAACCCACATGGGTATCCCAAAACCCACGGTTCAGCTGCCGAATGCACGACTTGTTCATCCGAAGCTTGGGATCTTCCTGTACCAGGGATCTATGTCCGGAGAAGCTCCTCTCAGCTCCAGTTGGTTCAAAGTCTATGCTTGACCATATCGAGAACTTGTGTCTTTAGCAATGAAACCAATAATAGACGCTGACGATAAGCGAACAACTGCCGCGCTATCTATCTATTGACCGAAGCGTCTGATGTCGGTGTCCAGGCATACCTACTGGTCATCACATTATCTAGCGGGTTGACGGGAAGATACACCAGAGGATATGCACCCAAAACTCTATTCTACATACCACATAACAGTGAGCTAAAGATATCTTCTTCTTCTTCTTATACTACTACCACTACTGCTGCTGTTATTTATCTACTGTCTCCGCTAATATCAAGATGGTACGATCTACGATCGCTTCAACTGCGATTAATAGAGAGGCACCAATTCATGAGATAGGATGGATACAATTAAAGCTTATGAACCTTAACTCGTATTATTTGAACTATAACTATATGTATTGCCACACTAGCCGCATGTACTATTAAGTATTTTGTGACGTCGACTGGACTGTGCAGCTAGATACTACGAAGTCTAGAATCTGGAGTCCATCTCGATCGCTGGAATTAAGAGCGGAGGCATTTCTTGGAATGGTTAAAGAACCTAGAATGCTCACTTGACAAAATACTCGCCAGAATATTCAACCCGATATGTTTCACAGACTGCGTGAATAGCCTGCTACCACCGCCGCAATCATGTGTGACATGTTTGTGACTTCCCTGGGAATCTCACCTTTGCCCCAGGAATCACACCCTCTGGTCTAGCTGCCTTGTCTCTCCACACAAGATGACGTTCACTCAATATTAGGGCTTCCATAATAAAACATCACGCATTTTCTGCGAGAAAAAGAAACCAATCAGCTACTAATAATCGTACAATTAACCGAGAGGTCAGAGATGCGGGTGACCATGAATTTGCCTGATTTGCCAATGACTGTATGTTTGTTCCAGATGTTTGGTAAGAATCATATTATCTAACCCATTGAAGAACAGCACAACTAGGGTAAAATATTCCGGAGGGTAGGCCTCAATCTAGCCCTGATCCTCCTACAATTCTCACTGCTGACTTCGATGAATACTCATGTGTCTACCTAGTGGGTCATTAAGGTTGATCGTTATGAAAAGAGCAGTTCTGCGGTGACGAAATAATTAAAGCCCGGTACGGTGGGTTGTACTGGGAGTTCAGGTGCCGTAGCTCAGCTTTCTCATGCATTCTTATCCAGGTAAATGTTGTGAGTTACGATTACCTGACCGAAAATAGGTCACACTGTGTCCGACCACGGGCAATGATTACCATCTTAATATTCTCAAGAGCGGTGCGGTAGTGTCATGCTGTATGTAAACTCTTTTGGTAGGCTCTGGAAAATATATATATAATGTGGTCTCTCCGCTATAATCAGTATATATCACGTCGCCATTCGATATCAGCAATACCCATAAGAATCAGTTTTACTCCACCAAGCCCAAAAACCTAGCCAGAAGATTTTAGTATTTAAGAAACTTTTTTTTCACTATCAATTCCTCTCAACTTTACTCACACACACACAAAAAAAAAAAAAAAAAAAAATGCATACTCCATTCTTCCGAAAGAGGGACTTGATAGATCAAGGGTATAATCCCCAGGTGGAGAAGATAAGAAGAGACGAATATCCGCAGCTTAGAGGTGAGAAATGAAAAGATTGCCCTATAATATACTACCTTTCCCTTACAATAGAATTAACACTAACACTTCAATTAGATGCTGTCTACCTTGACCATAGTGGGACAACACTGTATAGTAGCTCACTAGTAAAGGCTTTCACCAAGGATCTTATGAATAACCTTTATGGAAATCCGCACTCCCATAACCCATCGTCAACCCTATCTTCGGACAGGATAGAAGCTGTCCGCCTCAGAGTCCTAGGGCTCTTCAAAGCCGACCCAGCTGAGTACGACGTTGTTTTTTGCGCCAATGCTACTGCTGCAATCAAATTAGTAGCAGACGCCTTTGCTGGACACACTGGTGGGTTTGAATACAAATACCACAGAGATGTCCACACATCACTTGTGGGGGTCCGAGAATTGGCAACCTCTTCCCACTGCTTCGACTCCGAGCACGAAACCGAAACCTGGCTTTCCTCAGAAAAGACTACCTTCACCGCCGAAGAAAACAAACTCGGTCTCCTTGCTTGGCCAGGGCAATCCAACTTTTCCGGTCACCGTCTCCCACAGAATGATTGGTCCGGTCTTCTTCGCAGCCGCCGCCCAAACTACTACTCCCTCTTTGACGCGGCAGCTCTTGCAATGACCAAGCCTATCGACTTTAGTAATCCTTCCGAGGCACCAGACTTTATGTCTTTGAGCTTCTATAAGATGTTTGGTTTCCCAAATCTTGGTGCCCTCATCGTTCGCCGTGCATCTGCCAAGGCTCTAGTATCTCGGCGCTATTTCGGCGGCGGAACCGTGGACTCCCTCATCGCCAACAAGGACTGGAAAGTCAAGAGAACCAACGGACACCCGCATGAATTTCTCGAAGACGGCACATGCGCCTTCCACGCCATAGTGGCCTTAGGACATGCCATGACTTGCCATTCCAAGCTGTTTGGGGGGTTTGCACAAATCTCACTTCACACATCATCACTCGCATCTTTCCTCACTGCAAGGATGTCGGCACTAGTGCACCCAAAGACCGGCATCAGGGTTGTTGACATTTACTGCGAAAATGAACACGCCAACACCCACACCCAGGGACCAGTCATCACATTCAACCTCCGATCAGCTAATGGGGAATGGATTGGCTACTCAGGTGTCGAATCTGCGGCCGCGGGAAAGAATATTCACATCCGTACAGGTGGGCATTGCAACCCGGGCGGTGTATCCTACTTTTGTGGGCTTTCGAGTGAAGAGATGGAAAGAAACTTCAAAGACGGACATGTGTGTGGAGATGGCCGTGATGTTATGAATGGGAAACCAACTGGAGCTGTGAGAGTTTCATTAGGTGCTATGACTACCATTGAGGACGTCCTGAAGTTCCTAGAATTCATCAAAGAGGAATACGTCGAAAAGGATAACAGCAAGTGGAGGGCACGCGGAGGTAGGGTGGCTAACATGCTCTGTAGCCTTGTTGATTTTTGATCTCAATTTTCTTTTAATTCTTAATTCTGTTAATTTTTAAACCATGTCGTATACGTACCCCTGTCAACCATGTAGTTAAAACCTCCTGTTTATAATTTCCTTATGCGGATCGTCAGGATCAATATATATCTACATCAAGTTTCCGTCTTGTATCTCTGCTTATTCTTTGGATTGTTTTTCTTTGTCGATACGCTTGCCAGTACATGAATTGTTGTTTATATAGCTACCCCCATGAGCCATGTGTATATGTACATGAAGTTACATCTCAGCTTCGAATTGAAAGAATCACAATGTATGTATGTCAAATTAAACGATCAAATGATTACATGTATATGTGTTCTGAACTTAGCTAGGTCTATAGAATACGTTTTCTGGATGCAAATTAAACTCAAACCGGCCGTTGATTAAGTTCTGTCTGAACAAGTCGAAGACCATGGTCTAATAACCCTCATAATCACTTCTGGGAAAATGATTCCCTGGCCCGTCTACCGGTCATATCCCATCACTCACTATCTTACTCCTACTTCAAAAACACCGCCATCGTCAATTCAGCAGGTAATCGTCTTAGTTTCAGCCATAGCTGTGTCTCAAGATTACCCCTTACTGTCTCACTTCCATGCGGGCTTTGAGAGGTCAGAGCTCAGACTTCGTCTCACGACTTGGTAAGACCGAGAGGTGACAAGAAAGACTCCTGTACCTCGGAAGATTCCAAGATAGTTCTCGGGAGGTGGTCGAGTGCATAGTTCTCTGGAGAAACCTGAGACCCAAGAAGAAACATAGTGGGGGTCATAAAATCTGATTTGGTTGGCTCACTGTGCTAGAAGAGTTTATTCCACGAGTCCCGCATCGATCGCAAGTGTCCCAGTGCATGCAAAGGAAGATACCGACGTTTCTAATGAGGTTTTTATGGATGTCAGAGTCAAATCTAACTGCAGAAATTCAATATCACAGGTATCATGCAGTCTGGAGTAAAATCAGTGCGTTAAGAGGGTTAGATCTACCAGCCATGATTGCGTATACGTTATCCGGATGTGGCTTTTTCCACAAGTCTGTAATGTATTTGGAATACAAAGAATCAAAGAATTCTGCAGATATGTCGCTTTGATCATAATCTGGTCGTTGTAGTTGGTTACCGGGATCTTCAACCGTCATAGCATATTTACAATCCCGCTTCCCGGGCCCGGGTCGGAGATCAATAGCAGACATGGTTTGGGATTGTGACTCTAGGCGACATATGAAGTTCGAAACATGAGACGACTCGAAAGCGGCAGAGAGCACCCACGAGGACCCATAAAGCGGCGAGTTAGGACCAGTTGCCAGGAAGGGATCATGGATGACAGCACCATGCGGCCCACGGTAGGAGTTGCCCAGGAGCCCACACATACTCAGAGTTATCCTAGTTCCTCTGGATGTCTTATCGGTATTCCGTTCCATGCATGTGCAGCACCCTGCAAAAGTGCTAGCGATCTGGTTTTAATATCAGTGCACAGTGTGGCGCACCCGTAATGTTGATATTAATGCTCAGATTGAAAACAACGAAAAATGGTGATTTTTACCCTTCATTGATTCCGGAAGTGGGAAAGTCTTCTCTTGGGGGATTTTTGGTGGCCGCGGCCACAGTTACATATGGAGAAATGTCTCACTCCGAAATCGGAAAAATGAACACTTTTGCAGAGTGGCTGTACCGTTTCAGTCTCCCGCCGAGTTCTTCACCTCAACCAATGGCCACAATTATTATGGTATACTTAGATCGTAAACCCTCATTTTCAGTTAGTTGATAGATTTAGATAAAACACCTATCATCAAACTTAGCCGGTCTGTGGCTATACTCCAATGAGCTGCTGTTAAACGGCGATTATATGAATTGTCAAGCTCGGTGGACTTCCCCACTAAGACTACTAGACCCCACCTCTTTGGTTGGGGTTCATCTAGATCGCTTGGACGGTCCTTACGCTCATTGCATACCCTCGACATATATCGAGGGCTCGGTGGGTGTTGATGCTTAGTAGTAATAGAGTATGGTGATGCCGAGAGGCAACCTTCTTAAGACCATTCGGGGAAAAGAACCCAGTGCGTGAGTCCTGCGAGATGATTATCTCATTGTCATCATCTTGGTAAACAGTGCGACATTATCGTTTGGTCAGAGAGCCCCATAGAAAAAGCCGCAAAGCCTTGTCTGTAGACAAGACTTAGACCTGGCTACAAAATGTCTATCTTTCCTTCCGCATTATCTTCCGGTCCCCTATCATTCTTCGTCTTTTTTTGTGGTAGATGTTGGTGATGGCTATGCTGCTCTTTAGCCCATTTTCTTCCGAAAATGTTCGTAGTTATGCAGTGCAAAGCGGTCATTTGTTTTGCGCTCATTCTCCAAGCCTTAGTTTGGAGTCTTTGAGGATTTTAAGTGACCATATTTTGCGGGATACAGCATGCTTAAAAGGCCGGAAAGCCAAAGACTACCACGTACTGCTAAATGTGGGTTAGATGGAATTTGGCAGCCTCATAGAGCCGTCCGCTGCCGAAGTTTTATAACAGCTGGGTTTTATCCTTTGCCTAGCTGCGTTGTTGGTCTTATTAATGTTTTTATGAATTGATATCTCCCGGGCTAGCCACAAAGAATCCGAGTCCTTAAAAGAGGGAAGCTTTGCTACGAATACCTGTCTTTTTACCTTAGATTTTTTAGATGCTACACCTAGAAAGCTATAATCGTTAGTAGACTAGTAGTATTCATAGCTTAAACAAAGAGCAATTTGCTACCCGTATAATATGCCCCGTAGCAGAACCTCTTGGAGCGACCCAATAGGAATACCCACAACCCATCTCAGTCTTATCAAACCGTGTTGAGCGAAATCCAACGTCGGTCAGATCCGACCAACATCAGCTCCACCAACACAACGTGACAACACCAGACGGCTGCGGCATACAGTATACCCGCGCATCTGGGTAAAGCTGTTAGCATGGGAGAGCTTGTCCGGGGGAGAGCTTGTCCGGGGATGGGGCGGCTTTTGTTCACCACCATCACCACCCCCCCCAACCACTCCCCCCTAAGAACAACCCCCACAACCCATCCCAGTCTTATCAAATCGTGTCAAGAGAGATCGAACAGTTAGACTAGACCAACGGTCTTAATCCTCAATCCAATCTGACACAACGTGACAACACCAGACGGTTCCAGCAAGCCCGAACATACAAATTGTGGTCTGTTGTAGCGGGGTGGTGGTGGTGGTGGTGGTGGTGGTGGTGGTGGTTTGGCTTACTGGCGGGGTTTATTTAGTAGATACCGCGGTGGCAGTGGAAGGGAGGGGTGTGTGTGTTTTCCTGCTGTCAGTTGTTGTGTTGTGGGGGTGAGTGTGTGGAAAGGAAAGAAGGAGGGAAGGAAGAGTGGGGTATAGAAAGTAGGAAAAGAAACATGCGGTGCGGTGTGGGGCGGGTAACCTGCGGGACTGCTTGTACGGTCAGCTTGCCCTTACGCTTACACTGCAGCTGGCTACGTCCCTTAGCACTTATTATCAGCGGGAGACGCTTCTTCCTTCTACTTGGGCGAGGAGTACAGCCTCCTCTCACCAGCACTCCACATCAATCCCCGCGACCCTAACCCTACGAGTGACATCGTATGATCGGCACAATCACAGCCTCTCACTCGCCTCGCCCCCCAAACCTTTTTTTCATTTACGTATACACTCTAACACAAATTGATTGACTGATTGCCTCGCGTCCATTCTTAAAGACACAAGCCCCAAATAACCGTAGTAGCATAAAAATCATTTCATTATCCCCCGCAAACACTAACACCAATATTAATATCAACCACTAGCTAGCTAGCTAATCTCCCGCGCGCCATCCTCTATGTATACTATCGTATCTACCACAGCACAACAAATGAATCATAAAGATAAGAGAGAGGTAAGAGAAAAAAGAGACCAATAGACAAGGGTGAGAGAAGAGAAGGAGAGCATTACCCCCCCTCCCCACTACAACTGAAGAAGAAAGAAAAAAAAAAAAGCCACAACCATAAAAACACTACAATAACAAAAAAAAGCGAGAACGCCGTTTCCAAACACCGCCAACGAACAAAAAGTTACAAGAGCGTACAAGAGGTAAAGAGGTTAAGAGGTTACAAGAGTGATAGAGCTGAAAGGGGAAAGAAACACACAACATAGACACAGCAAGCCCGCGGGCACGCGTACCTACCAAAATTGCATTCCATTTCCGAGGGGGGTGGTTAATATAGAGCTGATCGGGGGGGTATAGCAACAAAAAAGGCCAAAAAAAAAGAGCCACAAGCCACAAGCCATAAGCACACAAGTCCACCCCATCTCACTTACTGAAAGACCAACCCCACCACGCACCTCACGGCCTCAAACACGCCGCGGTCCTTGACGAGCGCTGTAAACACTTCGCCAACCTTCCTGAGGCTGCCGCGGTCATCTGCGTCTTTCCCTGTCACCCGCAAACACATTAGCATGACTTCCCTCTTACCCCACTCCACACACACACGCAAGACAGGAAGGAAAAAACACTCACAACACCCCGGAAACCTCACATCCGCACTCAACTCGCTCTCTGCCTCCCCCACCTCGTCCACACTGATCCTCCAACACACCACCAGCTCCACTCCCCCCTTCTCACCCCGGCGCCGGAAAACAAGCACACTCCTCCCCAACCATGCCACCACCTCCCTCCTGCTCACTTTTCCCTTCTCTCCCCCCTTTCCTACCACCCCCACCGCCCCCGCAGGAAGCAAGTCCGGAAAGCTCTTCGTACACCTAGCAAACACTCCCGCCCGCCTCTTTGCCAGTACCATGTAGCTACTCAGCGCATACAGCACTCTATTCACATCCCCCTCCGTCGCTGCGGCGGCCAGCGGCGCAGTCAGCTCGGCTCGTGCCCATGGCGAGATTGTGGTGGAGAGGCTGCGGATGCTAGAGGTGGGGGGTCGAGGATGAAGGTGAGTGTAAAGGTAAGGAGGCGGTGGAAGCGTAGCCGGTGGCTGTGTGTTTCTGGAGGGGCGCGGAGGGTGGTGCGGTATCAGTGGTGGTGAGGAAGGCGGTGGTGTCGTCGCCGTCGGAGGTGGTGGGGAGAGGGGGTGTGTAGGTGCTTGTTGAGGCGCGGGTAAAGGTGAGACAATGGAATGCCCCCGGGTCCGTAGATTCTCGCGGGCGTGCACTCGGTATCAGCTCATCCTCCTCTACCTCCGTAGCTTTCAGCGCCGGTAGTGCCGTGTGTGAGCCGTCGTTGGCGGCGAGTAACCTCTGCAATAGCGCCTGCAGCCCGTCATCCATTCTATCCTTCTCCACTCTATCCACCCTCTTCACCACTCCCGCCACCGCCGCCGACTCCTTTGCAATTCTTGCCTCCTCCAGCTCCCGCTGAACTTTCAACCCTTCAATCTCAGCCTTCAGCGCCGCCACCCTCTCACTCAGCAGCTTCCTCAGCGCCTCTTCATCATCCGTGACATTTTCCTTCTGCGGTGTCTTCTCTTTAGCTGGTAGGGGGGTGTCCTCGTCGCGCGGGCGCTTCTCGTTCCCCGCCTTCTCTGCCAGTACCGGGCGGCGGGGTGTCGGCGTGGGTGTACCTGGATCCGCACCACTACCACTGGGGGAGTCTACGGAGGTGCCCAGGCGTGTAACGCTACTACCGACGTCCGAGTCTTGGAAGAAGCTGGGTGTTGCCGGTGGGGGCTGCTTGCGAACGGGGGATTGAGAGAGGCGTGGGCTGCCGATGCGGCGGAAGCGGAGGGAGGAGGAGGCGGTGAAGACTTGTGAGGGGGCGGGGGGTTTGGTGGTTGTTTTTGTAGTGGTGGTGGTGGAGGAGGAGGAGGTGGATTGGGAGGTGGGCTGGGATTGCGGGCGTATGAGGAGAGGAATCTTTGATGCGGGGGGCCGGGGAGCTTGATCCGCTTTGGGGGGAGGGGTCGACGGATGTCATTTCTGCGGCGTGCGGGTACCGGTGGTCTCTTGTGTGTGCGGGTGCCAGTATTCTCTTGTGTTTGTAGATGTGCGGCGTGCGGTGTGCGGGGCGCGGGTGTACCGGTGCTCTCTCTCTCTCTCTCTCTCTGCGTGCGTGCGGCGGTGTGTCGTGCGGGTGCTGCTGCTCTCAGACAGATCGGGGCGGGCGGGACCTGGACGGGGCGCGGGTGTCGCGCTTTGTGTTTGTTTATGCGGGGCACGTGATGCGGTTACCCGGCAACGCTGTGGTTGGTTGGTTGGTTGGTTGTGCGGTGTGCGGTGTGCGGGCGTTGCTGGGAGGTGCGGTATCTCGAGATAGACCCCCGGGCGAGTGATATCAGAGAGACGTCTGTATTTGAGCTGTCTGTATCTCAGTTGTAAACTGTCTGCGGGACTGAGGTCTGTAGTTCTGTGGATATTCAGATCACATTGAGGTATTCGGGTTAATTACATGTAATAAATATTCGAGATGTATATATGCGTGCATCTCAGCATTGGCTGGCTGTTCTCTGCTGTTACCCTGCCCAGCCACACACACACACACGTGCCCACGCTCTCTCCGCTCGTCACACCCGGCCAATTGAGCTCAGCTCTCCGCATCAACCAACCAACGCCACACAATTATCATCACCGCCAAACACCAAAACACAAATTCACAAACCCGACCAATTCTCCCCTCACAACCCCCCCCCCCCCCCAACAAACACCCCACAAACACCCCACCCCCACAATGGCGCTCTGGAACGCCGACACCGTCAAAGACGTCTCTGAGTCCGTCGGAATCCCCTCTCTCTCCGACGAGGTTGCTAAAAACCTCGCCATGGACGTCGAATACCGCCTGCATCAAGTCCTACAAGAAGCTCTCAAGTTTATGCGCCACTCCAAGCGCACCACCCTCGCCACAACCGACATCTCCAACGCCCTGCGCGTGCTCGACGTCGAGCCGCTGTACGGGTACGAATCCACACGGCCCTTGAAGTTTGGAGAGGCGTCCTTGGGACAGGCACAGCCGATTTACTACGTTGAGGACGATGAGGTGGATTTCGAGAAGCTGATCAACGCGCCGCTCCCCAAAGTCCCCCGCGAGGTGACGTTCACCGCACATTGGCTAGCAATTGAAGGCGTCCAGCCCGCAACGCCCATGAACCCCACGCCCTCCGAGTCCGCACGCCAATCTGAAACAACGCCTAAAGGAGCCCCTCCCCCCGCCAGCACCACGGTCCCCACCACCGCGGATGTGTCAGTGCGCCCGCTCGTAAAACACATCCTCAGCAAGGAGCTGCAGCTCTACTTCGACCGGGTCTGCAGCGCGGTCACCGACGAGAGTAATGACGCGCTACGGGCAGCTGCACTCGCTTCGTTAAGGAATGATCCTGGCCTCCACCAGCTGCTGCCGTACTTTGTGCAGTGGATCAGCGAGAAGGTCACGCATGGGCTCAAGCACCTGTTTATCCTCTCCGTCATGCTGCAAGTGACACATGCACTGCTGGAGAATAGCAATCTCTTCATCGAGCCATATGTGGCTGCTCTCATCCCTCCAATCCTCACCTGCCTGATCGGCAAGCGGCTCGGCTCCGGGGGCGGCGGCGACGCCGCAGCATACGAGCTGCGGGATCTGGCCGCCAGTCTACTAAAGGCGGTTTGTAAGAGGTTCGGGGATAGCAGCCACACGCTGAAGCCGAGGCTGACGAGGACGTGCTTGAAGCACTTTCTGGACCCGGCGAAGCCGTATGGCACGCATTATGGGGCGATCATGGGGCTGGCGGCGGTCGGTGGAAGGGAGGCGGTGAGGGTGCTGGTGCTGCCAAATGTTAGGCTGTTTGTGGAGGGGGTTGTGAAAGGGGATGGGGGGAGCGAGGCGGAGAGGGTGGTGGGGGCTGTAGTAAGCGTGTTGCGGCTGCTGGAGGAGGAGGAGGTAGCAGGGGTTAAGCCAGAGGGGGAGATGGAGGAGAGCATGAGAGAGAAGCTCGTGGAGAGGGTGGGGGAGACGGTGGCGGAAGAAGTGTGGAGGGTGGGCAGGCCGGGGCTGGTGAAGGCCATTGTGGAGCCCGTGGGGGGTTTGTAGAGGGGGCTGGCGTATTTCTTTTGTTTTTCTGTTTTATAAATAGGTGTAATGGGGATATGACTTTCTTTCTCTTCCTTCTCTTCCTTTGCTTCGTCCCCTTCTTGTTCCACCTATCGGTTTGTGATGAGCAGTGGCTAGAACGGTGATATATACATGTACTCAAGAAACATGGGGGCAACGACCGTCGGTTTCGGGCTTTTTGTGATCAAGGTGTTTATCAGAGCTCTAGAGAAGGCTGTGGTACTAAATACTCGGATTCAAAAATGAGAGTGATAATGATTGATTGATAACTCATTAATTGAGAGTGTTGATTGGGCCAAAAGCGGGCTGCCACAACTTAACTTATAGCCCTTGAAACTAACACCTATGCTAACCCGAGCCCGATCACGTAGCCACTAAAACGTGTATTAACACATGTTCTGCTAAGCTACCCACAGGCAACAAAGTCACAGAATATCACTCGTGCCCATCCATCACCATTGCGAGTGATAGTATATGATTACAGTAGCTCCACCCACGCCAAGATCGTAACGCATCCTCACCGTTTCCTACATGCTTGCCTACCTACGAAGGGGCGTATCACGGACAGATGTCACCATCCACAGAATAGGCGATGACTGATTCTGATTGAACTATCGAATATGAAGAAGGAAGAGTCCTCTATTTATAGTGCAAACAAAGGGACTAGTTTAACACGTATTCACTGCTTGAAAAGACAGTTATAAAAGAACACACATAGCTGATATGACAAGAACACGTCCAGTATGAACAAACACTCTAGTAAATATCGCTAAGAATAACAGCACACACTTTTAGAAGGCTGCTAATGAGGTCTTAGGAAAGAGCTCTCCACTAGCTCTGGTTAGGGACTGCGAGAAAAGAGGGGAGGAAAGAGGGATGCCCCTCCTTTTCGTGCCCTGATCTTTGGTGAATGCTCTCTGGCGCTAGTGGGCCATGATGTACGTCGTGGTAGATTCAATATCATGACAGTGTTAGGTGTTTCCCCCTAGGTCGCTTTATCCTCTCCCTTAAGTACATGTATTACCCCCGGGCCACCGAGAATTGTGTGGGTGGGTGTGGTCTGGGGTCTAGTCCCGCCAGTTAGTTACCCGCCCCCCAGAGGCTACTGCACCACGTCTTCTCTTTCCTCCCCATCTCCTCCCCTTCCCACTTCTTCCTTCCTACCCACATAACCACAACCATATCAACCACCAACCTTGCCATCCACTATAACCTAGACAAAGTCTCTACACCACCTTCCCCTCCCAAAGACAAACCTTCAGATGCGCGGGTACGCGTCAAGCGTCTAGTGTTGTCACGTTGTGTCGGTGGAGTTATTGTCTGTATCGGTCTGCTGACCTTTTGATCGATATCTCCTACGATACAATTTGACAAGACTGAGACGCTTTGTAGCGCGCCGCCATCATGAATAGGTACTAGTACTAGAACTACATGCATCTCCCCAGGGAAAGCTTTCCCTATATTAGCAGCTCTGCTCGATGAGCGGATAGGCCTCAAGCGTCTAGTGTTGTCACATTGTGTTGGTAGACGGAATTGGCCTCGTCTGGTCTGACATTTCGATCGCGCCAACACAACTTGATAAGATTGAGACGCTTTGTGTGCGCCGCCATTCGTCATCAAGTTAACAGGTATTAGTAGTAACAGCTGTACTATTTTAGTATATGTCTGTGTAGCTTTTTTAGAGTACCAGGAGTGTTAAGGGTAGATTCGATACCTTATTAGGGGGATTATAGAGCTTAGTTGGCGAGATAATCGGGGTGGGATGAATGGAGTGTCCGCCGGTGAAAGAGGTATTCGCGGGCTTTATATATATATCAAATTGCTCTTATTTTCAAGATATAGATGGTTTACTGACATTGACTTATTAGTAGCCGCAATCCTTTTAGGGCCACTAGGTATGCTTTTTGTGCACAGCATCACGATAGTGGTGCTTAGCGGACATGGAGCTATTCAAGCCCAGAACAGGAAATAAAGAGAAAAAAGATATACCTTGGCCTGATCTCCTCCATACATCACTTTTAGGCCATACAACCCACATAGTTACTTGCCGGCCGAGCAAAATATCTTACCAGCTTACATCTTTTACCAGTAGCTGTAGTAAAAGCAGCTATTGAGAATTCTTCTGGATCCGCAAATCAAGCTATTATGAAAAGAATAAATTAAACTTCGTCAAGATCGCAACCTAAGATCATATAACCACTCGAAGACTAAGGGCATAAAAGAATAAAGACCTTTTATTCATACGCTGCACTTCCTGGAGCTGTTTCCTAGGTGGTAGTCATCGAAATCCCAAGGGAGATCAAGTCAATACCCCCGTAATACCCTGTATACTTTAACTTTCTATCTAGAGATCTACATAGAACAACAATAACGAAGCCTTTCTGTACGAACAAGAGGCATAAACCGTCTTCCAGCCGTGAAGATTTTTGGCGAGTGATATTCTGTGATCAAAATACAATGCACTAGCAACATCTACCCCAAGAGCTTAGAGAAAGCTCTAGTGAATTTCTTGCACCAATAATTCATCTATTTTTTGGTTTTGATAGTGAATAAGTAGTAGGACCCGGGTGGGTGGCTATGTCTCTAATATGAGGCTTCCTGTAACCGTATTGCACAAGTGAGGATGGTGGGCAGTCCACACTTCAATCCTACCTAGACATAGCCCGTCTACTTTAAAGATAGGTTATTACACAAAGTGTACATGTGTTTATCAATGGAAACTCACATTATTACCACAATCGCTCTCGATCTTAAAATTGCCCCCATACGCTAGATTTTAAGTAACAGACAAAATCGAGCTGTATCTATGATACAGGCTCTCGCCGTAGATTGGTGCATATAGAGAGACTGATACTTTTTGTCATCTGTCAGAGCTTACGGCATCATCTACGGCGCACCGAATTTCAAGATTCCGTGTTGGTATGCTAACTAGCAAATGATGTTGAGACGACCAGCGTCAAAAGGGCAGACCCAAGAGGAGAAAGTCATCTTGCCAGCGTCCCTGTGAGGCCTGAAACGGACGTAGACGGGAGCTTGTATGTTTTCTTGTCTCAAAACCGCTTTCCCAATATCAAAGGCCATGGCTAGTTCCCTCTATCTGAGCAGAAACGTCTCAATCATTGGGGTTTTCGGTACGCGTTACATATTATAACTGGGGCTTTCACAATCATAGACCGGCATCGCCCAATCATTGCGCAAGTATACAGTTAGGGCTCGGTGAAGAAGTTGAGCGGAGCAGATGAATTCTTGTATGTGAGAGGGAAGGAAAATGCGGGTTGATGAGGCGGGTTCTGGGTGTGTGCCGCTGTGTAGGTGATGGACATTGGTGGTCGGTAGGCTAGGATTTGCCAGCAAGTGTGGACTAACGTCAACCCTCCTACCATGGAGAGCAGCTTTCTACCCGTGGGGCACGACACCACGACATCTTGCTATCTTTCCGTACTTTCTAACAACCCCTTCAAGTTCACATCCAGCTGCATCAGCCTTTGATATCTTGTCCATGCATACACTCTAGCTCTTAAATCGGATACACAAATTCCACCCTTCATCTACAAACACAGCTAACCGCCCTCTCCGCGAGGTTCTACACTCCAGATACTGGACGCTACGTTGCTATCCCTGGTCGGCGGTGCTTACTCACTGGCTGCTACAGGTTTGAGCACCAGGAGTACAGACTGACAGAATGCTTCAGAATTTGTTTTTGTGTCGCCATTACAACGATAGTTTATCATCAGCCTCGTCAGTAGTGATGTGTATGGCTTGAAAGCACTCAGGCAATGTGCTGGCAGTTGGTTTGGATATCTCGCTCACTTCATAACAGCCTTTAGGGTTGACGCCAAATTAATTATTGTTTGGATGAACTCCCTCTCATAGGATTCTGGCTTCTTCGCGGCCTACCACCAGAGATACATGGGCTGAGAAACTATTATCAATTGGTGCCCGGTGTAACGCTTTGGGAATTTCCCAAATTGAAACAGCATGCATGAAGACAGTGGGTTAGGGTTGTTACTAATCCAGGATAGGATAATATCAAGGAGTTAAACTAGCCATTTCAGGCCATCTTCTAATAATACTGGCACCGGGCACCTTTGGCTGGGGGGAAAATTGCAAACTCAGCCGCAAAGAAAAAGCAGGAGGGTTCTTTTATATCTTCACTGCCGAAGAATTTCAAGGTGCCGAATCAACCCGATATACATATCTGGAGGGACGGAAGACGGCCGCAGTCGGGATATGCACGTACCAGTGAAGAGATTTTTTCGCCTTTTTCTGTCCCAACATCTGCAAACGCCTGAAGGGTTATATTACGTTGTAAGGTAAAGGGTCAACCGAAATTGCTTTCAAGCCTGTTACGGTCTCACCACCATCAGTGACCAAGTCAGGTACCGTAGTAGTACAAGCAGGGTTTTGGATGCTCTCTAATATATATGCTCCCCGGATTAAGCAAACAGATTAATGATTAATTGCCTGACTAACAGCTTTTTGTGGTAGATCAATAAACAGAAGTCTTTTAGGCCAGATGGAACGCTTTGGTATCATAAGGGTATTCGGAGTAGTTGGAAATACTTGAGAGCTTGAAGGGCAAGGCACAGACACGCGGTATTTACAATTATATACACTTTATCCTTCTCCCACGGCACTAAACAAGGCTCCTGCCTGCAGAATACCAGGATGTCGAGGCTTGGTGAACGAATCCAGCGAGTTCTTATCGATATGAAGCCCTATCTGCTCCACGGCTCTGATCTCCGCAGACAGCATGGCGGACACGGTTCTTGGGGACTTCGTAGCCTTCGTCTTTTATTACTCAGAAACCCCTCTACCAGTCGCCTCTGACATACAGGTACATTTTGTGCTTTGATCTGATCATCTAAGACAGTATCACTTGACGAATTGTCTCTTCCTCAGTTTCTTGTGTGACACCCCACTCGCATTCCACCTTTCCCCTCATCAACGCAGGGTCTCTCCTACAAATCTACTTAGTTGCATTTTCAACACTGGATAGCTGGAGATCAGTCACTTCCCTTCTAGATGAGGGGAACATGATAAAGGGACATCAAACAAAAGCAAATCACAAGATCAGACGGAGGAGAGAATCCGAGATACCCTCCCCTCTTCCCCGCGGGAGGGGCACACCACAACGATCCCCAGATTCTGATGCTAATTATTATCATAGAATCCCCGCGATCTGATTGTTTTAACACTCTATCGTATCGTATTGTCACTACTACCCCTCTTTACATCTCGTTACCTCACTCTACTATTTCACCTCCTCTCCAGATATTCAAGACTGTCGAATCAGGCTGCGGAATTGGCTCGCGTGATGCAGTTCTGGCCATGATTTAAACCCCGGTCCTTGATTCGCCCTGGTTAACTTGACTAAGGCAAAGCCGGTTGTTAAATCATTTTTTATTTTTATTTTTATTTTTTATTTATTTTATTATTTTATCTCTTTATCGGGCTGTGTTTAAATGGGTGTGGTGGGTGGGTGTGGAAGGTATCCAAATCGATAGAAAGCACGGTGTGAAGATAAACTCGGACCTGTCTGAAAGCCCTGGAGGTGGTTAGTACTCCTTCACTGCGGATCCTCCTTTCATGCCATGCACGTGCTACAGATACATAGCATGACGTACGCAGAGTACCGACGATGTATGTAGGTACCTTAAGTCCCAGCAACGAGCACGCACATTCTGCTGTAGGAGTGTTACTCGGGCCAGGGGAATACTATGTAAGGGAAGGAAGGGTCTTCGGCTTATCGCCTCCGAAGAATGTGGGGGATAAAGAAAAAAACAGCGACAGGAATTCACGGCTACTTTGCGCGCGCGCTCAAGGGCTCAAGGGATAGAAAAGCCGGAAATTGTTTTAAATTAGTATTCTGCTGATTTTTTTATTATTATTTTGCGCCTCGGCTGAGAATAAAAAAGAAAAAAAAGGAAAGGAAAGATTGATAGAATTGACGTTTTCACCGACAGGCAGACCACGGGGTTGAGTTTACAATCGCCAAATCCAGGAAACATGTACGTCTGATCTAAAGACAGACTTACAAGACTGACCGGCTGTTCGCATAGAAACACCTCTATCGATTCCCGAAGCTGGATTTCGCTAAAAGCTCCGAAGTCGATCGCTCCAATTGGCTGGAAACGAAAGCTGGAAAGAAAAGAAGGAAGGGAACCTCCCCTGTTGTTTTACCTCACATTTCACATAGAGTGGGAAATTGGGCATGCCATGCAATGTAACGCATGATCTGGTCCTATGGATCCGCCATGAGACTCCATCCCTTACAGCTTTGACTTTGGAGATGGTCCTATCTTCAGCGCTGTAGAGAGATACTCTTGTCAAGAGATATGTCAAGCAGATGCACGCAATAAACGATGATGAGCAGGGGAAAAGTTTACAATTGAACTATTCAATTGGAGGTCTCGCGCTTGTGATAGAGCCCAATTAGGACGCCAATCTCCTCATCTAGTATCAGCGACGGATGCTCGCAGTGTTAAAGTACTTGACTTTTGCGAAAATGGAGATGTCGTCGCGGTACTTTGGATACACCACACCCCGGCTTCCACACCGAAACGCAAGTTAGAGTAGTAGGTAGTTGACTGAGTGCACAAGTGCCTCCCCAACAATCAGTCCAAGAGATGCCTGCAGCAGCCCCATCCCCCGCCACACCCAAGCTTCAACGTTTTTTTCTTTTCTTTTCCCCTTGAGACCTTCCCTGCCTGCCTACCTGGGTTACTCGGAATTGTTTGGGAGGTGGGTGATATTGAGATATGTATATTGAAATGACAGAATACGAAGAGCTAAAATGCTACAGGAGAGCTTGCACTTGAGGGACCTATTTTGTGACCAGTTAGGCATCGTCCCCCCTGGAAGACATGGTAGTAGTGCACCCTTGGAAAACATCTCTGGTTTGGTCTGTCACCTCCCTAAGCAAGGTAGTTTGGAATATCTAGTAGTAAATTCAAACGAAGCCTTCCCTTACCCTCCGGCCTCCCCTTGAAAATAAACCCAGCCTGTCCCCCCCTCCCTCCCTCATCCTTCTTACTTGATCTCTCTTTCCCCATCTCTTGCCAGTTGTTCACCGTGTACGAATGAATGCCGACTTTTGAGAATATCTCCACGGGATCGAATGCGCTCACGGCCCCTTGCGTTCAGATTCTAAGACAGAGGAGAATTTTCACCTTATTTTAATTGTGCTATACTTACAAAGCTACTTTTTCACTTATTAATTTACTAGTACTACTATTATATTACCACCTCTACTACTGCTGCCATTCTTCTTCTTTTACTTCGTTTGCCTGGGTGTCTATCAAACCATCAAATTACCAGAACTCATGACTACCATGATGGCCATGATGGATCAGCATGCGATGTTCGCGACTGGATACTACGAGCTGCCTTCGCCTTCATACACATCTATGGAGGAGGGCAAGTCATCGTTAATATTACAATCAACTGTATGTGTTTGTGTTTGTTTATCTGTTTATTTATTATAAAATCTATATTATAGTTTTGTTTACACCCCCCCCCCCCCCCAGTTCGCGCCACCGGCGGCGCCGAGTAAACAAAACAATACGAGACAACGCGATGGTGACGAGAAGTCGTTCTTGCTACTCTCACTGAAGGCACGTACACATATTATTATTTTATATCCCTTGATATGGTGGAAGGGCGCCAGGTGTTATCTGTAATCGTAGACCTTTATCGCGCCGCACAGGCCGACCCTTCTACCCGGTTCTGGAGTCGTGATGCTTTTTTTCTCTGCCTATGGCGGGCCGAACACAGCATCTTTCTTGTGTTTTTATGATCGTGCTGCGTTTTAGTTGACCCTTGTCTTATTTTATCTTACCCTTTGAGGATTCCACATATATTCCTCACTCTTATAAGTAGCTTCGTAGGCGAAATCGTCATCCCATACTGACTCAAAATCCCCAGGCCTCGGATGACGACGAATATATCACGCCCCTGCCTTTATATACGCCTATTGACGAGCACCCACCGCCCGCTTATATCAAGGAAATCGAGGAAGAGGTAGCGACTAGTCATATTCTAACACACAAGTCATTATACATGTGTCCCGAGAGATCGAGATCGTCAGCATCATTATTTGGTGAAGGATTATACGGTGTGCGAGAACGGGCACCCAACAAGAAGAAGGGCGCAGCAAAGGCCTCGTCCGCAAAGAAAAGCGCGGATAAGAAAACGACTGCCAAAGCGACGACAACTGGAGGGAAGATTAGTGGTTCAGGAGGCACAAGTGGTGCTGGCGACGATGAGGACGAGAAGAAGAGAAAGAAGGATGAGGACCGGAGGAAGAGGGAGGAGGAAGAGCTCGAGAAGCTGAGGAAGGAGGAGGAGGAAGAGAAGAAGAGGAAGGAGGAGGAGGAGGCGGCTGCAGAGGAGGAAAGGTTGCGCTTGGAGGAGGAAGAAAAGGAGCGACTCCGACTGGAAGAGGAGGAGAAAGAGAGACTGAGGTTAGAGGAAGAAAAGCGAATCGCCGATGAAATCGCGAATAGCACTAATGCATGGGGTAATGATGATGAGGAGGAGGAACAAAATACCGGAGGTGGGTGGGGCTTCTTAGGTGGGAGGAAGAAGAAGGAAGTCAAGGCAAAGGTTTGTTTCCGATCATTGGCACCAAATTTTAGCGTAATAAACGCTTATCAGAGCCTTGGAAATGTAGAAAGTTGCGCCAGCACCAGCACCAGCACCAGCACCAGCACCAGCACCAGCACCAGCACCAGCACCTCCACCTCCACCTCCACCCGCACCTACACCACCAGTGGTAGAAGTAGCACCTGCTCCCCCACCACCACCCACGCCGCCCCAAGAGGAATCGGTACCTGGTGGGTTTGTCGAAGCCGTGGAAGTTGTCCAAGAGGTCCAGGAGACACCGAAGGAAAAGGAAAGGAGGGAGAAGCTGGAAAGAAGAAGAAAGAGAGAGGAAGATAAACTCGCCAGACTCTCCAAGGGGTTGCCAGCGAGGAAGTCAAGGGTATTTATCAAATGATTGTCCAATCGATAAGCAAATGCTAAACATTGTGTATCTATAGAGGGAAGCAGAAGCAGAGGCCGCTGCAGCAAAGCCAGCCGTAGAGGTTGTTGAAGCACCAGCGCCCGCTCCCGCTCCCGCGCCCGCACCTCCACCGGTAGAAGAGGCAGTCCCTGCACCGGAACTGCCGGTGGAAAGCGACGAAGTTGTCTCGCCAAAAATAGACGTCGATGATATTGATGACAACGAGGATAATGTCAGTCCAACAAACAGCGCGCCCAAATTATCCGGATTCGGTGGGATCGGTTTGGGCTGGGGAAGGTTGGGTCTTGGCCTCACAAAGTGGGGTGCCGCCTCACAGGGCAGTGTTGACTCCACTTCTCCAAACGGTTCTGCGATCGGGTCGAAGAAAACAACACCCGTCGACGAAACACCAAAGGATTTATTCCCCCCAACGAAGAAAGAACTGAGCGAGACTATCGCAAACCAGAAAAAGGTCGAGCCTGAACCACTGCCAGAACCAGTGGTTGAAGTGGTCGAACCGGAACCTGAGCCGGTCAAGGATGAGATTCCAGAACAAGCTGCGGAGCCAGTTATCATGCCACAAGAAGCGCCCGTCGAAGACGATTTCGGTTACGTCAAAAAGGGGAAGAAGGGAAAGAAGGTAGAAAAGAAGCCCACAAAAGCTGCTGCGACAGTTCCGGAGGAAACTGAGAAGAAGAAGACAGGAAAAGTCGCTTCGCTTGCTGGTGTCTATGAGAAGCGCGCATCCACCATCAAGAAGGATGTAGTGGAGAAGCCATCCAAGTCGAAATCCAGATCAACTGCAATCCCGGTTGAGGAACCTACTGAGCCCGAGGCGCCTGAGCCTGAGCCAGTAGTCGAACCTCCAGCAAAGGAACCAGAAGAAGAGCAAGATTTCTACTACGGCCCAGGCTACGAGAAGGTAAAACAGCGCAAATACGCCGACACGCAGGAGGTTAGGTATGCCGGTAAATCCAACATAGGATATGTTCCCACCCCCGAAGAGACCCCATATGTGCCAATTCCTAAGGAACCAGCATATGCGCCAGTACCAGAAGGACCCAAGTACGCTGAACCTAAGCAATTCGAGTATGCGACACCCAATATTTGGGGTCTCGGCAAGAAGGGTAGGAGAAATGCAAAGGCCGAAGTAGCTACAGCTCCCGCACCCCCTCCACCAATCGTTGAACGAATTCCAACACCCGAGCCCGAACCAATTCCTGATCCAGTTGTCGAGCAACCCAAACCTGAACCTGAGCCTGAACCAATTGTTGAACCCGAGCCCGTACCCGTTCCAGAACCAGCGAAGCCCACAAAGAATGAAAAGAAGCAGAAGAAAAAGAAGGGTTGGTTCTTTGCTGAGCCCGAGGAATCTGAACCTGAACCAGTCCCGGAACCGCCGGTTGAAGAGACTCCTGTTGTGGAAGTTCAAATTCAGGTGACGGAGGCAGAGCCCGAGCCGGAAGAAGAAGAACCAGAGGCGGAGTTTGTTGAAGCTGTCGCAGAGGTGGTCGATGCTGAACCTGAGCCTGAGATTCCTGCCATTGTCGAGCCCGAAATGGCTCCCGCACCTGGCCCCGAAGCTAGAAGAACAAGAAAAGATGTCAAAGACGTTTCAGTCTGGAGCTTACTCGCACCGCCGAAGCCGAAGAAGAAAAGCCCAGGCACCGAGGTTAGCATTGCCCCCAATTGCTCCCTTTCCCCCCCTCCTCCTCCTCGTTCTCCTTCTCCCCCCTCCCCGCAAGACAGCGAGTCTGCAGAGAAGCACCAAGCAGGCAAAGATGGTGGTGGTGGTGGTGTTGACACATCTGTTTCTACAAAGAAGTCCAAGGAACGAAGACTTTCAACGGAGATGGACGCCAATGGGAGCCCAGTCAAGACCGTAGGGCTCCGCGAACTGTGGAAGCTGAACAAGGAGGTCGAGAGGAAGAAGAAGAACGCAAGAGGCCTCTCACCTGTCGAGAGATGGCAGGCCGACGTTGTGCCCGAAATGCCACCGCCAGACGACGAGGACGAGTATAATAGTATGGAGATCGATAAGGGCGGTCACGTGGATGCCGCTGGTTCGTCCCACCCACCCGCTGCGCTGTGTTGTGACGTGTTCCATGTTTTGTGGCTGTCGCTCTCATTGGCTAATATGTGTTGTTCCCTGCAGATGCCGATATTCCGCTGTCATCTCCCCCTCCAACAATGCTTCCAATAGAGTCCTATCTTGTCCCCGATACCCCTATCGCTGCGCAAGCACCGTCACCAGTCTGGAAAGAGGCACCACCACCCTTTTTCGCACCAGTCTCTCGCAAGTCTTCTTCAAAGAAAGATAGGAAAAAGAGTAAGAAGCTCCAAGCGAGGCTAATTGAAAAGGATGATGGATTTTCTAACCTTTCTGCTTCAGGGTCTGATCCAACTGTCGAACTGCAAGCCAATCCGATTGTCGAGGAGCCAGAGCCAACTGCTGAACCCGCCGAACCTGAACCGGTACTAGTAACAGAGCCTACCAAGCGAGAGCCAAGGCAAAGGAAGAAGACCTGGGGTCGGTTTTTCGAAACGGTAGACGAGCCAGAGCCAGAACCAGAACCGGTTGTGAAACCTGAGCCTGAGCCAGAGCCAGTGGTTGAAGCGCCCGCAGTCGAGCCAGAGCCAGTGGCCAAAGAACCAGAACCGATCGTCGAGGCAGCACCCGAACCTGAGCCTGCTAAACCTCCGCGGAAGGAGCGAAAACAGAAAAAGAAGGGCTGGTTCTACACTTCACCCGAAACTGATACTGAGCCCGAGCCAGTCGTTCAGGAACCTGTGCAAGAGCCTGAAATTGAACCTGCACCAGAGCCAATTGTTGAGCCGGGACCAGCGCCAGCGCCAGAACCAGTGAGTAGGCTACCGGTGAGATCCAATAGAAATACCAAGAAAGGCTGGATCTTTGGAGGGTCTACCCAATCACCAGTGTCCGGGCCGCCAACACCATCAGTGTCCGAGCCTGTTCCTGAACTCGAATCAGAATCGGCGGGCGAGCCAGAATTAGAGCAGGAAAGTGCTGCACGGACACCTGAGCCCAGTGAACCTGAAGCACACTTTGAAGAAGGTCAAGAGGGAGAACATTCACCAACACGTTTGGCAATCGAGTGGCCTGAAGAGAAAGTACGATCAAAGGAGCGGCGCCATAGCCAAAAACACAAGGACCTAAAGGAAGGAGTTGTTGAATCCAGGAAAAAAGAAAAGCGCCGGAGTCGCAAGCTTGACGAGCCAAGTGCAGCACCTTCCTCGACATCAAAGCCACCTTTGATGGAAAGGAGAGGAACTTACGCACTTTCAGGAGCACCCAAAATGGAGAGAAGAGGAGCCCACTCCAGCTCAGCACCTTCAATGGAGCGAAGGAATACTACAAGTTCTACCAACGACGATGCCGAAAAGGCAGCCCGTAGAGAACGCCGACGCTTAAAGAAACTAGCTGAGGAGGAAGCAGAAAAAGTAAGATTGGCAAAGGAAGCAGAGGAAAGGGAGCATGCAGAGAGGGAGCAGCGACGCGCAGAGAGACGAGAAAAACGGGCCAGGAAAGAAGCAGAGGAAAAGGAAGCTAGGTTGGCCGCTGAAAAACAGGCTTTAGCAAAGGAAGCAGAACGTGCAGCCCGGGAAGAGAAACCAAAGCTCGAGAGACGCAAGTCATCAAAGAGACATACCCACATCGAACCTATCGTTGGAGCAGTAGAGGAGACCCGCGAAGAAAAGGAAGCCCGAAGGGAAGCACGTAGGGCGAAGAGGGCAGCTAAGGAACATGGTTCGGGCACTGGCAGTGGTAGTCATGGAAGATCCAATAGAAATTCCATCAACCATGCAGCACAACTTGCGACGGCCATGAAAGGCATTCCGCACTCAGCAGACCCTTACCCACACGAAGGCGAGCGCAGTGATCATTATCAAAGCGCATACGAAGAAGAAGCCCGCAGACGAAGAAGGCTGGAGCGTCACAACATCAAAAAAGCCCAGAAGGCGGGCATCTGGACCAACGGCGAAGCACTCAGTGGTTCCGTCACCCCCGAACGAGTTCCTACCGAAGAGATTAATGGTGTCAATTTCTCTTCAAGCACATCGCAGGACCTTGCACAAGAGGAAGCTATCAGAGAACGCCGAAGGAAGCGGAAGGAGGCCAGAAGGAGTTTGCACGAGACCGTCGTTGATGATGACGAAGCGAAACGCCTTAAGAAGCTTCAAAGGAAGGAGGAGAAGCGCGCGAAAGAGTTGAAGGACATGAATGTGGTGAAAGGCAAAGATGCGAAGATGTCCGGCGCCAAGGAAAAGGTGGTGAAGAACCCTGAGGACAGAGCCTTGAAGCGAGAGCAGAGGGCGAAGAGGCGGGTGGAAAGTGAGAGATTTAATGGCGCGTTGACTGAGAATGAGGGCTCATCCAAAAACAAATGGTGGAAGAAGCTTTTGGGTTAAGTGGACCTTGTTGGAGCGATTTTCCTATTATTATCTTTTTATATCATTACCTGTTTATTTAATGTTAGATACCTTTGGGACAGTTGCCGGCCAAATCTTGGGGTTTTTCTTTTGTTAAGCTGGGCTGTATATGATTATCAGTTTAATGGCCATCTCTTTTTTTTCCTGGGGGTGTATTTTTATATGCATTTGCTCGTATTATGGTTGATGCATTTTATGACTTTCTTTCTTCTTTTCATTCTTTGAAGGATAACAGCGATAGGGACGGAGTAAGGAGGAAAAATTACGAACTTTATGTTTCTTTTCAAGCAAAAGCTTTCCTCCACATTTAGATGGTGACGTGTTGCAGATTTGTGAGGAAATACCGATCTGTGGGAGCGCATCTGATTTGGTGCGCAAGACACACACCCGTTGTGTACGCCTGCAGATTCGACAAGCGGGTTCGGCGGTTTCCTTTTTGCTTTTTGTGTACCATCATCACAAGAATACGGATGTCGAAACGAGGGGATGTCGAAACTTAGATACCCGAAAAGATTGTCTGCCGGCCGGATCTCGTCGTCTAAGTGAGAATTGCCAAGCCCTGCCATCCCCTACGCTCAGTCTTATCTCTTTATCGTAACATTTGAGCCTGCTGACACAAGTCAATTTAATAGCTCTCTATAATTCGTGTTATGTCGCACCTTCTGGCCGGCACATGCTATAATAACGTGTCAAATTGTCACTAAATATGAGTTTTAAGCGTAAAGACCTATAATGGCCCAATTGGCGTGCGATCATAATCTTCCGTAGGTATTTACGTGAGCTCGAGAGGTTCTGTCCGATTTCTGGCGGACTGGTGGTGTTGCCTGGGTTGTAGTCAATGAGGGGAGGGGCTCTGGCCTTCTTCTACTTGTAGAGTTGCGGAGGCGACTGGATGACGCTGAGGGATCGCCATTCTCGGTGCTACATGATCGGCCTTTAGGACTTAGTGATCAATCAATCAAATTCTTGCGATTTGAAGCAATGAGTGGATCTCCATAAACCTGCTTTCCCACTATTTTTGTTGCAGGATATGTGACCAATTTTTTGCCCTTCGTACTCGCCATGTCCAGTCCAGGCGGTTTGTTGCATAGTGTCTTATTGATCGAGTGATAATTCATGAACGAGTCTGCATTGTCACCTGATAGAGCCGAGTATACGTGCTAGATTCTACAGCAGGACCAAGCCAATGGCTTTTATTTATAAAAATGAGTTCGCTCCTTCTCTATATTCAATCGATTCTGTTACCCAATGTTCATTTTGTATGGTCAAGGCACTTCCGCCTCGCTGTCAAAAGAAAAAAAGGAAAAAAGGGTTCTAGGCTGTTTTATAGCCACCTTTCTATTAAAAAAATATCTTTCATGCATCTCAGTGGCCTCCGCGACCATATACTCATAGGAAAAAAACTCTTCCTAAATTAGAATCCATCTCCACCATTCTCATTCTGCCACGTCTGCACGTTTCGGCCTGCTATTCATGTGGGTAACTGGCCCAGACTCGACCAAAGTGCTTCATGATATGTACTATACTCTTGAACGATCAATATGATTTGGTGATACGTCTCCACTAGCTGGGCTTACTTCTGCAGTCTGGTACTGAATAATATCTGCTCAATTTTTTTTTTGTTTAATTCGTTAAATATCTGTTCAATCGCCCATCACGATTTTTGTGCATGAGCTTCTCAGAACTTGACTTCCCCACTTTACCCTCAAAGCTCTTATCCCGGGAATATTTAGAGGCCCAAGCACTCCTACCCCGATTCATGGGATGTGTAGCTAGACTGGTATCTACCACCTACATGTAGTGTTATATCACCAAAGCTTGACGTTCTCTATAGTGGCGTATACACGACTTTTCTCACCGGTAAACCAACAACTACATGTAATTATAATCCCAGGGAACCAAGAACCGATCCAGCACGTCAGACTCAAGCCGGAGGCATGAAAATATTACATGTATATATATAGGCATTATAAAGCCTATTTCAGAATGCCAAGCTAGCGTCCTAAAGTGACTGCCGTTTGGTTAGGGTTTGAAGCGGGAATGGTATGTCGGTTAGCCCGCAAATTCATTCTCTAACTTCACAGTACATATGCGCCTTAACCTTCTCTTAATTTATCAAATTCCGATACTCTCTATCTCTGAGCGGACAGTCATCGACACTTTTTAGTAAAAGATAGAACCAGAAGGGTTTGTAGCCATAGTTTATCACTGGTTGACGACAGAATGCCGAAGGTTTTTTCTTTCCACTCATCATTATTGACTACACAGATCTGCAGAAATGTCTCATGAATATATATACAGACTAGTTCCAGATCAGACCACTTTGATCTCGGCCAGTTTTTTAAGGTATCATGGGGTTTTTTATCAAGACACCCTGAGAAAGGATAAGTCACTGTTTCTCAATTTCTCAATGGCAGTTTAAATTGGAGTTCTTTCAATCTCTATGACCTCAATCTTTCCGTTGACATTATGACTGGTTGAGTATTTTTGATGCGCCCGAGCTTGAGCATCATATACAAAGTGCCCCTAGGACAGCTAAGCTTAACCTGTTTACTGAAAGTATACTCAGTGAGTTATTATAGTTCTTCTCCACCGTATTATTTCATTCCTATGTTCTTTATATCTTTATATCTATCTTTAGCCATAACCATTTTAACTATCTTCAATCATATTGTATCACTCGGCTCCTAACCAAAATATATTACTCTAAACTAACGAAGATAAGATAGAGTACGCATTCAATGTTTAGCATTAAGTTTTTTTTTTTTTTTTTTTTTTACCTAGTTCTACGAATATACCGCCAAACCACGTCAGAGCATTCTACTCTTGCCTCGTTTCCGAGAAACCACAGATACCTTCAGGCTAGATCATTCTCTCCACATCTACTCATTTATCATATCACGTTATATAATTATCACATTGTTCATATTGACTACGAACAGATGAAAGAACTAGAGAAAAGACAGAAGTACCCCCAATGCTGCTATTTTATTTATTCCAACAAGCATCTACCAATCTTCAGCTACATTGTTCAGAGCAGGAAGCTGTGCAAGAACCATTTCAACTGCCGTCTCCAATCCAGCGGCACTGAACCTGCTACACTAACTACCCATTTTTGGCACGATTTTGATAACGATACTTATGCCCAAAGCCGTAAAAAGGAAAGGGGAAAAAAAGGTTTTGACGATAGGATATGTGTAATGTGTACCAAAAAAAGGTATACTGGATTAAGACTATACACCGTATTATACTAGTTAGTATATATAGCTTCTTATACTTAGAAGTGGATAGGAATGGACTTACTTGTAAGTTATCCCTTTTCGATTAATCACTAACTTGTTGCTTGGGGAGAAGAGGTGTTACATAACGTGACACCCGGTCCGCTGAGCACCGCGTCGACCCCATCAATTTCGCTGTGGTCGCCCTAAAAGCAGTACCGGCTGTGCGGCATATCTGCCACCGAATACAAAGCTCGCGCAAACCGCAACACACGCTCCTAAAAGTGCAAATCTGAAAGCATCGGCTATAGACCGCGCCATGGCACTGATAACAATGGCTCTCATCTCTCCTGACAGCTCTGGCATCGTATTGTAGTTAATTGCTCCGAGGGATAGGATGTAGCGCGGGTCGATCTCTTCGGTGAGCTTTGGGAGGTATGCAAGTAGTGAATTACTAATTATTGCCTGCACAATTGGGACAGCAAGGGTTCTATGGGTTGTTAGTCTTGAATATAGGAAGAGAGTATTCATATGGAGAATACATGCCCGCCAAGGTAACCAAGGTGAATGATTATCATGTTTGCCTTGTAGACTTTCGAATTACTAACGCAATCATTAGAATCACATCATACAACCTAAAACATAGGAATACGAAAACTTACTTGAACACAGCCGGTGTTACCGCAAACGGCATTTCTAGCGCCATCCCAATGCCAAATCCTGTCAAGAGCTGGTACCCAATTACTTCGTTCCATGTTGGCTTAATCCCCAGTCTCGACAGCATCAAACAGCCACTTCCCGTTATAATTGTCGCCATTACAGTTACCGGGCGCTGCAGTTTGTTAGCACGAACCGGGAGCTAACCGGATAACATGCAATACATACAACAAATCTGTACCTGTGTACCAGCAATGCAGAGAAAAAATAGCCCATTATGGCGGCGAAATAGTACGACATGTTGAAAAGCCCGCTTTGCAGCGGCCCATAGCCCAGGATACTTTGGACGTATATCGGAATTAGATATGTATGCTGCCAGCAGTATCGAGTCAGCTATAAACTCACAAATACAAAACTTTCAGGAGTTATATATATATAATCACTTACAGAAACCAGAACTATTTGAAGCCCCAAAAAGCAGATTGCTCCTACCACAACTTGTTTCGTCCAAGCAACTTCGAGCGGTACTGTCCCCTTGTCGTCCAACCAAAGCTGCAGTAACCAAAAGGAGAGCATAGCTCCTGAAAAGCCTAATGCTATGGTGATAGATTCATTTCCACCCCAAGAATTAAAGGTTCCTACCCGTTGCAGTCCATAGCCTGCAAGTGCCAACGAAGAAATCAGGAAAAATGCCCCCAAGGAGTCTGGGTAAAGCTCTTTCAGCCGCCGAGTGTACGACATATCTGGCTCATAGTCTCGCGAGTACCGCGGGAAGTTAAAGATCAAAAGGCATACGACAATCACGCAGCCAATTGGTAGATTTCTTGCAATTGTCAGTGCTGTATTATATATAAAGGGATCCGAGGAGGAAGAAACTTACAGCAGGAAGCACGTTCTCCAATTGTCCCTCTCCGTCAATGAACCGCTTATAATTGGGCCAAGGATCGTCGATAGTCCGATAGCGCTAGTAAAAATCGACGAAATCCGAACCCTCCTCTCACAAGGCTGTAGATACAAAGATAATATTTCCTGGGTTCCTTGAAGAACCCCTGATGCTCCAAACCCCGCAAGTACCCGTCCTATAATCACCTCTCTCGAGGTTTTGGACTTTAAGGATACAATAATACCGACTAGGAGCAAATGGTGTTAGAATGGGATATGTGCACACAAGAACAAGTAATAAAGCATGGACGAAATATTACTTTCGAAGATGATCATGCACCAGATATAAACCCTTTGCTTCCAGCAAAGCTGGAACACTGTTTTGAACAACGGTTGAAGAATTGCCATGGGTATCAGGTACGCCGAAGCGTACCAACAGATGTCTTCGTATGATCCAAAGTCGACGGTGATCTTGGGGATCGCATTCGCTATATATTCATCGATATATCAGCAACGACACAGGGGGGCACATATAAATCAATAATAGGAAATGATATACAACATACCCATTAAAGCCGCATCCAGTCCTACAACGAATAAACTCAGCCATAAAACAAAGATAACTTTTTTACGCGCTGTGATGGTGATATCCAAATCTGGCTCATAGCAACCCGAAGATCCTGCACTTAGCAACCCAAATGTTGAGACTGGTTGGCTTGAACCCATCGCTGGAATTGAGCATTCCGTGCACTTGCACCAGAACGTTTTTGCCCAGGCGGCGACAGTCATCACCATTGTAAGAAGACAATTCATCAGTTGCTGGACAGTAGCCAGAGCGGTCTTACGGAGAGCATGAAAGAAAGAAGAGGCCTGCACCGCGTTCATGTCACCTGCCTCATCGCCTTCGTATATTGTACTCAAGATCTCTATTTCTCCCTGCCGACGCCGGGCTCCCAAATCGTTTAATTCGATCTGATCAGGTTCGTTCATGTCGAAATAAAAAAGATTGATGGGGCTTCAAAGAAAAAAACAGGTTCCAGGCTTGAAGTATGAGTCTGATAATGGAGGAGAAACCAAGGGCGGCTGCAGATGAATTTCTCTTCGTGAACAGATGTTAGAGTCTTGCGACTGTTATTTTACCTGGGTCTAGCTCAAATTCTACTCGTCGGGGCATGGGTAGCTCTGCCCTACTAACGCGCGAGGATCTTTAGGTTGCACGAGGACCTTGGGCTGTGACGGGGGGAGCGGGTATTCACGTTATACATGGCCTACGTGTGTGGTATTTATTCTTATTGTAAGGTGACAGACTATGGCGAGCGGCAGGACGTTGTTAATTGATTGGTCACAAAATCTATCAAATCAGCAGTTAGTATCTATCCCTCGGTCGATCATGCTTTATCTACCAAGACGTTGGGCGGATTTCAATGCCTTTTCTCTGATACACACATACACGTATATATATCCACATTATGGGCCCCACATAAAAATCTTTACAGGTCATAAGTGAGTCGATCACGCCTGGGGGCTTCTTTCTTAACACAACATTTGATTGCCGCTTAATTTCACACTTCATCACTCAACCATCCTTTCACTGTGAGGCTAAAACGGCATTACCGAATAGGTTCCATCAATATTCATATTCCATCTTTAATTATTTGAAACTTCACTTGATTAGCTCATCACCAGCTGCCCTCAGTTTTCTGCGTGAACGCATAATCATGTATGATCACTCGGCCCCCTTTCTACTCCCCATGGATTTTTTTTTTTTTGTTTAATTCATTTACTCCCCATGGATAAAACATAGTTCGCAACGTGGGAATCTCATCATAATGACTTAACAAACTGTCCAATATCTATGGAAGTGGCGGGCGTTCATATCTCATCCGTCTACAGCGGATCGTCACACGCAGACTCAAATGTAGTTAGAATCACACTATATCACTCGCACAAATTATGTTCTTCAATAGAGACGCCAAAATCTCTGAATATTTCTACAAACTCCCATCTTTATGATCACAGTATAAAAAGTGGTGTAGTAGGACCGTAAATCGTCTCTCTCATGTCATTGTGGGCGCGGCGTGGTGTTGACGGTGTGGGCTCTCATTTTACGCTAGCTTGGCATGATGTCACAGAGGAGGAATGTTTTTTACACCAACATACATACTTACACCTGCTGGACCTTGGCCAAGAAGGAAAGGGAGAAAGCGGGGAGCATTATTTCCATCTCCAGGACCATATGGCCTACTTACCCATCCACTCAGAATACTGAACCTCTTAGGAGTATATGGTGACTGCGAGCAGTGCAGCACTTCGACTACGCTCCTTGCCAGCCTGAGCCGGCACCAAGGTCCTCAACTCCAAGAAAACTACAAGTACTTCTCCGAATCTTGCTTCTTTTCCTCGAGTCTCCACCTCTTTCCGTCTATTCTAACTCTTACCACTACTACTACTATCTTCATCCGAATCTCACCGAACATCTCACTTTCACTCATACGCGCCTATTCGCCAGGAGCAACGAGAGGTATCCCCACCCCTCTACCAATACGGCAGAGCGGCAACGAGTTCAATTCACCCGGGAATCCGACCTGTAGGCTTACACTTCCTCTACTCGATGACCGGGCATGAAAGATACCCAGGTCCTGGGTTTCCACCACAACACAAGCACCGCAAGTACCCAAGACCCGACCGGCGGACACGATGAAAACTTAGATGAACCGAGGGATCACCATCGATCGAGTCACATTACCCGCGCTACTGTACTAGATGTATGCCAGCATCCAACTACACCAACGGCCAGATAGTCTTAAAACGCCTTCGTTCTCGCGGTGTTTATCCTAGGTATGACAGAATACTTCCCAGCAAGTTGTCTTGGTGGATTGTATTTACCTACTGCAACCTGGCCTTGGCAACACCGACACAGGGTTAGGTGTACCGCAGTGTTGCATTCGAAATCATTGACCTACTGAGACACCCGACTGTCTCAGCTTCAACCACAGCTACAATCACTAACAAAACAGAACGGCAGCGCAATGATATTCATGATACATAAACTGACTTTATATTTTCATGGCTGGAGCCGCGTTCAGCGCGGCTCCGTCTAAAGGACATCATATATACAACCGCAATCTAACACCCGCCGAGCAGTCCCACCGCTCGGAATTATAATCCAAACCCAAAAACACCGATTACATTACGCCGAAATAAAAACCCCTCAACGCCTCACAAAAGAAATTGAAATTGACAGACAAAAGAAACCCGTCGTCGCCCTAGAGCTAAATCGCCCTTCCACCCCTCCACCCACCCTGCTCCTCACCGTTCGTGTAATTCAGCTCCCCCAACCACACTGGTGGTACCACCGCCGTCACTTCCCTCTCTCCCACTTCTCCGGTCCAAATCCTCGGAATTTCCACCTGCTCCGACCTCGGAGGCACCCAGCTCTCCTCCGTCTCTCCCAACCATACACTCGGCACACCCGCAACCCCATACCCGCTCTCCAGATCGCCTCTCCACAGACCCTGCGTGACCGAGTGCCTGATCATGCCCGTCTCGCTGCCATCCGCGCTCTTCTTTCCCTCGCTCGAGTAGGAGGCCGACGATGGCGGCAGCTTTGAGCTGTTGCCGCTTACCTCGCTGCCGTTCTTACTGCTCCTCAACCAGGACGCGCCGCCGAGGAAGGTGTCGCGGATCACCGGGAAGGCGCGGGAGAAGAGAGGCTTGAGACCGGGGCCGCAGGCACTGACAAGCGCGAGGGTCTGTTCGAATTCGGCGGAGACAAAGACGGGGACGAAGGTCCAGTTGAAGTCGTATGGGTTGCTGTTTGTCAACTGTTTGGCGATGTAGACGGCTTTGCAGAGTGATGCGATACAGGCCCTGTTTTTGCGGTTTGATTAGTATCTTGTCAGATACTTAGAAGCAGGAATAGTTGACTTACAAGCTACCAATGGAAAACAGGCCGCTGACAATGATTCTCTGGCGCTTCGGTAGGCGCAGGTTCCAGACAACCCTCATGGGCAATACCAAGCATGCGATATCCACACCCACACCCACAAAGCCCATAGCCAATGCCGACATCTGGAGGTCAACTGCCAGGCTTGTGCTGATGCACTTGCTCAGGATCAAGACCGGCAGATTCCACGTTCTGAATTCCGGCGTACACATAAACACGGCGGGAAGCATCGTGGCGGGCCACACAAGGCAGTTAATAACCTGGACGGCGATGATGACCTTGCTGGTCTTCGTGTCGGAGGGGCCAATGAACGACTTGATGAAGCAGAGAATGCTGAAGCGGGTGAGGAATATGCCCGTGAGCATGGTGATTCCCAGAACGTACTGCACGACGTACCACTCGAGGATCTCGGCGGGCGTGCAGTCGTAGATGTGTTTTCCGAGACCGGCATAACGGACGGCGTACATTATTACTAATGTGCTAGCTAGGTGTGAGAACTATTTACTCCGTGTGTTAGTATTCTAGACTCATTACTTGCATGCGGTAAGTATTGGGTAGACATACGAATGCGGGTATAATAAGCCAATCATCAAGCCTGAAGCTCCGGACTATGAAGAGTCGCGAGTACAATCGAGGAATAACAATGAAGAAAGTGAGGATGATATTGAGGATAGACAGCACTGTCATCAAGGGACCCCGATTTGGGGGGACATAGTTGGGGTCCAGAGTTTTAGGATGAACAAAACCCGGGTTGACGAAGAACTGCCATGCATTTGGATTTGACAAGAATGCATCTGTCATTGCTTTAACAGGTAACCCCATTTTTGCGGTTGTGATAGGGGAAAGGTGAAGTCAAAAAAAAGGCTTATTGGAAATGCGTGAGATTGGCCCTTTATCGAAAGAGATATAGGTCTGCAACGACAAGTTTGAGAAAACTTATAAATCTCCAAACTATCCTTATTGCCTGAGTCCGGGCTCCGATGAGGGAGATGTAGCAGGTGTCTTATATTAATCAACATTTAGGTTTATCATCCCATTACGAAAAGAATATACATAAGTTCTCCATATTTGGGAGACGGGATTATTGAATTGTGACTTCTATGCCTCCTCAGCCTCCTTATGCGATACCTCTAGGCGGGGGGCATCGAGTAAGACGGGTGGAGACTGCTTACACCGAGGTGGTGTGGGGTAGTACCATGCATCAAGAATGATATCAGAGTCGAGTTCAACGACCACGATAATATAAATTCCGCAGTTGCGGCGCTTATTGCGAGATCTTCTGTGCAGTTTTTCTCGGTTGTATCGAATTTCCTTTCTTCCATAAGCCGATAAGCGGCCAGTTGCGTGCTTACAGGTGCAGCTGCAGCACACTGTGCTAGCTGGACTCAGACAATAGACTCCACCTTCGTTGACGGAGAATACCATATTCATATTTCACAACTTCCCCATCAGAAGAACCAATAGGACTTTGGGAAGTACTAATGCTGTGCTACTGCAGAGTGGGCTATTAGGTTTGTCAAAAAAAAATCTAAAAATATCTGTGGGGATGTTTATTAGAGCTCTTGGCGGCTTGTTTAGGCTGAGATAAGAGGTGATAGCCCAGCTCTACAACAACGAACTCCCCAAAATGGAACCCACTTTCTTAATCGGGCTTTCTATATATTCTGTATTTGGCCTAGTCGCAGGCGCAGACGAGTGACGCCGCATGAGTGCGGTGGAGGAGTGGAGCCTGAGGATTTCAAAATAGAAACATCCATGAAACGCCAGAGCCTCAAGGGGTAAGTAAGGGAACTTCCGTCGAGTTTTATGTTGGTTTTTCTTCTGTGCCTAATTACCACGTCATGCATCATATGGGACAGCATCTTCACCAGATTATTATAGAATATCGGCCTCTCCAGAGCGAAGAACCTTTGTGCGCAAACAAGGAAGCGACAGTGCCGTAGCAATTGTGCCTCAAGACACCATCTAGTGGCATACAATTGAACCCGTTACTCGAATGGAAGAACCATGGTTCAGAAACGTCAACCGGCGTCGCGCACCCTCACGACGGTTTTTGTAGCATAGAACGCCTTCTTGGTAGAGACTAATATTTCTCGTCAAAAGTGAGAAACATGTTCGCTTAAGATGCGAGTAATGCACATGCACGGCCTTAACTAGTGGAATAAGGTTTCTCTATGTACTGCCGGACGACGGGCAGAAGACTAATGTGGATTAATCAGATCAGGCCATTAGCTTGTGCGAGCTCCCTTGAAAACGGAACTGGTCCGAACATACATGTACCTAAAAATGGTGTTGCTGCGCAGCAGGGTACATGATGTAACTACATGGATCTACAACCAATGTATTGAGCGATCGATCTACGAGCTCCCAACTATAGACCAAACATAGCGTTGATGCAAAATCCCAGAATATACATATATGAGTGTAGATGATATACTGCAACTCCCTGGAATTCGATGAAACCGCACGTGGTCATAGTCGTGACCGAAAATAAGAAGCAATCCCGGTGGACCTAGAAGTGGAGTATGCTGATGATGCCTTAGAGGCAATAATCTTCTAGGAGGATACATGTATGTATACTAATATATACGTGTCCAACAATTAGTAATAGTACATGTATGTATAATGGATTTATACGTCTCCCCTCAGTTGAAGCCCACCTTTTGTAAGTACACGCATGTTTCTATAGACTACGATACATCCCTGTATCTACTCACATGTTCGGTGAAATAAGTGCGAACAGGCGAACAGGACGATATAATGCCCTCACTCAATGGAATGCCTAAGTCCCAGAATATCGTAGATTAGGTGTGAATCTATACATATATGTATTCTTGATGTTTGTTTTATGGATTTATGTGAGTTTGTTGTCCCTTCCATAATTCTCTCCGGGTTCAGTCCACTAGCAGGCGCCGCGTTGCGCTTTATATAATATACGGAAAAGGCCTAAAAACACATGATGCAAAAGACACAGTTCGCTGTCACTACAAGTAAAAAAAGAGAAGAAAAAGAACAAAGCGCTCTATAAAACTATAAAAGGTACAAAACTACAAAAGGTACTGCAGCGACTTATTTAGACATTTGCGACTGCTACCCCCCACCCCTGGTTTAAACCCAAGACCTTATGTATAATTAGTTGTATCCTAGGTACTCTCGGTATCTCACCTGACGAGCAGTCTATCCACTAGACCACCCGCCCATAGTGGATGCTGTGCCCGAAGTGATAGTACTTGAGCTAGCTTGGCAGTGTGCCAAGATGAAGATCGAACTTGAACCCTGACCCTTCGATATTATCATTGCTCAGCCAATACGTATACTAATTGATGTATTCGTTTTGGATTATAGTACTGAACTGTCATCTTGCATTCATGTGTTATTGTACCGAAAACTGTGTCATTTTAGACCTTTTCCGTATAATATATAACCAGCTGTTTGATTAGTAACATTAATTATCTTAAATTTTATATACTTACCTTTTAAACAGTTCTGGAATTGGTATACTTCCATATCATTGGGGCCTCCTTAATCAGTGAATCAACTATATCATGTGCATACATGTATATAGAAGGAGTTTAATTGAGCCTCTCCTCACAGCGTGGGGAGGTTTACCGGTTTTCAGTCCCTCAAGATTACATGACAACCATCATACCTGGTATTCGCTCAAGCACTTAGCACCTCAACAACATCACAGATCATTCAATAGCAAACAGTTCAGAAACGCACAAAAACATGTATTGCTACGACGGCACCGCGTTCGAACTCAATTTGACTGCTCTCGAGCTGGATCAAAGTCCGTAACTACTTGCCGCAGAGGCTTTCTACCACGGAATATAGCGTTTGCTAACATGAGATTAAAGAAGCTATTGAAGTTTTCCACCTCAGGCCCTACGGAACATGCACATGTCTTTCCACCAAAACCTCTGGATCCATCTTCGCAAGTCCAAAAGAACAATGCAAATGTAAAGGAGACATTTACAACCCTCATTTTACCGATGATGAATACGAATCCTCCCCGAAGAAGAAAAGGAAGGTGTCTTGTAGCAAAAGTGAAGCGTTCATCACTCCAGACATGCAATTAAAAACTCATCACTTGGCCCAAGCCAGCACTCCATACCGTTTCGATTCTAGTTACAACCCCGTATCTAGGTCTTGCCTAACAGGAGAAGTCTCAATACTTTCCAAATACAAGGGCCCAGGAATTACAGTATCTAGCATGATCAGCCTTGTCTTCACAGTCCGCCTCAGTAATAATACCATAACGTGGATCTGGGCCGGCCTTGCACAAAACGGCCAAAAATACAAACTCAAGTGCAATGACATCACTCATATACGGATCTGTAGGCCTGTGTATGATCCGTACGATGGTTCATGCCAGCTTAGCTCCATCTACAAGACTTACCGCCCTATGTGGGAGGGGTTAGAGATTCACCACCACGAGGGGCGTATCGGAATTTCTTTGGATATTTAAATGACTGGTTCATTCTTTGAGATTTATTTCGTCCGATTCGGATCCGTTGTTTAGAGGATTAGGAGGATACAAGTGCTCTAGTGACGTTTCTTTGGGGGCCTGTCGACAAACTTTTCTTACCCTATACTGTATCGAGCAATGAGGTCTGGGTGGGCCGGACTTCTGTATTGGTAGAAATTGGGCCTGACAAAAACGAGTTATTATAGAAAAACATAGATACTTTCCCATTTTTTTGATATAAAGGGACTTCAAATACACCTATTATTACTGACAAGCCCCCTAATCTATATATAGCACTCTTCTTTCTCACCAGCTGATAAAAGAAATCATGTTTGTATTGTACCCCAAATGATACTGACAACCGTCGTTTTCATACTTTTGGTAGGCACTCGCTGACCGCCGACATCCAGATCTCACTGCTCGCTATCCCATGGACCGTAACTGAGCGATTCTGCACGAAATCCGGTGCAAATTTGTCACATAAATTAACCCAACTGCTGTAACTCTAGATTGGTTCCTTTATGCCCCCTGAAACCTGCAGAAGAAGATGATTGCCAGATAATAGTGGCTCTATTGCACTTGAGCTTGCATTTTTGTTGCATTTATTCATTGACTTATACCATAGAAATGGACGTAAAATATACAGGGTGACAAGATTTACACGGAGATAAATATTTCAGAACATGGCAACGTATCCCAAATTCACCAATTTTCGATGTCTTTTATTTTATACTGGGACCAATAAAATCGAAATAAATCCAAACAAGATAGGGATCAGTTATCAAGCGCTATCTAGTAATAAAATATGTATCAGAATTCATATAGATAAAGTGGATAAGTATCTACATTCCCACTTTTTGCAGTTTTCAAGTGTAAACCTATGAGGTTTTCAATTTATTCAGTCAGAATTACAGATCAAGAAGTCATATCCAAATTAGAAAATTATTTCTATATCCCTTGAGACTTCAATTTAACTGCGGCTCTACTTAAGGTAGAACTAATCAAAGCATACCAAATTTGCACGGAATCCCGTGCAAAACCAGTTACGGTCCATGGGATAGTAGCACCTCATAAATGACAAGTCAACAGAATCGAATTAATTTTAACGACGTACCCCTCCATAACGCATTGAACGGTATATCAATTCCTAGAGATGGAAAATCTGATGCCGAAACTCGTAGGCTTAGACCACCACACACGTTATCTCCCCTCTTCCAGCTTCTACTATACAACATGTACTAATAAACAAAGTTTCCCTTTAAGCTTCTACACGGCTCACCGTTGCTTATCCCTTCTCAGGGAAATCAATCCTACATATGCAATGACCCTATAAACAGTCCCAATAGCTAACATCATTCCGATATCTACTGCATACCTATTCAACGTGTAGCCTGTAACCTTCGACGCATGCTCCACATCGTATAAGTACGAAAACAAATCCACATTCCCTGTGAAATATGCTTCGACAAACCAAGTTGCCGGAGACATTCTCCAAAACCATTCTAGGTGCCATCTCTTTACATCGGCAAGAGTAGGTCCATAGCTAAAAGAAGGGGTTAGAAACCTGAACACCCAATGTGAGAAGTGTAATTATTCTTACCCGCACATAATTCCAGTGACTAAGCCGGCAATAACAGACACAAGTGCTCCATTCTGTCGCCTTGTGATCATAGACATACAGGATGCAAGCCCATATATACCTATCGATTTCCAATTAATAAAAGGTTGCCTACGGAGGTGTTTTGGGTACACTCACAATAAAAGTACACCATACAGCAAAGATAATTGTGTCCAAAGTCCATAGATGGTGTCCCCAACAGAGTGAACAAGGACACAAAATGCAGTGACGAGAATGCTATTCTGAAAATTGTTGATAATACCTTTCCAACATAGTAAGCAGAGCGACTATGCCCCGATGCAGTTTCCCTCCAGTAAATTTGTTCTAAAATAACGAAATAATGATTAGCGCAAGTCCGCATCAAGGCGGCAAAAAGGAGGTGAATATATACTTTCTTCGCCAAAAACCTTCACCCCACCTGGACCCCCCGCTATACCGATTGCCGTGCACGTAAGCATGCCAATTTGCGGGATTTTGATATATTGCAAAGCTGAGCTAAGAAGTTCATTGGGCTCCCTATAGATTCCGTGAAACAAATATCCCTTCTCTCGCATTGTAGCTAGGCCCATGAATGCACCCGCAATAGCACCAACAAATATTTCAAGATAGAACTCAGAGGTTTGTCGACGCTGCTGTATCAAAGACCGAACGAAACAATACCATACTTGTTTATACCAATATGCGCCTCTCTTTTTAATTGTCTTTGCAAGCGCATTTGATTCTTCGGCCGTGTTAGTGGTTGGTAGCGGTTTCGAGGGCTTCGATGTCTGCCATTCCGAAATAAGATATTGAATTTCATTTTCTCTCGGGAGGGTCCTATGACGGTGGCCTTGGCCGGATATAATGTCCATTACGATATCTGCAGGATTAAAAGTAGGCTTGAAACTAAAACCGTGGGATTTGAAATATGTGATCATATCTGCTCTCCCACCCTGCCAAAGCGGTCTTCCATCGGATATCAGGAGGATGTTATCTAGACACTCAAAAATCTCCGTTCTCGGTTGGTGAATCACAGACACCACTGTGACGCCAAGCTTACTGATTGCCTGAAGAAGCTTCACGACTTGCAAAGCAGCAGTGGAGTCGAGTCCCGATGTCGGCTCATCACAAAACAACGCCATCGGCGCTGCGGCCAGTTCTATGCCGATATTCACTCGTTTCCTCTGTCCACCGGAAATCACAGGCCGAATTGCATCACCGACGAGAGAGTGTTGTATATGAGTAAGTGAAAGGCACGAGATGATCCGATCAACGTGATCCTGTATCATTGACTCGGACCAGCTGGATGGGAGGCGTACTCTAGCGCTGTGTAGAATGTTTTGACGAACAGACAATTCTGCAAGAACGACGTCGTCTTGGGGGACATAGCCAATGATGCGTTTATACCTATGTACATATAATTAATATGGGCATGGATAGTACAGTAGGATCCGTATAGCTTACACTTTCATATCCTCTTTCACACCGTTGACGAAAAGAGACCCAGAGGTCTTATCAATCTTCCCCATGAGAACATTTATGAAGGTAGCTGTAAGCCAAAAAAGAAAAAGAAATCAGCGCTATACTTCCTTCACAATACGATGAGGAAATTAGCGAATACTTTTTCCAGCTCCAGAAGGACCCATAACCCCCCACATCGATCCTCTTTCAATACTCCCATTAATATCCGCTAACAACTGCCGCCCGTTCCTAAGGGTCAGTCCCAGCTCCTGGAAATCAAACGATAAGCCAACATGGTTTCCATCGATACATTTTTCAAATGATTCCACGAGTTTTTTCAACTCCTCGTTAGTTTCTTCCATTAGCTCCTCGACATCAACGACATGATTAGTCTCAATATCCGATACTGGTAGCACCTTATCCGGGTTAACATCACTGACGATATTCTTCCCAACCGTAGTTTTACTCATCAACAATTCTGAGCCTTTCGCCACCGGTGTTACCGACTGTGTCGGTAGCCCACTTCCGTTGCATGCCTGTTTTATTGTCCTCTTTCCCCCCATACCCCTACCTGTTACTTTCTTCCAAGCTCCAAACCCAAACAACATTATAATCAAAATTATATCAATAGCTACCGAAATACCAAACCCAATAACTGGCCTTTTATTTGAACTCCCTTCACGGCAAATTGTCCCAATCTTGCATTTCAATGGTTCAAATGATCCCGCCGGGCACCAGTGTCCAGCAGGGCACTTGATCTTTTCCTTTCCGCCTTCTGGACAGTAGCTGCCACTCGGGCATACTATAGGTTCGTAGAGGCCTTGTGGCTCACAGCTTGAGCCTCCCATTCGTATGATCTGGCATTCCGGCGTTGGGGGGCAGTATTCTGGTGGATGTATTTCGGTATTATTAGGGCCTAAATTGTTCCCAATTATCCATTAGATGCAGCCCCTTAATACTAATGATCAAGGATTTAGAGAAAAAAACTTACAGTAAAAACCGAGACTGCAGCTCTCAGATCGGGTGAGTACAACCCCGACTCCTCCAGACAAACAAGTCGAGTTTACTGGTACTTCTGCCATGAGAAAAGTGAGCGCTGGCTGAAGAATGGGTTTTGGGTTGGAATCTCTTTCGATTATAAACTTGATGAACCTAATGTCAATAGGGATTGATATCAAGTGACTGTGCCCTAAAGTAGTACTCTTTATGGATAGCGACAGCGATATGCGATATGGCTGTCACCACAGCTGCGGCTGCGGTAAATACCTCCGTATTGACACCATCAGCTGCAACTATTTTCGAGGCCACTGTGCAGCTAATACAACTTGTGCAATGTCTGACTGGTTTTTCCTTTGTTGTTTTTTCTTTCTTTTTTTCTTTTTCAAGTAGAGGCTCGAGGGAAGCGGCGGCTTTCTTGCCTCAAAGTGGAATGGTCTTAGCAAGCCATCTCTTGAGAATGGCCTCTCCCCAGATACTTGGCCCACAACAAAAATTGTTGATAGAGTAAGAGAAGCACCTCTATGTAGCCATGATCTCTATTGAAGAAACAGCAAATCATAGAGACAAAACAACGAGATCGTGGTCCTATCTCCTGGGCGATCAGCCCCAACCGAAATAGTAACCGAACCAGATATGGTCGAGTATTCTCAGCTGAACGCATTCTCCCCTGATCCCAGTATATAAATGGAGCTAGTTCCTTGGCAGGTGGAGCTCTCTAGCGTTTTAAAAGAAACTCAAGGACAGAACAAACAGGAACTGTCTTCAACAGAGCATATATACCATATCTGGTTCGGTCACTATTTAGATTGGGGGCTGACCGCTCAGGGGATACTACTTATGCTCCCCATGAAACCCAGATACCAGCTTCGATACCGACAGTAGAATTGTCCACTGCAGTACCAGCATACACAACCGGTATCCTAGCTAGCTGGGAGCCAAAGCTTATCCCCAGAGGCCCTAGAGTATCCTTTATATACACAGTCAGTTCGAGTCGGAATCACAAATTAACCGCATAAGGCAGTTGTGCTGTGCTGAACGCCGTGAACATTTATTCTCTCATTGAGTTGATAAGGGGTCACGGGTACGATCGAGTGACGGGTCATGATTATATAAGGAATTGAGGACGCTGGAAATATCCCAAATGAAGTCTCTATGATCAAAACGTATTAAGCCCCCCCAGGTGAGTAGGTGATAGCTACCGTCATCGAGCTAACATACCGTGCTTCTAGCTTACTTGAGCAACTGGCGCGGCGGCGAGACGATCTATGTTAAGCTTCAGACACCACTAACTGAATTCTCCTCGCCAAATGTCGATCGCCCCTATTCCTTCTGAGTGATATTTCTAGATGGCCAATTGAGAGCCTATTCAATCGGATCAAAGTGGGTACTCGCGACCAGCAACAAGAACCCGAAAATGCACGTCCTAATCTGCAATTTCCATTGGAGTAGAAGTCAAAATACACCAAAGACTTGTAGCTGCATATTCGGGTTCTTGTTGCTGGTCGCGAGTATATTGAATTCCGATCGATCCAACCACCACTCAGGGATTTCAAGGCAGTTCTAAGACATGCATTTAGCCTCACACAAAGGGGAACTCCATATCCAGTTAAAAGGGGGAATATGATAGAGAAAACAAATACATGGAGGGAGTTAACCTATAGGTTATTGGTTCTCTCTTTGCTGCTTAAAGGACTGTCGATTTTCTTTGGCGGGATGGCAACGCCGAAAAGCGCTAACACCTGTATTGACTCTGAAGAGATAACAAGGGCTCGAAATGTCTACGCTTCTTTGGCCGCGTCAGACGTGACTCCTGAACCTGATACGGCCGTACGTTCTCAGTAAAGTATGTGATTGATCGATTGGTCGACTTCATAAACCACGTATTCCGGGACAGCCCTAAGAGAACCCCTCCCTTAACCGACCAACTGGACCCTCCCCATGTTATGTATGCATGTGCACGTCTCTACTAGTATTTCTCTGACGTTTTTGAACTGGGCCATTATTGCATACACCCAAAATCATGAGCTTGGCGTATTTTTGTATGGCATGTAATATCAGTCGCGTCCACAAACGTCAGAGAACGAGTACTCGGGGCAGGTAAAAAGTACCGGACAATGCAGGTTTTTGGTTCACCAATGGGCGCGCGTGCTAGGCGTGAACTACTGCAAAAAAAGCCCAGGGACAAAACTTGCATTGTCCGGTACTTTTTGCCTGCCCCGAGTACCGCGCGTGGGCCAGACTAAGACAAATCCCCACACTCACACAGATCAGACAGATGCCTACTCAGATTAAGGTAGTTAGATGCGAACACATGCAGTCTTCATTTAGTAAGAACCCGGGCAAAGTAATTACTTTTTTTTGATGATGTCATTCTTCATATAATATCACTCGACACATCTTTCTACATACCCCATAAAAACCTACCTCACAAAAACAAAGACATGTCACCATGTAGTTTTGATTCATTGACCACAACCGAAACCTCATTCCATAGAGCATCAGCTACGTATACCCCATATTTCGGGATCAGGAGCTAACGGGGACTACCTCAAGATCATTCGGCGCAACACCTTCGCAAACTCAAACGCCTGGCTCTGAGAAAGGTAGATACCTCAAGCATCAATGTGGACTCCTATCTGTGATAACGAAACTACCACGGCCAAACCTCTCTATCGAATATCGCCGACCTAGGGTTCAGAAGTGATGCATAGATAGTTCTGCCCAATTCCATTACCAGCGCTACTTTCCACTTCCACTTCTACCGCGTGAGAGGTGAGAGGTGAGAAGTTGCAAAGAATTTCACTTAAATGGTCGGTTTAGTTGACTATTAAGTACTAATTATGATGGCTCCGGATGCAGTAAAGGCATGAGATTTCAACTCCTCCGTAGTACAGTTGCAGGGCGTGGGCCGTTCTAGCTCCCTTCGCTGGGATGCAGAGACTAATGAGCTCCAGGGCCATGCACAAGACTTTTCCGCCTATTTTATTCGATAAAAAGTACTGTACCATCATTGGAATCATTACTACTCACCCTAGTTACTACTCTCATCCTAGGTCGGGCCCAAAATGTCCCGGGACCACACGGTGTCTGCGAGAAGTGCAGTACGCTGACCGCATCATTTGCGACACATCGAAATTGAATATATTTAGGGAGCCAATACCAAGAGGCATTGGTAAACCTTAACCCGGAAATGCGCTAATAATTTACCAAGCGCATGCCATGTCACCTTTCATTACCGTCGACGTCGACAACTCCACTAACTCAGCAGATAATTACTTGGTCATGGTCATATCCACTATCCATTTGATGATACCGAATTCATGACTGATTTTTGCAAAAAAAAGGGTTGTTTGCCGTTGAAAAGCTAACTAAACAAAGGGAAATCATAAAAGAGAGCTCATATCCAGGGGCATTCTAAACCTATCCCCTCTTCCTATCTTCCTACTAAGACGATATCAACCCAGCTCACCGCCCAACTGCAACCATAATAGAAAGTTCCTAAACGCCTCACCATAACCCTCAAAAACAAAAATAGATAACTTCCTGTCGTCGTTCCAACACCCCGCAGTCTTAATTTCCGAACTTCTCACAATCGCCAGAACATTTCATTCTCTCGAGTAGATTTGAGGGCCTAGAGTGGGCAACAAAAGCTATATCTCGGTCTTCTTCTTCTGTGCACCAAACTGCGGTGTATCCTTCAAGACGACGAGGAATAAAAACTCAGCACTCCCGTCGAAAAGGGTCACACAAATATACCTGCCGCCATCTTCCAGAGCATTCGTACTCACCCTATACCCTATCTCCACAACTCTCTTCCAGGCGAAAAAGGAATTCATACCGCCGCACCAGTGGCCCATGAAACTTTCGCTGCCTCTGAGGTTGGTAACTTTAGTCTGATAGTAGATACTGATTGTCAGCATATATCAGAACAGTTATATTGGTAACAAGCAAGTATATGTATACAGTTTTTTGTCGAGACCGATGGCTTGATATTTGGATGTATATGAACAGAATGATGTTCAGCACAACGAGGAACCAGATGAAGTTTGTGAGTGTTATGTGGGGGAGATGATGGGGTATGTTTGATAAGTACGATGGCATGGTGAACATGTTAAGGTATGTAGGTGTATGGTTTTGAGGAGTTGAAGACTTGAAGATTTGATATGAGAAAGCCTGGGTTCCGCGGCTTTAAATATAAGTGGTGTGTTGTAAATACGTACTTAAGTTATGTACTACACATTATGCTTATCTGTTCCTTTGCTTTTATAATAGGACTCATCCTCATACCGCGCGTTTCAGAGGGAGCAGAGACGTTACCGCTAGACTGCGACTAGGACGCCACCTATCGCTCGTTCAGTCTACCGCAGAAGTCAAGACACAATATCGTTAGTTCTCAGATTCTGTGGGGAATATCTACCCTAACCAAATTCATGGCATGACAGCTGTTGTGGCAAGGCCTTACGGGCCAGATTTGTGGAACTAGGGCTAAGTGTTGCAAGGATATGTTACCGGTTCGCGGGGGAGGAAAAGAGTTCTGTGGTATTTTATCTTTCCCGAATTCAAGGTTCTGATGCACGTGTGTGGAACAAGAATCAAATCTTCCCAGATGGAGTAGAATCGAGCGAATATGGGCTTACATTACGTGCCCTCTCTGCTATGCATAGAGTGCAGGCGCTTACCTTCGTCTGTTTTGTGGGCGCACGAGTGGGGAAACGTCACTAAGTAACTTTGATAATATTTCAAGGTTCACGTGCTTTTGATATCTTTGTAATGTGTGTGTGTTATGTAAACTGCCGGTAGGTTACTTACTTCACACATGACATTACTCAGCGACGAACAATGTAACACTACGAAACGATCCGGCGCAGATGTTAATAATTATAACTGCATCGCCTGCTGCGTCTCCCTAGTCTTCAGAGACATTATATTGAAAGACTGGATGTATTTATTGTATATACTCCGACTCTGGAGTAGGTACATATGTGCAGCTTGTGAACCACTCCTCACGCTATATTTATCCCGCCCTAGCATTCCAACGCTGCAGAACCTAGGAGGCTGCGCCACTTCTGCTCAAAATACACGATCTACAAAAAGGAGCCCTAGAAGCATGACCTCTCTACAGAGACCTAGACCAGTCCAAGGCAAGCATTAGTTCAAACATCTTGTTGGAGAATGATTTCTATCAAGATGTGACTAGAAAGATAGCAAAAGAGAGTGAGGACAGGCTTTCTTACATGACCTGTGCCTGCATGTACTTTTGATACAAATAAACAAGCAGTATTCACGACTAAAGTGTGATGTTCCCGTATGTATGCAGAGTTCTTACATCAAGTGACTCTAAGACTGCTCCCGCAAAAAGCTTGTTTCTGTTCAACCCGGCCCCGTTTTAAATCCTTGGCACACCTCCCGAACCCTAACCCATGTTCAATCCCTACAGCTACCGTCGTTCACGGGGTATTGGCGGGTACTGGGTGTTGGCGGATAAGCCTAAAAAGAGACAGCCAAGCCAATTTTTGGCTTCAATCCGCCAACACCCAGTATCCGCCAATACCCCGTGAACGACAGTACTAAAGATGATGATAATGGGTCCCATTGCATCCGCATATATAACCGCTAGTTAATATATATAAGTGAGAGAGCCTTCTGAGCCTCCAACAAAGCTCTCCGCGCGCGCAAGCCAAATTAACTTTCAAATCAAGAGTTGAGCGAGTGAGAATTCATGATGAGGTCTCGTGCTAGGTGTAAAGCTTAAGTGCTGAATAAATAAGAGTAATAACGACTAGGAATATAATGCTTGATTAAACATATGTACGTGTTATAACAGTACGATCATATACTTGTCTGCAGTTGACATAAAAAGGCCTCCAGAGCGCGCAGCCCAGTACCGGCGCCAACTGCTTCACATAGATCTCATTAATGTAAGCTACAGCAAATAATATGGATCTCATTTCAATATAGTCTCAAGCCTCCAAAGTGTATGTAAGGAGGGTCCTTCAGCGAGTGATATAAGACCTTTAATCATGTTAACCCCAAACTAGACGTTGAAGAATTAAGAAACAAAATATGAGAAAATGGTATGCTTGACTTTAAATGACGACAATGACGCGAAAGGCTCGAACCTTGACTCCTCGGCCTTCCTTTCATGCTGAGCCTTACGCTACGCATCTAACACCTAACCCTAAAGAACCCAGATCACCGCCTAACCATAGACCACTCCGCCGCTGCAGAACAGCTCTCTAAGTACTTAAAGTACCCGCACTACTGGTATCATCCGAACTCGAACTAGCCACAGATCCAGACCCAGATCCTGGGGCTAAGCCGGAACCACCACTAGTACGTCTAGAACCACCGCTTGGGCTCCCTACACAACACCACAAACCGTCAGCCACGACCTTTCTGTGTTGACAAACGATATGACCCACCATCAGACGCCGGTGGTTTAGGCGCCACCTCAACAGGTAGACTCCTTGTTGGCAAGACGACTTTAGTAAAATAGAGCATTACCCCAGCAAGCGCAACAACGATGAGAACAGAAAGTATGATCAACAGCGTGTGGATTGGAAGGAACGTTGAGGGGCGCATTATGGGCGCGTCGCGCTTACGGTAGGTGCGGTACATATTTAAGGTAGATATTTGCGGTTTTTGCGAGTGGTTATTTAGGGGTATAATGGTTTTAATTCTGTGGATGATTCAGTTACCGGTGGACAAGTTTGGAGACAGAGAAAGGTTGGCGATACTTCTTGCGGGTTGAGCTATTGTATTTTTGGTAGAGAGAAGGGTCTTACTTTATTTTTCGCGTAGTACTGTGAAGATGAGTTCATGAAGATGCCATAGTATTCTAGAGTGAGGACAGGGATGGACTTGAGTTTTAACCAATCAAATCCAAAACTTTTCAATCATCATGTGAGAGAAAATTGAACAGCCATCGTAACGATTATTGCTGTATTGAGGGCCTTAACCTCCATAAGCCCTCTCCCTAAGAATGGTCTATATAAAGATCACATATAACTAGGACACTGGTATATAGAATGGTCAATCTTCTCAAATATCTAGTACCACACTCAACACAAGAAGATACCTCGATAAGAAATACGCTGTAGGCGGTCGACTCTTTCCAGCACGTGCGCACATGAAACAAATTTCAGGGTCGGTTGTGTAGGGCACAATAGCTCTTATGAAGTATATTTATTACTAAGGTTAGTTTCTCTAAGCACTACAATTTCTCATTACCTTAACCTCGATCACATTATACGAGTAATCATCGATCCGGTAAACCAAATTATTCACTCTCGTGAACAGGCCAAATCATGAATTATCACTCGGATTTGATGCTATGGGGGACACCATCATCTGGACTAGCTAGTACCCCACATTTCTAGTTGGTTTATGGCTTAAAACGTCTCACACACCAAAACATACCTTTGTTAATCAAGCCCAACAACAACACTGCACATACCCGACCATGATATGGTAAGGCGGATATCGATAAGGCAATAGCACCGCGTTGATATAGGGCAAGGTACGTCCTAGGCATGCAAGGGCTTGTTAGAGTGTTAGAGACTATATCTAGAAGACACCGCATCACGACGCCAACCTATCCGTTAGCGAGAGCAGAGCAAATAGCAATGTACATCTACTAATAGGCTAGGTACTCCTACCACGGTACCTTATCTAATCCAGACGGATGTTTGCCGGAGTTTTAGACAGAATTAAAGCAAGGTCCTCGATACTTACCGTTGAGCTTTAAAAACCATGTCCATGCGCTGACTCGCTTTGAATTTAAGGTTGCTTGCTTTTTTCTCTTCTGATTCGACGCGATGGACTATATTCCTATATGTTTGGTTTATATAGAATAGCGTGACTACCTATGCCAAAGTCGTGTTACCAACAGACGCCAGCGCGCCTAGACCAGGTGCTGGGCTCTAGCTAGGCCTCACCCCTCCATGAGAAGCAGTTCGAGGCTTTATGATCGCCTATCTAGAAAGAACAACATATCTACTACACTCACTCACGGGGTGAAGGCGGATCCTGTCTGACGGCGGTCAGGGATTTGAGGCCAATAACAGAGTTAGGGTATGGATGCCAAGGGCAAATTACTGCAAACAGAACCATCAGACAGGACCCGCCGTCAGTAGGTGAGCGACTGTACTGGAAAATGCCGGATTCTATGTAGACTCCGGACTCCGGAGCTTTGTGCATACTGGGGCTCGTGATTGAGTTCGAGACAACTATATATCCAGAAAGAAAAGAAAAAAAACGCCCACCGGAAGAAACACCAAGGCCGCTCTTAGCAACATACGTGCTCCCGACTCCGTTCCGACAGCATTAATATCAGATATATCATGGTCCGATAAGTAGGTAGGCTTTCAAGATAAACTGACGGCTGAATACCAGGGTTAGGTTTATCACCAAACATCCAACAAACAGTATCATGCAGCCTCCGACATATCACATTTGACAGGTTGTTCTAGACTTTCATCAGCTGCGGATATCATCACCAACGTGACTGACCGTTTAACAAGTCCAGATTCACCTAGAATCGAAGTATTCAAAGCCCAAAGGATGGATAATTCACAAAAGCCCAGTAGATACAATCGCTAATCAATAACATCGTCACTTGGCATTTTGGTATGCCGGCGTTCCGGTGTGAGGAAATTAGATTGATAGGCACCCAGGTCATGGAACCCAACCAAAAGAAAAGAAGTGTCTACACAGAACACAACCACAGCGAAGTGGTGGTCGCCGAAAAAGAGCTTAAGGAGGCATACAGCCGAAAGAACTCCGACCCGAGCCAAAAGATCGATTATCGATTATTTGGCCGCGTTGTGCAGCGTCGGATAAACAAATTGGTGTGGGGTCCTCTGTAGGTAGGTACACAGTAGCCATCATAATATGCAAGGTCCCGGCCGACCCATAGCTTCTGGTGATCTCGGTAGGTATTTGAGATTGATTAAATTTTTTTTTAACCGGGAATCGACAACCTTACATCAAAATGAAGTTTCATCAGAATTGGACACATATTATTCGAAACTTCACTGGGCTTTTAAATATATCAGTCAGTACTTTACTCGAGGCACGTCACGAAGTTTGAGTAAGGAAGATGGAGAGGGGTTACATACTTATGTATACGTTATGTGCTTAAGGACGCCCAAAATACCGCAAGAGATGAAGGAACGCTGATCAAGCGGGAGTCTAAATCATTGACTGGCGAACGAGGCGACGATTTTGGAATAATAAATAATGGGATCTAGTAAATGTTCGGGTTTCAACATAGATTATGGTTGTCGCGCGGTCCTGGCTGGGTGTGCCCCAGTTTTTTGAGGCTGAAACAGAAACTCTAAAAACGTTTATGAGCCGTGTTCCATTGAAGCGAAAGTACGCGAATCAACTACAGATGTGCATACACCGTGCCTGGGTATTAACTACAGCGCTGCACGTAGTTATTGGTGATGCGCGCCGCTGTGGGAACTGCGCACAATGGAAAGCACGATGGAAAACACAATGGGGGGAAGTAAAAATTAAAATAAAAGACTTCTTCTTCGTCTGGTCAAATAAACACATCTTTAGACCTTTGGCCCGCCACCCAGCGCCCTCAGATTTGCGGAAGGGATCTAGCGAATCGCCCCCCTGGCCCAGTCAGGAGAAACTGGACCAGTCGTTCGTCCCTGCATGTTTACTCTACATACAGTGCCAAGTGGTTTGGCGTCATGGTGAGCATTTGGGTTCGCCTATCCATGTCACCAACGTGCTCGAGGAGTACATGTATGCATGTTGGTTGGTCTACGGGTGCTTTGGCGCCTGGCTGGGGTGGTTGATAGAGCATGGAGGGCCTTTGGGGGGCTTTTGGAGGGGGAGGTGTTGGTTCGTGGACGAGCTGCTGCCGCAGCAACGAGGCATTAATGGAGATAAAGCAAAGGAGCTAAATGTGAGTGATAGAAAGACTGATGTTATTTGTATATCATAAGAACAAAGAAACAAACAAACAAGAATCGCGAGTCCTAAGGAGGGTTAAAGCCCGGCACTTTTGGTTCGACAGAGTTAGTCCAGGTTCAAGGCAAGTCGCTGGAAAAGGGAGGTTGATTTGTCTAATCTTGCCGAGTAGGAACCGTATCCTGGGACAGATCAGGGCTGCGAAGCCCAGGGAAATTTGAAATTTGCCTCTTGCCCTTTACTCTAGCCTCTTAATGGCTTACTGGCCTACCGACAGGGTCGGTGTGAGGCAAAAGCAATTACAGAACATCCTCCACACATTAACAGTATCTTCCCAAGTGACACCACCCCGTCACGAAATATCGCCCTCTACACTCTTGAGACTGGTTGATCGGAGTTGTTGTTGTTGCATCTTCTTGCGTTAATCTTCTACTACTCTTGCTGCTGGCCGTGCAGCTGGACCTGTCAAGCCTCTCTCACTAGCAATACTTACTGGAGCACTTTCAGCTCCTTTAAACCAACCATCAGCCAGTTCCTGCCCCCATCCCGTCCTCCATCTGTATCATACTTCATACATCCTCGCTGAACATCGCCATCAATGAAATGAAAATTCGAGTTCGTTTCTCCCCGCCATATTATCTATCTTGAAATCTATACTGTCGGCTTCGAATTCGATATACCCCGACTATATAGGTATCATTAACCAGTTACCTACCTGCATCCTGCATCTCGGACACGATAGATTGGAAAATAAGCCCAGACGGTTACCTGCACTATAGGCTTCTGGAATAAAGTACCTCCTCTGCTGAAGTAACGGATAGGGGCATTGAAGTTCGGAATAACTTTCTAGAGAAATAGTCTGTGGGGTAGATTAAAGGTTTGTGCTCTTTACTGAATACATATCTCACCCTCTCACCCTCTTCCCCTCCCTTCATAATGGAAGTGCAGTTTCGGTTAACATTTATTTCTAGAACTCCAACAATAGTCTTTAATCCTGTGCGTAGTTCCTACCGATAATATTGGCATCAACAAAAACAAAGCTCGACACAGAGTTCATCGGACAAAGCCAGTGATTAATAATATATTGAGCCCCCTATAACCTTGAAGAGGGAAGATATGGCAACCTCATATTTGAGAAAAGATGCCAGAAACGAAAGAGCCCTAGTTTCATTTAGAATGTTTGTTTCTCATCTCTTTATTTTATTCGATGAATCCACGATCCTTCCCATCCTATCTCTTGTTTTTTTGATCTTCCTCTCCCAAATCCCCAACTCCCAGCCTTAATACTTTGAGTACCTACAACCCCACCATTGGTTTCGCACTTCTAACAATAAGCAGAGTTCTCCCTGCAACGACAACACCACAATCTGTGCATTTACTAGGATCATGGGATAACTTCCACACACCTATCGCCATGGAACAGGATATTCGCGTTGGCAGAGGAGTTTGGAAACACATGATTACCGACAAGGGCGGACTTGAGATGGGTTCTGAATTTACATACTATGTTAGCCTCTCCTCAGAAAGAATCATTTTAAACGGCTCAATTAATTATTTGATAGTTTCTGCTGGATCAAAAGCGTTACATTTCAGACCCCGGCTCACCACCAGAATATACAACTGTTGATAAAAAAACAGGTCGGATTGTGTCTATCCTTCACGTACCGACTGAACTTCCACCCTCGACCGCGAAACCATCCCCACCTCCCTCCTCACATGTTTATATACCTGCAACTACGAATGTGTCTCCGGCATCCCCACTAGATGAGAGGGAGAAAACAATATCACCAGTTGGTATTATCGGGGCCTCAATTTTTGCAGGCAGTGGAAGTAGAGGGAAGGATTTCGAGGAGCCTAGGAGAGTGCCAGAGCACCCAACACATTCTCGTAATGGCTCCGGGAGCTTGAGGGACAGAATCAAGGAAAGGAGTGTTCGCCGTGTCTCTTCAATGTTCTTTGGCGGTGAAACCGATGGGCCCGCAATTGAGGAAAATCCTTCAAAGAGAAGATGGTCTCTAGTGAAAAAAACGTCAGGTTTTTTTCGTAGGAACAGGGTCGTGTCGGATGCTGGGTATAAAATAACTCAAACAACTGACAAGACGGGAGAAGATGTCACACTCACCAAAAGGGCACCTGCCCCTTTAGAATCTAACCACAGTGTTACAGACATTGTGGGATATTTAAGAGAAGACACATCAATTGAAGCAGCTCAAGATACACTGTCACACCTCACGCAACCCCCACGGGCTTACTACCATTCTCCTGTAGCAACAGCAACGAACACATACGTTTCTACTATACCTGATATGCGTCCACAAATACCAAGAAGCATCTCAGACTCTAGCAAGAAAACAAACGAATCAACAATTACATCACCCTCAATAGTAGAATCCATGTCGTCTAACTGCTCATGCAATGAAGGATCGGTTTATTCCTGCGCATGCTCTCCCATGGTTCAGTCTGCGTTTTCGCCTGAGAGCTGTTCTAGTGAAGACGACGAAGAAGAAGAGGATGCATACGAGGTCGAGACACCTGTGGATGGCCTTGGTATCACCACCCCTTATCCTTATCAGCAGAACGAACGTGTATACCCACAATATTACAACTTCGATGAAATTTCCGGTCATGTGCCGGGTGGAAACAGAGATATCGGGAAATATGCCGGCGATGTGATCCTGAATGAAGCCTCATATTCGGGGATGTCTGCCCCGAAGCCGCTTGCTTGCCTACGAGAGGAGGTTGCTGGTGAATTAGCATGGAGAGACGAATTGGTTGATGAGTTGGGCTACTTAGGCGGCGTCGTGATTTAGAGGCGGGAGGGACTACCAGCCGCTGTTTCCTATTCTTTTTATGATGCATCTTTTGATGAACTTACGGACATATATATGGCTCTTCTGATTATTATTATTTTTTCCCTTTCTTCCTTTCCTCTTTCTGCTGGGACGTACTGAGATTTAGTGGCGCATATTTCGTTTTTTGTACGCTACTTCTAGCGATGTAAAAATTATGGGGGTTTTTCTTTGGCTTTTTCTTTGCTATTGTTGCTAGTTTACCTCGTCATACTCGGTCATTTCTTGTTTCCAAAATCATGTTTGCATGGCTTGGCTAGCTATTGTTTTGGGGGGCAAAGCAACATTTCATAAAAAGCATTTCTTCTAGGGGGTCATTAGAGGAGTTATATCCTTACGCTCTTTTCATCGTCTCTTTAGTTACCTCATTATATGGACATAGCAATATTTTCCAGGTGGGGTCGTTCCGGAATGGACTTGCTCTCTACGAGCATATACAATTCAGTGGTGGCTATGGGAAAGGCGTATGTTCGGAGACACATTTTTTTTTGGCGGAGTTGGAGTTTTTATATTGGGCGGGGGGTTTGCCGTGAGATGAAATGATTTCCGATTAATAACGTTGATGGGATGGAAGTACAGGTCTAGTGCACAGGTGACAACCTAACGGTGCGATGATACGTGAACGGTGTGAGTTATACTGATCAACACGCATTTGGAATCCTCGGGGAGGAGGAGGAGGAGGAGGGGCCGGGGGAGAGAAGGAGGGCAAGAACACCGTTGTAATCGATGTGGATGAGGGGAGACTTAGGAACTAAAGTGACAGCTGATGAGCTTCTGCAGACATTCGATTCTGCACGCCTGAATTGGGCCGGATAGCAACATTACACAGGCCTGAGATGAGAGAGATGAAACCAATGGGGAATGGATAACCTTAATCGTGACAGCTGAGAGACAACCTTATTTAAGCCACCAAATCGAAGCCAGCTGAGTGTCACCCTCACATGCAGCTAGCTAAATAGCTACGTAGGACATACATGAAAATGCAGCTCTGATGACTAACGCAGTAGTGTAGTGGGGGGTGAGTTTTGTTTGGTGGTCTTGAAATTCTGACGGGGTGTATTTACTTAGAGCCCCTCCTAACTCACCATCCATAAACACGTATCTCTATCACCCAACCACCCGTGTACAGGAAGGTGATAGAATATCTAGGCTGTCATTTTCAACGAGGGAACCCGATGATTGGGTCTTCCCCCCAAGTCCCCCGTTATGACGATACTGTGGCCGGCCAAGACTGGAGAAAAACAGATATCTTGGAATTAATGGCCGCGTACACCGAATCGTATAGCTACGAGTGGGCATGTGTTAATTGTGGAGATTTGATGGATGACTGGGTCTATGGCGACTGCCCGCCCGAGTGGTCGCGGGGAGAAAAAAAAAGTAAGAGGTGGGGGTTCCACAACGTCGTCGGCGATCGGGAGGAAAATTTCCTGCACCTCAGCCAGGCCAGTATTTTGGGTGATGGGATACTCTCTCACAGGCCTATTCAACAATTGGCTACGGTGTTATATTTGGACGGACCATACACTTCTCACTCGACTGGTTCGCCCAGCAGGCCTAGCCGCCAACCACAAAGATTCTTAACCAGCCATTGCTTTTTGGGCTGTCGCCTAAAAGACCGTTACTTACCAGCAGTAGCCTATAGTAACTTAACGGCCACCTTCGTACCAGTGCCAATCAGACGGGGTGGTTGAGATATCACATTCTCGAGTCGCATGAATGTTCCGGGTGATACTTCATGACGCGAAATAAATTTATCAGTAAAGGAATAACGAACCAAGGGGGGGGGGGGGGGATAATTATGGAGGACACGCTAGATAGATCTATCTTTCGAAAATAATACCCTATCCAGCGGGGTTTATTCACTTTGTTGAAGAGGCTGTTCTACATAAAGGCTTCTCTGAGACTCTTTTCTCCGCGGAGGGAAGAATAGAAACCGGCCTATGAATAGAGTGGGAATTACCTCTGTTCTTTGAACCTATCCTGTTTTTACTCTTGTAAGATCGCGGTCGGTAGCTACGTATATATATAGATGGAAACCATGGAATATGCACATTAATCGAGAAATTATCACTGGTTACACCCAGGGCGTGACGGCGATAGAAAGTGCCTTTACAATGTGGCATTTTGTAGGGGGTGCCATCATTGCCAACGACGTTTCATCCTGATAAGTATCCGTGCCCTCTACAAAAAAAAACAGCATCTGTATTTTATTTCATGTGATAGATGCTTCGATCCAATACTGGCCAAAGGATGAAACGGATTAAAGCATGGCCGTCACGCAAGCTTACATATAAGAAGGGAATAAAGGACCTGCATGGGCAATCAGCCACTCCCGCATCTACGGCGGCTGAAGATTTCAGCACTTTTGAATAAACCTGTTTTTAATGTATATATATAATCTTGACTAGTCCCGTACCCGTACGGCACAATCTCGATATCGTGGGAAGCACAGCAGCAGCACACACACGCACCACGGCCTACCGCGGAGGAGCACAAGTCCCCGGCCCCGGAGATCAACCAGCTCCCCGATCAGCGAAAAGTTTCGGCCGATCGGAGGTTTCGGGGGGTCGTGGGTATGTGAGCTCCGATAGTAGACGTTAGCAATAAGAAAGATTTCACCATCTTCTTCAATCTGCCGAAATACGTCCACTGCATTAACTACATGTATCGGCCGAAACCCCATCCCCATCTCCATCCGGCCGAGTAGCACCCGTCCGCAAACAGCCATGCACCCAACAATCACAACCCATCACTCGGGAAAACCGGCTCTAGCCACATTATACGCCGGCACCCGCACGCACCACTAACGTCTACCCGCCGCACCCGCGCCCGCACAAACCCAACATCACCCCACCACCTACCCGCACAAACACCCACACCAAAACAGGGAAACCGTCGCGCCGATCGCCGCCGTGCGGGCAGGTGGCCGCGTGTAATGTCGGCGCGCGCTACCATAATCTGATGATCGTCGGGGGGGGGACCGCGCGTGTAACGACAATCGAACCCCCCGTCCAACTGCACCGTTAAAGATCACCCCTCAACCAGTCAATAGTCAAGTGGTAAGTTATGGTAAAGGAATAATTAAGGGGGGAAAGTTCAAGGGATGCTTATCGAGCGAGCTCTTATGATAACCACCCCACTGACCACTGACCACTGACCACTGACCACTGACCCCCCTCCCCTTACCCTTACCCTTACCCCGGATCTACATCGACACATCGACACACAGCGCTCGTGGGTCGTGAGGTCAAGGAGTAGGTACATATGTAGGTAGGTACAGAAACGCAATGAACAGCTCTCCGAGAGCTCGAGCTTCAAGTGACGCGCGCGCGCGGGCGGTGATGTGATGTCGACTTAATTGCTCCTATCGATATCGCCCCCCCACCCACCGACCGAGCTCGAGCTCGAGCTCCCGTGGTTAGGTATGCTATGCCATGGTATGGTATAGTATGGGGGGGGGGGGGGGTTCATAGCCTCATCCTCCACCCGCCATGGGGCAGAAGAGCAGGAGTAGCTACATACATAACTAGGAATGCTAGTAGTATGTAGGAAGATTAAGAGAAGGAGGCCCGTGAGCCAGGGACATATCATATCACCCCACTTCTCCATAGCTACATGTATCTCCTGGTGGCCTGACCGCATAGCTACTTATCGGGGGCACCACGTCCCATATCTACATACCGTTAATTCTCGAGATATCCACTATCCCCGCTTCGCTAAATCTTAATTCCGTTTTTTTTTTTTTTTTTTTTTTTTTTTTTTTAATTCATATCTTAATTCCGGGTGAGAAAAAAGCATGTATCTGCACGAATCCGTGAAGTTTTTTGGTGTGCCAATTCGCCTTAGTTCGGACTTAACATATACAAATACGGGGATAGTGGATTATATTCGAGAATGAACGGTATTTACATTTGTAGAAATTTTCCACACCTGCCCCCCCCCCCTTTTCGATATGGAAACGAGTGCTGGTCTGTGATGCGCGTTATATGGTACTTTTTTTCTCCATTTTTTCATACATAGCTATAGCTAGAGTTACAGACCTGCTGTAATTTGATTGACACCCAGACATCATACTTCAGATTAGACAACATGTACAAGCTTCCATCTCGTTCGCTTGATATCATCCCCGCTCCCCCAAAGCAACCCCTCGAAGATCCCAAACACACTCTTCACTGAATGTGCGGACTGTAGACATGGCGGAAACAGGAAAAGAGAAAAAGATGAAACCCCCCACTGTGCAGCGTGAGTTCAGTTATACAGCATATATATATATATATATATGGCGTTAACATCGAGTACAGCAGCTCCCACCCGCTCCTCTCCCCCCACTCCGACTACAAAGTAACGTCCGTACTGTTGATCATGATCTACGTATTAACAGTCCGAGCAGCACCCGGACTCGGCGAGAAAATAGAATAATAACAAAAATGAAAAGAAAAGAAAAGAAAAGAAAAAATGGAAAAAAAGGTTCCCCCTAAAAAAAAACTCAATATGAAAGAAGAAAAAAGCAATTGAAAACCACAAAAAACGGTTATAATCCAATTACACCGAAACGTGTTTGTTCCGTTCCAATAAACCCCCCTTCCCCTCCCACCCCTCCCACCTCCCCACCGGATGCACCCCGGCCACGAATCTTTTCAGGAACCACACTAGAGGTCCTTTTTTCACCCACGTTACTGGACCTGGACATTGCGCGATTTCCTTTTCCTTTCCTTTCCTTTCCTTTCCTGCAACATTATGCTTATTCGTACGTACCCGATGTCCCATTTCCGTACCCCGTGCCCGTCCAACATTCAAAGAAAGAAAAAGAGGAAGAAAAAAAGAATAGAAATCAAAAATCAAAACCCCAACCAAACCCAAAGCCCAGCGTTTCACACATTCAGCAAACAATACAAGACAACGAACAAGGAAACGACAACGGCAAAAAGAGAGCCATAGGAGGGGGAAAGGGGGAAAAAAGAAGTAAATAAATGATAAAGGTTAGAAGTTAGAATTGTAAAGTATAGATAAATGAGGCCACGCCGCAAAAAAAGATAGAAACGGATAAGGAAAAAAAACAACCCAAGAGAGCAATACTCTTCACAATATAACGAAGACACAAAGAAGTCAGAATACATTACCACGCCTCGCCATCATTCCACCGATCTCTTCGCTCTCGCTCCATCTGTGCCTCCACTTCTCGCTCCTCTCGATCCTCCTCATATAGTACATTTGCGCCCTCGTCTTCAAGGACTTGTCGCCTGGATTCTTCGGCTTGCATTCTCGGCTTTCCGTTGGGTATTCTTGGCTTCAGTCCACCGTTCGTGTAGCCGTTCGTACTTCCGTTGGCGTAAGATGATGACGAGCCGTTTACCATCTTCGACATTTCGTCTTTCAGCCCATCTCTTGATAATGCCGTTGCCGCCCTTTCGCGAGATGCTTGGTATCGTGATGAAACGTCGCCGCCTGTCCATTGGGTTCCGAGCCAGCGGTCCCAGCAAATAAAGAACGGTTGCGAGAAGTTTGTCTATAGGTTATCAGCAATTTGTCGAATCATATAGTGGGTTTGCAAGAGAAGAAAACGGACCTTGATGCCCCAGCCTTGGTGGTGAATATCATGATAACTGGCATTATTCCAGAAAATGTACTGCAGGGGATCGAACGGGAGGGAGTATCCGCAGTGATCATCGACCGTCTTCATGGTCGAAAATGTGAAGAAAAACACGCCACCGCGCACTTTCAGGCCGGACATCTTGAAAGCAATGCCGGCACCGAGCGTGTCCATCAGAAGACCCTCGAATGGATGGTTGTAGAGCGCACCAAACGCGTAAGGCACATAGAGGCGGTGGTGTCGTGAGTGGAATGTTTCTAATCTAAATTAGTTTCAAACGAAACGGAGCAGATCGACGATAAAAAGCGAATAAAGAGTGTAACTCACTATAAAGCCATTTCGACTCGTGCATGAGCCTGTGCAAGAAATATTGCCATGTGTCGAGGACAAAGATGGCGAACCACATGCGGGCAGCAGGGAAGATGTACCAGTACGCGATCTCGACAAGTTTGTATCTCCAATTCCCGTTATCTGTCGGCTCCAGTCCCATAAATTGCACCGCGCCTTCCAAGAGATTGTCCGCTCCGATAGCTGTGATTCCCGCAATAACCTTCTGCTCCAATCCGGCTGTATTGATTCCGACCATCTGGAGAACACCAGTAACCCATCGCTCTGTTTGCAAGAACTTTGAGTACAAGTTCAAGATCTCCCACCACTCGCCTCCCCTCATTTCAATTCCTTCGGACAAGCTGATCACCCAGCCAACAACCGATTGGATAATCTGCTGTAATATCACATCTCGCATGACCTCGCCTCGGGATACATGATTCCGTTTCAGTACCTCTGCGGGTGTGTGTAATCGGTATTTGGAAAGGAGGTCATAGGAGTCCATAAAATGAAAGATCATGGACAAACACCAGTAGGCGACTACTGGGGAGACGAGTAGTAGGACCGCATCCGTGATTGGAGGTATCAGCGGAGGAAGTGGTGTGAGTGTTGAAAGCGGAGGAGGAGGGGGGAGAATTGGGGGATTTATTATTGTTGCGTTCATTGAAAAGGTTGTTGTGACGCCACCGACGCCGTATGTTTATTGTAACTGGGCTGGAGTTTTTATGGTAGCGACCCTAGTTATACTGGCAAAGCGATGGTTCCTGAGCTGGTGAGTGGTTGGGGGGGTTGGTTGACAGATCTGGTGGAGGCGGCAACGCAAGGCAAAGAAGGAACAGAGTTGTATTTATGCAGAGGTATTTGGGGGGAGGGAGGGGGGTGGGGAGAGGGGGGGGGTGGTGTGGGATGTTATATGTGGTACTTTAGTAGCAATACTAGTATTGAATTATGTATGTAGTAGGTATTTATGTAGATTCCCAAATTACGGATCGGAATTGAGGTAGTGTTGTATGGGAGAATTCGAATGCGAAAGTGGATGTCAGGATTGGGGTCGGAGTCAATGCAATGAGAGGGAGAGCGAGAGAGGCCGTGCTGGGTAGAAAAAGGAAACCTGTTCAAGCTGGCTCAACGACAGAGAGTTTCTTGTCCTCCGGTAATACGAGAAGGAGAGGAAGTCGCGTGAGAGTGGCGACAACAAGAGGTGAGGTGAACGAAAGATGGGAGAGTTTGGGAGATTGCATCCGTCGTGGAAAGTCGACGAGGTGGGTGAGAGAGAGAGTCTTCTTCGCGTGAGTGAGAGCCTGCAGCCGCCCATCCCATTCACACCCGACTAACTTACATATCGCCCATCCTTACACCGGATTCACAACATCCGCCCCCCGGTTGTCTGATCATCCGATAACAGAGTCAACGGTTTGAAAGTGTGAATAACTGCATACATGTAAACATACATGTAGGCGCATACGAACCATCATCCCCTGAGAAAAACTTTATAAGCTTACTTAAAATCTGGTTTCAATCCTTCACATTAAGATCCCCCTCCCCCAAGATCAATCCCTCTCCCAGCTACATAACTCATGCTCTGCGCCGTCGCACTCCGTTTCAATCTCAATTTGCAGTTGCGCCTAGGTTGCCCGGCCTTTCCGGGACCCCCGTCAAGACTCAAAAGGGCCTCGAACCTGGTAGGGGGGGGAAAAAACCGTGATTCTAGGCATTCTTGACCCGCTTGCTAAGCCTTAACTCCAGGTACACAAATGTACCGGTACCTAGCTGACGTCACCAGTCACTACACACCGTTACAGCTTGAGTCACCCATATTTTTTTACACGACACCTGTAATCTCGCCAAGAAGCATCACGGTTTCAAGCTCGAGCCTTGGGCCCTACAAGGCATAGCATATTATTACATACGGCACTGTAGGACTGTACTCTAGGCACCTCTTCTGACGCCAGACGGATCTGACCTGCCAAAGAAAACCCTCAGGAAGCTTTGCTTCTAGCCTCTCGGGGTTCGAGATCCGCGTTCAAGGCGCTTGTTGCATTCGGTATTCAACCCGATTCAGTCCCAGCCCATGGAAATACATGTAGGTACAGCTACAGACAATGCCGTAGGTATCTACAGCGATTCACAGGCATTTGGCGAATACACCCATTTGGCGAATTTGTATGTAGCAACCAGCCAGCAACCAGTAAAACCTCGAGTTTGACTAAGATATCTTGATTCTTATTGGCCTTAATCCCTGTTCGCCAAATAGGTGTATTCGCCAAATGACTGTGAATCGCTGTACTCCTTGATTGAAAGGCGCACCTTGGTCGTCGCTCCGGGAATACATCGAGAACATCTTACAGGGCCGATCCTCAAAATCGTGGAGTGGAAAGCAGTGGATACCGATTTCGGTACCAGCATCCCCTCTTCACATCCAAGTACCTATCAGTTCGACACGTAACCGGATACAGTCTGGCGCGGCTAATACTCGAGCACCCAGTCATCGAATCAATAACAATTACTTATCATACGTGTTGAACGCGAAACAGCGGTACTGTGGGTATCGCAGTATTAGGGTATTGGCCGTGTCGAAAAGGTCGCCGACGGCATTCATCGGGGGAAAAATAAAATGAATCGTCGTGTGACGTCGGGCAACCGACAATAATAAAAGTAGGGGAACAAAAAAAAGCAAACGCACTTTCTGCTCGAGTCCGGTTGGGCCCCGTCAAAGTACGCGGCCTCCGACATTCCCGGATCCGTTCGGCTTCCCGCCTTCCGTGCGCTATACATAAATATCAACCCCCGCCGAAAAACTCCGTATTTTCTCTGCGGCATTTTCAATATGCGATCCGGCCATGGCGTAAACTGCGCACTCGTATCAAATTTTCGAAGAACGGACCATGTGCATTTGCGGGAATGTAGGAATTACCGCAAACCTGGGGTAATATGCAGTCATGGGACTATGTACGGATGTTAATCAGTCGGCGGAGTCATCTAATCAAAAAATATGAAATTGTAGGGCGGATGGCGGAGTGCCAGTTCCAGTTCCAGTGTTTCGTTTACCGCACTGTTTAACCTATCCGTCAAAAATAAAATGAAAAACAAGATATTTTCTGATCTTGTACATATGTCGCTTATGTAGTATATATTATGAGATATAGTACTGATACTCCGGTCTGCATGCAAAGTTACTCCAAATAACTCTACTCTACGCGAGAGTATGAAATACTCGGTACCTCAGCAGACAAAGTTTATGCGTGTGACGAGAGGGGGGCGATGACAGAAGCTTAAGTATCGATAACGTTTGTGTCCAGCGTTTCGGTTTGACATCTCCGAATATAAAGTGCACGCGTCTAGCTACCTTACAAGATCTACCCTAATTTGGCATCCTTGGAAGTGCATACACCTAAGCGTTGTTGACCTTTGAGGTGCCTACTCTACTGTCGCTGCGATTTGACTACCGGTACTAAGAACCCAAGTATTGCACTAGATAGAAATTGCACCTCTCTTGCGGTCCAGCTTCACATGCGGTCACTCAGCCCCCAGTGAATTTCTCCTTCGTTGGTGTATTTGTAATCGATATACCCAGTCTAGTAAAACTTTTACCGATGTCAAAGTCAATTGAGGTCCGATGCTAGCGAGCCGTGCCCTAAGTTCGATAAACATACATGTATCATTACTAAGAAGTGCCCTAGAAGGAGAAAGATTTCCGGGGGGAAATGCCGGAAATGACCAAATTGACAACTTCTGATATCCTAGTGCACTTTACAAACCACTGGGTTTAACGATAGTAGTACTCCACAGAGTGTGATTCTTCCAAATAGTAGGCAATGCTCATCCTGGACGAGGTTATCATCCGACGCAAAGTTGAACAGTTAAATTAATCTGGATAAGTTTTACTGCAACAAAAGTTCGCATGAGTCGGATCCCCAAGATTTCTTCGCCATCACAAAGATGTTTTCTTGCCGATATTCCCTTGACCGATCTGAACTTATAGCGACTGAAAGTGATCTCCGAGCTTTGAGATTTAGATCTCGGTGTCACTCTAGAAATTTACTAGAAACCCATTTATTAGGCACGTAAGATACACATTCAATCGTGCATATACCGTATGTAGGTATTGTCGGGTTCAAAAAATAACCGATCATTGGCACCTCGTGAGACTCATAGCAACCAAAACTGTCCTGCGAAGAAACCTCACATCGAGACCTTCGAGGTCAGAAGGATAAGTCCATTCTTTTCAAGCAACTCACTCCGTTTAGGGGACTTAAAATTATTCAATTGCTCTCCTGGTTGCTGGGTTATTCTGGATTTCGACGCTGTCGTGGGGTGATTGGTTATTTTTGGAACCCGACAATACATTGAGAATTAACTCTTATCACCCAGCGTTCATAGAGTTTCGTTGCTCCACGAGGTAGATTAGACAAACCCTAACCCATCAACGCAAGTGATCGAGGATCGAAACTGGGCTGCAGCTGAATGAAGCTACTAATCTAGCCTGGGCCAAGAACGTGAAGAGATCCACGTGTTGGCATCTTATTTTCAGCAAGCTGTGGCGGTTGATGGCGAGCCAGGGATGCCCAAACGGCGCGAATATCGAAATCCTTCATTGGCTCATCAACTGTCAGATAACTGTCGGGTAGAGAAGATGCGTTGGTTGACAATTGTGTTTCAAGATGTGAGGTTGGAGAAAGGAAACGTCTGAGATCTGATACTCTACTGAGGTGTTGGTCTGCGCCAAGCGTCCTGATCTTGCCCGATATAGCAGTCCGCTGCCAAGAATGGTGCTAATCGAATTAAGCTCGCACAAAAAATGTTGCCCCTCCCCCACCTCAACCCTTATTTTTCACCACCACCCGCTCCACCTCTCTTCCTTGTTCCATTCTCTACGGCCATTTTTCAATCCACGAAATAAACAACAAAACCAGCAAAAATGATCATTTACAAGGTTAGTGATATTAATGTTTCCTCGCATATCTTCTCGAGACCTTCTCTTCTGTATTTGATGCGGGGTCAATACAAGAGGTGGGGTAAATCTTAATTTGGGTGATAATTCTGGAATATCGAGTCTCCAGATAGCTATTGCTACCGCGTTTGGTCTTATGAGTTACTCAAAACCTTTTTTAACGGTTGCTGACTCTCTCCCACATAGGACGTTATCTCCGGCGACGAGATGATCTCGGACGCCTACGACATGAAGTTGGTGGACGACGTTGTGTATGAAGTGGACTGCACCATGGTTACAATTAAGAAGGGCGCCGATGTTGGTATGTTGCAAATCATGTTTTCCGAATACTCTTCCCCGACACTGACACCGTGAGCATAGATATCGGTGCGAACGCTTCGGCTGAGGAGGCCTCAGAGGAACTTGAGGATGGCTCTGAGACTGTCAACAACGTTTGCCATTCTTTCCGTCTCCAGCCAACTAGCTATGATAAGAAGAGCTACCTTGGCCACCTTAAGAGTTCGTGGTGTATATTCCTCCCGCCTACATTTCAATTAAGCTAAGTCTGTTTCATTCAACAGCATACATGAAGACTGTCAAGGCCAAGCTCGTCGAGAATGGCGCCGCTCCTGAGGAGGTTACCACTTTCGAGAAGGGTGCTCAGGCATTTGCCAAGAAGATCGTTGCCAACTTCAAGGATTACGAGTTCCTTGTTGGTGAGAGCATGGATATCAACGGAATGTATGTTTCCATAAAGTTCCTTTCTTGCCTTGATAAGCTCTACAATGAACGGGCCTGCTGACATGCGAATAGGGTTCCTCTTCTTAACTACAGAGAGGACGGATCTACTCCTTTTATTATTTTCTGGAAGCATGGAATGAAGGAGGAGAAGGTTTGAATTGCGCTGCTACATTCTATTTTTCTGGCAGGAACATATTACCAATCTTGTTGTGTAATTCGGAGTTGGAACAAAAAAAAAATTCACAAACTTTATTGAAGAAATCGCTGCATATGTGGAGTCGCGGAATCCACTCATTGATGATACACTGGTGAAATATTAGTGGTTCAAGCTTCTTCCCGGATAATTGGTCAAAAGCCAACTAGGATTTTTACTAGGATACTACCAAGTAGTGTAGTTGACATTGAGATATGCTACTTTATTGGTACTCTTAGATACATAGATTTAGTCATTATATATGTACTTGTATGAGCAAGTGATCAGCCTACGGTATCAGTACTTCCTTTACGCCCTTATCTCCCATGTCTCTAATATCTTCTCGGGGCATAAGAAAACCGTTTTCTTATAGGCCAATAGGTTCTTGCGTTCTACCAACCATTCTCCTCTGACCTTCACCTCTTAACGCCAGAAAAAAGCGAGTGATAATCCACGACAAAAGTTTCCTTATGCCCGAACAAGGCTCCTAATGATGAAACGTCTATATTTACGAGAGGGTTATGTCTATGTAATATCATTGGATAATACATGACCTTATACATGATGTTGGTGTTTTGTAACATACATACTGACTATACGACACGTATGTGTGGCTTTAATTATGGCTATAATCACCCTCTCCCATACCTGAATCGAGAGAATGGGATATTTCACACATGCATACTATTTAAAGGAAGGGGTTTTCAACTCTCAATGGGTCAAGACGAATCCCTGTCTGGAATACGAGTTAATAGTGCATGAGAGATATGGAGGTCATCCGTTTATTTACTTATATTCAACCATACAGATTTGATTCTAGTCCTCATATGCTTCCCAATTCTCCAAGCTTCCATAATCGTCAGGCAGTTGCTCTGCCTCCGTGTCCGCAGTATCGCCAAGTCCCATTACCTTATCCTCCGCGGTTTGCTTTTGGATAAGCCCGCATTTGAGACCCCTAAGGATATGGGCGTTTCTCTCAGACCTTTCGCTGGCCTCACATAACACTTCCCCCCCCAACGAGAACAGCCAACGATCAAGCCATTCAATCAGCCTCCCCCCCGTCCTTCTCTTCGAAAAGCTCGATGTTCTAAGAGCTTCCAACACCTCTTTGTTCCCAGAAATAGCCACTAAAATACACGCATCACATTTATTTTCTTGAAAAAAAACTGGCCCAGACTCAAGGGGGGCCTTTATGACGGGGAATATCTTAAGGTAGTCAGATGGCGTGGTCCAATAAGCGTTGATTTGCTTCAAAGAAGTGACCAGAGATTCAGCAACAGGATGCTGGAGTGGTACGAAGATATTGAATTGCGGCCCGGTGACCTCGCGGCGGACCTTGTGGAGAATCGAGCTGATGATGTAGGTGTGGAGAGTCTCATGAAGTTTGCAGTACCTCTTCGGATGCGTTCTCGACATGAGCTTCTTCAACCCTTTTTGCTTCTGTAGTAAGTGATCTGGCAATAATGCAATTTTCTTTTTTTCGTTAAAGCCATGGGTGGTGTCGGTCATTCCAAGCTCAGTAAGCCCAGGATCAGTGGTGTGTTCTCCCCATATTGTGTTTGGTGGACGATAGAGAGCGGCGGCGAAGGCGTCTTTGTCTTCTATGGAAAGACATGCCAGTGACGTAATTTTCTTGATGTTAGAACCCATTGTAGATTCTCAACTATTTCAGCCTGTTATGTGCGTAATGTAGTTTTGTTGATATTAATGAATTATCGTGGCACATGACTGTTGAGGTTTTTATATAAATGTACGCCTAAAGAAACTACATGTAGTCGCGCCGTAGTTCGTGCTAGCAGAATCTGTAGATTTCACGCATTCAACAGTCTTACTTGAATTCGAATAAAATCGAATTGTTCGTGACTTTTATGCTTGAAAAAGACCCAACGAGAAATCGTCATTAACATCCTATATTATCATACGTTGATAAACATCAAGGCTTTGAAAGACTAGCCTTTTAGTTTTGGGGAATCAATTTTAAGGGGATTTGTAATCACCCGAAACCAAGGCTGTTCATGATCTGTAGGCCTGCGCGTGGCCACCAGTTTGAAACCTCCTGGGCAGAAAACTGGAGCAGTATGTAGGAGCTTGTGCGGAAGGGTAGTGGCAAACGAGATTATTACATCGTCAACGGAAAAGTAGTTATCCAATTCAATATATATATATATGTTAGCTGTCGAATAATTTAGATTAGTACGGAGAGGTAATGGGTGAAGGAGATACCTTTTCTAAAATGAATCTTGACACTACTGCATGTGGTTACTTCCCGTATCTCATGGACATTTCGATTCAGTTTTTTAATATTCAATCTGATACTTAATTCGGATTTATTATGTACAATACTTACAAGATAGGTAAACAGTTCCATGCCGGGGATACGAGCTTTATAGGCCTATATATAGATCCCAGGACGAAAAAAAAAAAAAAAAAAACCGAATACTGATGTTTCAGGATACACACTCCTTTTTTCTGGTCCTACATGACACCCATCGTCCCATCTATCCACGTGAATCTTCTCATGACATCTCTCCGTATGATGGGCGTGACAAGCTGAGAAAATAAAAACCAGGGAAATAACACCTATGACCGCGTCCACCGAGCTTTGGCAACCGTAGAGCCTAAACCTGTGTAAAATGCAAGGCAAGTTGACATAGAAAACGAAAAATCTAAACGAGTGTAGTAAGAAACACTTCAAGGGATGGGCTAAAAAAAAAAGTTTCCGTCCGTTTTCTAACTCTCACACAATTTCAGCCGCCGAAGTCGGTTCATTATCTGAAAAATCACTATTGAACGAGACGGTGTCCGGATAGTCCTCCGAAAAATCCGTGATATGGTGTGAAACGACATTGTTCCTATGACCTTGATCCTCCTGCTCTGACGGTCTTATCGGTAATGGGTTTTGTTCTGGTAATGTTGGAGTTGGCGGAGGAGAGTCATGCGGATAGATTACGATATCAGAGTGCTGCTGGGAAATATTTTGGTGGAGAACTGTAGTATCAAGCCGAAGAGTTCGATTTGGGGCGACAGCGTGGAATGGCCTTGTCGGATCTGAATAGTTGGAGTGCGGGAGGGCTTGTGGCAGTGGTGTTGGAAATGACTGTTGAGCCGGAATCTGTTGCAAAGAGAGAATAAAACATTAGGAATCTCCAAGTATATCTGTAATTGAAGCAATAAGACACCTACAGTCTGATCGTTCCTGTAAATTCCAAACACAGCAGCCTCATATGTTGGCGGTTTCTCCTCCTCCTCCTCGATGACACGGGGTCGTTGTTGTCGCTGCTGTCCATGCCCAAAACCATGTCGGTTTTTGCTTCTTGTCCTTGTCCACCAAATAATTGTAATCACCACAGCCAACACAATGATTACAGCCGAAATCGTTATTCCCACCAGTGCTGCGGTATCGATCGTTCCTCCATTGTTAACTACTGGCACCGCGCTAGGTGTTGGCGGCGTACTGTAATCGGGACGATTTGGGTCTACTGAGGTTGGAACTGGGCTCCATTGACCATCGAGTGAACTGGTGTTTTCGGAGCGATGGGAACCTCCAGTAGCACTAGTGTCCGAGTCCTGGCTGGGTGCCGTGACACCTTCGAATGGCGACATCGTTGGCTGTCTTCCTCCGTCAAAGTATCCTTTTAAAGTATAGAAAGGGGGGGGGGGGGGGTAGAAGGAACTATAAGATGGATGGAGGGTGCTGTAGTTCCATAAGTAGTGTTCGAGAAATACACTCATGTGCACATGGTACATGTATGGACCTGCACACACACTCAGCTTCAGCCCCCGCTACTAGCTTATATAGGCAAAATGGCTGATGGCAACTATCTAAGTCATCCCAAAGTGTGGTCCCAGTAGCGAGAAGGCGCAACATTTTTCTTGAGCGGGAGGAAAGTGTGGCAGCCGACCCTTTGTGGTACCAGTGTAAGGGGAGACAAAGTTGGATCTTTACCATGTAGTATGTAGGCACTTACTGGGTATTTAGGGAGTCCTGCTTATTGCCTATTGTAGGGAGCGATTTTTATTTACATAGAATTCCAGTACTCTCTTAGTGTGCACTTAAGGTTTTCGATCTACGGAACGAGCCTGCACCTAATATTTGCGACACAAGAAGCTACCAAAACAAAAAGTTGGGAACTTTTGAAGTGAGTAGCCGGTTTCAGAACTCCTTTTACACTAGAGCACATAAAGTACATAAAAGTACATAAACCACATAAAAGTAACCATGTAGACACACGATATGACCTCTACGTCTACTACTGCTACTGGTGGAATTAAGATCGCCGGTATTTACCCAGTCTATTCCTGAAAAAGCACAATCGTTTGTTACTTTTTTGCCACATACATGTGTGACAAGCGATGCTGTTCTAAGACCAGTACCAACAACCGAGTTTGTATGCGAACAAGCGGCCAAAGATTCGAGACAGGAAGAATTTAAGGTGCCTTTCCCCCTGGACTCTCCGCTAGGGCCGATATACCTATTGACAACTCTGTAATGACACCATGCAGTGACTGCGTTACCTTAAAGTTCTTTGGCTAAGGTTCACAGTACGGTTGAGACCATGTTATCTACAGTAATAAGATCACATCTTTTGTCATGGTGCTGGGAAAGTTCGTGCTAATAATAATAACTCAACACTGCCACTTCTGGACGTATATAGAACACGACTGCTATTGCATACCATACAAAAAAGCGCCAAATCCACCTTTTTGTATGTCATGCAATATTAGTCGTGTTCGGAAACGCTATGAAATTACAAGTATAGGTATGTTAACTTAGCTGGGGACGCCACGGTATTTGTTATTCTACCTATGCGAGTGGCAATAATAAACCATTGGCCCCAGATGTTGCTGGTGTCCAGGATCGTGGGATATCGACCAGATGTTGCCTTACTGTGGTGATACCTACATGTACTCTAGATACCTGTCAAAGTGTAAGACTACCAATTAAGATTCAACTTGTAGGCACTCCAAATCAAGACATGTTTGTACATCCTTAGGAGGCCGACACTTGCTATTTCCATCAACCACTACCTCCAAATATGTATGATGATATATATGATCATGAAGTTGATGTCTGTTTAAGCATTTGTGTCCCGGTGGCTTGGGAACCATCACTTTCCTGGGGCATCCTGTGGTATCCAGTAACCTGGTTAAGATTGCCATAGGGATGTGGACATGTTTCAGAAAACATTCCCGATTTTGATGGATTAAGCTGCCGATAAGGAATCATGTAATAAAACATAATTAAGGTAAAGTATCTGCCTGAGTTACTCTACATGTACTTACTCTACTTCGTATATATACGTGCATGTACCTACTATAATGTACGTAGCACGTACTTTGGTTTCGTTGTTAACAGGCACAAGGATATTGTTAGATCTAGTTAGAGCTATGTAGAGTACCGTGCTGCATAAATACGTTGAATCCCTTTATTGGCGCCGAAATTACTCTACCTAGCTCATGCTGCTAAAAACCAATGCTTTTTAATCCTTGCCCATTGTACCATATTCTATATCCCAACCAACGACGTAATCGTGCTCCACTTAGCATCGAAGGAACAACTCGGGAGGACAGAACATGTTTGTTGGCGACGCAAAACTCATTATGCGATCCATTCAAGCCAACATGCTATTCCCCGAAGGATCAGTCAAGGTCATCTCGCCTGTGACTCAATAGTCTAAATTGACGACCGTCGTCTGATTAACACTTCCGCAATACCTCCTTCGATAAAGACAAACGGAAAGGACCCATATCTTAAACAACTCATCAACCCGGGGTCATTTTGCCGCCAGGAAGCCCTCCATCCCTTCCGTGAGACTTCATCGTACTCAGAAATATTCCGTTGGCGGAAAGGATGAATGTGAGGTTGGAAATATAACCATATTTATTGAAGAACACGAATCGATAGCACCTAACTTACGGTTTAGCATCTAAAAGTCCAGGCCCCATATAGTATCAGGGAACCCCCCGTTGTCAGTAGGGTAAGTTAGTACAGTTGATAAAAATTTAAATAACCAGTTTAGGTAAGTACATCGTAAGTATCGTGATGCATCACTTACTAGTTAAATCAATAGATGAATGTAGCTTACAGTCTTTTTTTCCACGGAGAATAGATGGAATCCATAAAAATAGGCCACTGACCGGTACCACTACTGATGCAGGCCTTAGAATAAGTACTGGAGCTACGATAATATAATATACTCGATGCGCACCCCATACACGTAGCTAATGGCTAGCTAGGCTCCATTAATCGGTATACGGTCCCTATAATAATACTATTTGATCCGGCAAATCTTTCTGTATAGAAATTGTTTCTCCGGACTAAGTGCGAAAACGATGGACTATCGAGATTTCATAAAATAATAACATTAGCTCCAGATATTGCCTACAGCAATCACATTATAATTAGTTAGAGGGATACCTCACACAAAGCTAAGACAGGAACATCTATTAGTGCCATTCCACTACCGGGCTATGCTTATCATTGGGCATCTAGAAGATGTCAATGAGTTAGCTACATGTAATTAGGAAGGTTAACCCCCGAAGTTTTCCCTCCTACTATGTTGCGCCGTGCATATAAAAGATCTCGTTCTAGGATAACGCTATAATCTTAGAGGCTGATCGACATCATATTTCAATAATAGTTAAGTATCAACCTAAAACTGCATTTTCAGTCTCGTGAAACATGGTATTCGCCCAGAATCCGGGAACAGAGGATCAGTAACGTACACATAGTCTGAGACAGGCTCATATATGGGTGGCTTCAACCGGTTTATTTCAAATCGAAAAGGCATAATGAATTTTCTCTAAGGCTCTTTTTATTATGCCCAAGACAAAAGCGAATACCTCATTAATATAAGAAACGGAAAAAAAAAAACCATGTATAAGCCGCCCAAAAACGAAAAACGAAAAACGAAAACGAAAAGTTCAAGAAAAGTCTGACACCTCCTTAGTTTATCATCAAAGTACAATCTCACAAAAGAAAATCCAATTAATCACCCATTATCGTCAACATGATGCACCTCTTTCATAATCGAAGAATCAAAGCACGAAGATAAAATTCGGAGGAATAGAAAGCCAGAGAGCTATTTCATTTCAGGAGGACCGAGACAATGTCTTGTAGCTCTTGAGCAAGCTTAAGGGCTCTTTCAGCGGCCGAGATATTGCCGAACCCAGCGACATAGGTTACATGATCGTAGGTATTGACGCAGTGCATATCCTGAGTTGTGATTTTGGTGTAACCATCCGAAGTGATGGTTACATCGATAACCAACCTTTCGAAGTGTAAAGTATCCATAACAGTTTCGACAACAGTTGAAAGGTCGCCCGATCCTTGCATTTTCGGAGATGTTCCGTTTCCCCCTGAAGCCATGATGGTTTTGTAAGGGAATCAATGAAGGTATGGATTGAATTGTGCCTGGTTGGTTTCATCAGTCAGATCTAACCTCCTTAGGTAATTGGGAATACTTTGAAGCAAACATACCTAAATTCAACTATGAGATAAATGGATTGTGGTGGAAATCTAAATTCTCGAAATAATCGTGGATAAAGTGAGTGAAGGACTGTGACTGAGGTATTCCAATATATGGCTCAACCTGACGTTCGCTTTCGAAGTAACGGAGAAATGGAGTAGGAAGAGAATATATATCTCAAATGTCAGCTTTTGCCGTCTTGTCGTGGAGATATGGGATTGCAGGCACAAAAGTATACTATAGTCCCGGGCATGTGGAAGGATCTAAACAGAGAGGAGATGGAAAGGTTATAAAGAGTATTACAACGTGGCAAGGGAAAGAAAACTACCGACTTCTTTGGCTGACCTCTAAACAGCCTGGTGGAGATGATATCTGTGGAGACGACAGATATGAGTAGGGCTAAGACTGGTTGGTTGGGATCTCGCCAGTAAGGCTTCGACCAGGTCTAGTGGAACCCAGTAGTGGCAGAACCAGTCTACGGGAGCGGGGCACCCGTTTCTCAAACCAGGAACATGGGCACCGGAAAAGAAATTTTTGGTGTGGTTCAGAAACAACCCAGTGGTTAACGAAACATGAATCAGAGGATATCGCTAAGATAAGATTCACTGCTGGAACACCGTCCGGATTGTGTACAGGTGACTACATCCATGGGACCACCATGGATGCAATATCTAAGAACAAAATCTCGCAAATTTCATGGATTCAATGCAGTAGTATTATCCCTTTACGCATGATTAGATTATTCTAGTGTATAAACTACTCTTTGGCGAACATAGGAGCCAATGGCAGGACGGGTTCTGACAACAACACCCGGGCAATGTTACCAACATATACAATGGGGCCATTTTAACGATTATAATTAAGTGAAAAATGTCAGAATAATTTACGTTGTTCTGCCAAAATTCCTAACGCTCTAATTGCTAGTTCAACAGCTATCGAATGCGAATTGAATATCATTCATTCACGCCTACTAGTATAATTAACTTATCAGTGTGTTTATATGGAGACACATATATCCACTGACTGACACTCACTAATTCATATCCCCGTCAATGACATGCAGAAGAAATGTCGGAGTTGGAATCAATACATGAAGAACTCGTATCTGCAGTCAAAAACCCCCATCGACGATACAAAACCTTGAGGGAGTGTGAATCGACCCTGGCAGGCATCAAAAAAAGGAACAGAACGCACGCACAGACCCTACTTGATCTATCCTCTTGTGTAACTACGCCATAATTGCGAAGCTCTCTCTCGATTTCGGTCTTTCTACTAGATACGTCCTAGAGAACCGCTGTGAAGGGTTTGACTCTGAAGATGGGAATATACTTTGAGGCCTCGCTGCTATTATTTAAATTACAGCCTAGACGGATGCAAATACCACCGAAGAAAGAGACTTTTCCTCAATCCCTCTCTGTCATAAACTTTAAAGGCGGCTTATGGGATGTTATTATTGTTCTAGTGTTTATAATAACGACGCGTTTACCGAAATCACCGCCATTTTGTTCCTTCAATTTCTTCGATAACGGTACTCCAACGCTCTTGAAAATTTGTTATGTAACTACACTCACTCACGGGGTGAATGTGGATCCTGTCTGACGGCGGTCAGGGATTTGAGGCCAATAACAGAGTTAGGATATGGACGCCAAGGGCAAATTACTGCAAACAGAACCATCAGACAGGACCCGCCGTCAGTAGGTGAGCAGCTGTACTTGTTATGGCATCTTGTGGCGAATTTATTTCAATGGGGCTACATGACGGTCTTGGGAGCTGCCTGCATGACGTTTCATCATTCTTACGGCTATTGAAGATATTCACTGGCCAAGGATTAATCATAAGGTAATTCCTAGCCATTGGTTTAGAGATCTAGTCAAATGCGAGCGCCGCGGGCCGCAACCTACCGTATGTAAGACAAGGCTGAGGGTTCGTTAAGATCTATGGTTTGGTTCGTCTCCATTTACAGATTATCTTTTCCTATTTGCATTCTACCGGCAATGCCTAAACGAATCAATCAGTTGACTCGGCTATAGTGTTTTATAGCGATCTACCGCATATCTATTGGTTAGTCTCCTAAAAACATACCTACCTTTGGAACGAGACAGAAAAACACCCATAGATATTCCCCTGCATTGTGCATGAAATGATTATTCTACCTAGATCCAGTATGAAAGAGGTCACGAGGGAGACCCGAAGAGCTCGAGGAGGCTTTGTATACGTAGCTTAGCTTTCTCACTAGCCAGTCAAATAAGGCCTTACTGATTTCCTTGTTTATTGAGAATGACGTTTAAGATTACTGTATAAGAGAAAATTTCACAACATAGTCTTCATTATATATATGGATACCCTCTCAATACGGTTTTCTAGCGCGATACTTTTTAATAGGCTCAGATCTCCTTTCTTTCCCTCCCTTCCTTTTCTTTAAAAGCAAAGTACCACTTATTACATATATTATAAGTTATTAACCTTGTCCCTGACGTGTGTGCATGCGGCAACATATCATGGCATGAAGAGCATGTGGTTTGATCAACCTAATCATCAGAACATTACATGAATCCTGTAGAAAAGCCCCGGCTGAGATCCACATACGTAGGAAACATTGCTATACAATTAACATAACTGTGTATGTTCATGTATAACGAAAGGTAAAGGTATTGTCGAAGCAGGGGCCTAAAAACAGGGCTTGTATGGATTTCTGGGCCAATAAGGCCTTAAGGTTCTTCCCATATACGTTCATGATCAGCTGCAGGGGAAGGTAACGAACGGCTACTGATTACGCTCATTTCCAATGACCACTGCAAATTGAACCCTTGTATTTTCAGATTCTTCTGCCTGTCCCGAATATAATTAATTCGATCATAACTTATTTCCCCCCTCTATCTATATCAACTTAGAAGTGCAGTGTCGGATATCTCTTACCCCTGAAAGCCCTATATTATTACATGTACGTCGTATCAGCGCTAGTGTAGGTCATCTGAGCTTCAGTCGGTCAATTGAGTGAATATATAACCCCTCGGCCTTTATATGTATGTTTTTATGACTCAATGGAAAGAAATGTATCTTTCGAAAAAATTTGATCGGTAGGTTGGGCGCGTGACGGATGAAAAAGAGGCGGCCACATCCAATAGCTACTTGTTGTGTCCGTTACCTGGTAGTCAAGGGCCGTTTCAAGTTCTGCAGTCGGAACTACATACATAAACATCGGTTTAGCTGAATAGCTAGTAGCTGCATATATCATCTTAGACAAAGCACATGTAATTATTAGAGATAGATATCCGGCAACGTGACATGGATGTTCCGGATCGCCTGGTGTACCAAACGTTACAACCAGTCAGATTGTCGGGTCCCTAGGCGCGCCCTTGTGCCTGTCCCGAGGGCTTGGATAAGCATCCATGACAAGGCTGGGCTTCTATAAAATCCGCCGAGCATAATATTGCAACAATGTGTCTGTGCATATTTAAAAAGCCATTGATGCGTATTGCGTATGTCGGTAATAGCGAAAGAGCTGCACATGACCATTGTATTAATTATTTAGACGAGATATGCGTTTATCGGCACACTGTGCCAATTGCACTGGTTATGAATACATACGTTTACGTATGTAGATATACTTGTATCATGAGTGATTTAATCACCCTATCACGACGTCGAGCCGTATCTCACGATGAACATCTGATTGTGTTATCTACCGCCTATAAATCTTTACTGAAGGTATGTACCTCCGAAACCAACGAGCATTGTGAAGTCATTTCACATCACTGATCTGCAATTGGTCACGTTCAGATGATCGTAAGATGCTCCTGGGATTCTTATAAACCTCGGTAGTCAATCTGGACTTCCATACGTGCTGAGACATTGGAAACTATCAATTGTTTTTACTTTCACCGTGCCCAAGTAATCGTCCGAGTTAGTTCTAGTCCCTTGACTATGGTACTGTAGCTAGCAAATGATCTGCAAACAATCTTGGCGTTGCCAAGGCGGCTATATCCAGGATAATAATTCAGAGCCACCATAGTCGACCCGTGTTGCCTAGATCGTTCTTAGATTCCTACGCGTGACCACTTCTACGTCTTCGACTTTTTCACGGCTTGAAGAACCACGGCTCGACAACAGACTACATACGCACTCACAACCTAACTTCGGCGTAAATATCTCAATTCCTTCAGTTTGCATGCTCGGTACCTTGCTAAAAACGACGCAGGCGTCACACCATATCAAGAGATGAAAACCAGGAGCTCAAGTAAGGCGGTCGAGAACAACGGACATGAAGCTGGAGGGAATGATTGCCCACGTGATGGCGCGAAAAGTGTTGGAAAGACGATACAAGTGCATAAAGGGAAATTGAGTAGTGATGCGGCAGGAAAGGAGGCAGAGACACCGAACGAAGTTAAAGAGAAATTACCAGTTTTCAAGAACGCGAGCAAAAATAAGGAAGCTGGGATGGAAAAGGGGGGAAGATTGCGCACTTTGCAGATAATGTGGAGAAGAATGAGCAGCGGATTGCTGGTGGGCAATGGCGCACTGTTTTCGAGGGGTTGAAAGGATAGCCTCGTGGGATAAGACCTCATCAAAATTCTTTATGGAGGTCCAAGATACATACAGAGCTACCAGTACGAAATGAGCAATCGAATGAACTTATTACAGGGAAGGAGAATTCGGAAGGTGATAAAGAAGAGGTCTTGCGGGAACGATATCGAGTTTCAGGGTCTATAAATCTAGATATTTATTATATAAGTATACAGTTTCCAATCGATGCATGGCTAGGTAGGAAATATAAAATATCAGAACTCTTGGAGTTTAGGCAACGAAATTACAACGCCCAAGAATTAGAACTCTAATTGCTACTTTACTATCGATTCCCAAGTCGTTTATCCATGCCATACAGAACCTTTTCTGAAACATACATGTAGACTTGCAAAGAACCTCTCCCCGTAAGAAGAAATTGGTTAAAAAGGCATCGATATTTTGCAACGCTTTTCTTTGTATGGTATTTTCTATTTTGTTGTTTTATTTGTTTTCGTTTTGCCACCTATCTCAGCTTATCAGATCAGATATTGTTATATAACCTCTGGGCCACATACAATTAATGAAGTAGTTAATTAGTCAATAAGAACTTCCTGCAAGTTCGACATAAGCATGATTTAAGGCCCATAAGACTAATACCAACTACCAACGTGACTTTATATCCCAAAAAATATATATAGTTTTCAACCATGATCTACTGATTCGAATATTCACATGATCATCGAGAGTTGCAATGAATTAAAAAAAAAAAGAAATCGAGAGTTGCAATTATACCTCTAATGATGTACGAGTGATAATCCATGATTAATGTATAGAGCATAATAATAAGAATGATCTCTCGTACTACGTAGTCACATACAAACGTGAGGTTATGTCGATGCTCATGGGATTACCGCTGGGGGAAACCTCCAAAACCCAGCCCTACTAGGTCGCGAAATGCATCAGTAAATGCATCACTTTTTTGTTTGTGGAAATGCATCAGCAAATACATTAGAAAATGTGTAGGGAAAGCCATCAAAAACATATGGGGAAATGCGTCACCCAGTCCAGTTTGAAGCATTTCCTACGTATACCAATTGAAAATGAATCAATTGATTCATTCCCCTAAAGTTTACTGATGAATTTCCCACGTGTTTCAATGGGAAATATATCACTTGATAGTTTCGCTGATACCTTTCCCACATATGTTAATGGATATGCGTCATTTGGTTCATTTCCCAACCTAGTAGAGAAAAGAAAATGAAGAAGAAGCAAAAGAAACCAAAAGGAAGAGGGGGGGGGGGGGTTATACTCCTGCCTGTTTCGCTATGCGGGCGTATATTTGGTTCTCTTAGGTGTCACTCGCGTACATCTACTAATATGTAGTTTGGCTCTACGAGGCTGAAAAATGTAACAAGAAATGTGTAGGAAATGCATCACGTTCCCCATCCCGCTTTTGCGAGAAATATATCAAAGTGACCAACCAATGAATGTCTTTTCACGCGATGGATCGCCACCGTTTTACTCGTGAAACAAAACAACAGAAATAGAGCTATGTGTCGAGTGATATTCCATGATCGAAAGAAGAATAGTTGGACTTTTACGAAAAAATATCATCATATAATATCAATCTATGTACAGCTTTTTCTACCGTTCGTAGAACAACGATCTAGAAAAGCACGTGAAAAAAAAATAACAAAGACTCCGAATCCAAAGAAAAGAAAAGACCCCAATCCGTAAATGCCCTGCTCCATCATCTGTTTGTACATTTCATCAATCCGTCCATCGGTTCGTCTCATACATATTTTTTTCTTCTTTTTTTTCATCCCATCCATTTTCCATTGTATCGCTTCTTAACATGGCCGCGTTATCTTGAAATGATTGGCTTTTGAGAACTAATCGAGGCGGGTGTGCGTTTATCGCTGCTTCGCTGCCAGAGCGGCGGCACGCGACGCTCTCCTGGCCTTGCCCTTCTTGGTGTAGGAGTCCACGAAAAAGCTGACAAAGAGATAGGTCAAAGGTGTGAGGTAGAAGCAGTTTGCAAGAACAGCCCAGACTTCCTCGGGACCGGAGAGACAGAAGACCATGCCTGGCTCGGAGTGCATTCCAACAGAGCTTCCGTTCTTCATCATCTCACCAGCATTCGCAGAGGAGGCGGCATTGAGAATGGTGGTGGCAGTAGTAGGGGTGAAGTAGATGAAGAGGTGGATGGCAGCTCCGGATCCACCAACGATGAACTGTGTGATCTGAAGGGAGGTGAGGGAGCGCTTAAGAGCGTTGGGGACGTGGATGTGGAGGGTTGAGAGGGTGTAGTAAGTGTACTATATATACATTTGTTAGTATACCGTGATTGAAGGTTCAGATGGGAGGGTAAATTACCATAAGTGTGTGGATCAGAGAGTTGAAAACACAGAAGAGCCAGATGGGAGGGGACATGAAACGAATTCCAGCCCACATGCAAATCATAGCACCAGCGTGATGGTACGTCTGCAAAAGGCTGCTCTTCTTTCCTTTGGCAATGATAATGGCGGTATCAATAACTTCATAGAACTTGCTCAAGTAGAACAGCCATCCGTAGAATGCAAGACCCTCCTCCCACATTCCGACAGGTCCTTGCAATAAATTCTCTGGCAATTGGGTCAAATCCGTCCCGAATCTTGTCTCTGGGCGAATCTTGCAAAGCGACTCCACGACCCCGGAAACACCACGCGTGGTTACAATTGAGCGGTGCACAGCCATGCACATTCCAACGAAAGTCCACAGCGAGTAGATAGCCAGGAAAAGGTTGTGGGCAATCACAAACGATTTGAACGCTCTGGTTTTTGAGACCCGGTAGGGTGTACCATCGCAGCGGGAGTTAAAGGCATGGACGACCGTCGCATACACGGCAGCAATTGTGAGAGGAACGGCAGGGTTGAGCAGAGATGTGTAGAGCGATTCTGAGATTGAGAACGGGTATACGCCAGGTGCGGGGGGGGTTGCAGGCGAAGCTAATGATGGGGATGGAAGAGCAGTGATCCACGAATTGGGTGGCAGGGCAAGCCTGAGGGACGACATCAATGAGGCCATTGTGTGATATTTTGGATCCTGGATATGTGAACCGGAAGGATTGTGGTTGTGGGTGAATGAGCGATGGGGTGATTGTAGAAAAGGGAGAAGAGGAAGGGGGGTGGTGGAGTGATAAGAGGATGGGGAATGCTAAGAAAGTTGGCCCTATATTGGGGACACCCAACCGCTATCGGGCTAGAGGAAGTAGTTCTGTTGGGAGCTGCACAACGCGTTCTGTGAGGGGTGCGAGGGAAAAAAAAAACGTGAGAGTGGTGGGGTTAGGGACTGGGGAGGGGGGTGTGAGGGACCCTCGGGGGAGTATGTACTCTATTCACCTATCTACTCACAGTACGAGTCAACTAAGGTTACGCCATTCCGGGGAAAGGTTACAGGGAAACTAAGAGACGTACTACTCTACATAGAGTAGTAATTCTTGCGACTAACTGAAGTAGGGAGCTTGCAATTGGAAGAACATCGAATTCATCAATTGAGGTAAAACATCATGTCGTCTTCTCAGCCTTTCAGAAACATCAATTCAACAATCAATGCAGGGGAGACGGATCAGAGACAGCGTAGGTACTCTAAAGATTCTGCTGGCTGTTGTGCGCCACCGCTCTATCAGGACATTCACCTCAATCCCTAGCCTATGGACCCTTAAAAATACACTTTCCGGGGCACCTATCGGGTGTTTTGTGTTCAGTCAACTCTTCATTGCCGCAGCTCAACAGAAAAAAAAAGGTCCAAGAGGAAAAAAAAAAGCTATCCAACAATCAACAATCAATAACAACAATAATAAAAACCACTCTACCTCTCTATCACACTCAACTCGATATCACATATCCCGCCACCAGCTGGGCATCCAGCAAAAATCTAGGAAAATTCACAAGCGTTCCAGAGCTTCCCGAGGCTGTTCTCTAGTGTTTTCCCTACAGTTGAGTCTTTTGTTATACCCTTAAATTTTAACCGAGGCAGCAGACAGGTTTAAACCGAAACGATACTCTTTTGAAAACAAGAACAGGGACCTGAGGTCGGGGTATCGATCTTCAACTTTTTTTTTTGGCGCCGTCGTCGCTGCACGGAAAAACATTGTTCCAGTAGCAGCTGGTAACACAGCCGTAAATTGTTGGGAATGTGCAGGGGGGTGGATCTGAGAGGGGCACTTCAAGTCTTCAACGGTCTGGTTGCCAATGCTTTGTTATTAACGTGCCCTCTACCCGAGCAGACCGAGCCGAGGGGAGGGAAGGGGAAGGTAGAAATCCCTGAGTAGAGTAAGGTTGCATGCTCTGAGACCACTCTAGAAGAGAGAGTTCATCTGGAGAGGTCGAGGGCCTACGATGGTTCGTTCAGATAGAGTCGGGAGATAACCGAGAGGATCTGGCTTACATACTCGACACATTCCAACATTCCAACACTCCCCCGCGGCCCGACAGAAACCTGATTTGGTGGGAAACCGAAAGTGTATCTAACATCCCTCCTTCTTTGCTGTATCGTCCTCAGTCCTTGCCATCCTCACCCTCCTTCTTCTCCACGACCTCAAGACCCCAACTCCATCACCCACATTGCCGGCGCAGCATGAACCTTTTGCTACCAACAAAAAGCAAGTCTCTGTGTAACTCGTAGTGGATATTTCTTCTTTCTGATCTTCCGAGTCGAATCGTTTATCCCTGGAATCATCTTTGCGGATCTGCGCACGCACCCGTATGGAGCCGACAGCGAGCAAAAAGAACGCATAGACATCGGTCGGTGGATAAGAATACTACTCTTATCGTTATCCGCGCTCTACAACGTCATCGCCCACACGATATGTCGTTAGCTCTTTTCTTATCGATATCGATCTGTACTGCAGGCAACGCAAAAAAATAAAAACACGAGTGAAATTTCATGATCCGGATTGATGTCACTTGGATCGACTTTGGCTCTACACGCAGCCAACACTATTTTCCAGAGGAGAAAAATAAAGGGGAGGTGGAAAGTACCTGCAGTTAAACAGCATCTCGAGATGATTTCTTTAGCCAAGACCAATTAAGTTGCTGTACTCACAGAAAAGTTTGGCCATACTTGGCTAAAAATCCCTTTATGAGCGAAAAGGAGTTTTGTTGCGAAAACCTCTTTACTCGTTGGCCCTGGTGTCTACCCACATGGAAAGAGGATGATCAATGACGACAAAAAATGAAGATGCTGCAAGGCCGGGTCTCCGGGTAGCTCCCTCTATACATACCCCGGAAATGGTTTGAAATGCTGAAGTCGGGGGAAGGGGATTAAGAAAGAGGAAATAGCAGGAAGGTGAAGGTGAACGGCAAGAAAGTGCATGAGGGTAAATGTGAGGAAATTAGTGCTCCGGATCCCCGGATCAGGTAAAACCCACCACCACTAGTGAGAAGAGCAACCCGGGACGAGCCGTAAGGTCTTGCATTCCTCGATCAAACCCGGCTCCGATCCTTTATCCAAGATGCCGCATGTCTTTAAAGTATATGGTGCGAGATTTATATAGCTAGATCGATCTATTAAACTGCATGTGGCCTTAACATTACCACGCCAACTAGGAACTCATCTCTTTCATAAGTAGATGCCAGGATTAAGGTGTATGTAGCAACAGGGCCTGATCGAATATTCTAGAATCCAATCCAGGCCTCTACATATATGTGCAGGCGATTTTATCTCCCAAGGGGGTTTACTTGCATGCTGGTAGAGTACACCACCACCATTACCCCCACTTTCGTCTCACCCACATATATATCCCAAAGGAACCTTCCGAATAGTTACGCATAAATAATCATTTATGAATCATCCCCTGTTGGTAATGCGTCACAGGATATCACCCGCTTAGTATTCTCGTTGCCAGCCATGTGTGGTTAGTTACATACGCATTTGACCGGAGGTCATTAAGAGGATGAATCAAATCAACTTTCCTTTTATACATTTCTCCCCACTTGTAGTAGTTAACTTTTAGGCTCTGGGGAATAGCTCGGCTCCTCTGCCGATTGGTTGGTTCGATCGGCATCTGGTAGGGTTAGGTCAAGCATAAAATTTTGGCCTATATAGATCTCGATATGTTAATACCTTCAATAGGGAGTATATTCTATAACAATATATGCTATATCTGATACTTCGGTTGGAGGAATGTTGTGTGTGGACTACGGACGTATGTTGGAGGTAGGGTTTATAAATTTCCGGCTTTTTTCTTTATAACGGAATGTTTTGAAACAAGGCATTCGATCTTGAATGGACTCCTCAAGAGAGGATTCAGTGGCGAGATTGATACCAAGTATATGTGATTATATTATATACATGTGGCTGTAGAGAAAAGACAATACATGTAATTATAGGAGGAACTCGAGAGCCACAGTCGATGTGTATTCAAGGAGTCGTGTCATATTGTCACCTAGAAACATCCTGCTGCAACGGAATTTGATTGCGCACGTATACACGTGGCGACGCTTTTAATTGGTATAAAAAAATATAGATAATTGGATCAAGTACTTTCTCTCAGAAACAACATAAAAATGACACCTCAGGAAGGTCCGAGTGATCTATCATGATTCAACTGAACTTATTTCTCCCGATCACTTGATCCCGACCACCCCACTTTCAGCAAGTACACGAATCTCGCTGGTCGCCGGTTCGCCCACTCACCTTGCCTCGCCTCACACCCCATTTAACCCTTCACATCCCCATCCAACTTCACACACTTCGCACTTCAAATAGCCTAACTACACATACACAGCCACACTTGTACTACTACAACCTCCAAGGGTTTACAAACTTTCCCTTCCTCACAACAATTCATCTAAAGTGCTGCTCTCTCGGTAATCTCTGTGCTAGAAACAAGACCCATGGGGAAAACAGATAACCACACAACCTGAGATAAACATGTTTCACATCGGAACTTGCGCACGTGGAACTCCTGGGGAAGGTTCTTTTGTTTTTCTTTTTACTTTTTGTTTTCGTTCGTCCGGTCAACAAGGCGGGGCCTGAATCGCATTGGTACTAATCAACCAATGTAGCATATGTCTCACCTGTGTACTCTACTCGAAAACAGCCATAACAGAAAAGGTTTTTTCAACGGAGATCGCCCGTACGGGACTAGAAAAAAAGAAAAAAATCACCCAGTTCTCTTTTCAAAACATTGTCCGACAGCCAGCTAGGACGAGCGCGCGCGTGCGGGCTGAGCCTTTTTGATCGCCAGGTGCCTCATACCATTCGTGCTGCGTATGACGCGAGAAGGCATAGTAGGTGGGTGTGTCAACTTCAGAGGAATTTTTTTTGTATGGGAATTAGAGAAAATTCCACCGTTGGGCTAGGCACTAGTACCATTATGGGAGTAGATCTCCCAATTTCTATAGATTGATTGGCTGCAAACGCTATAGCTTCTCGAGCCATACGTCGCCCAAAAGGTTATATAAAACCAAAACAATGTTTTTTCTTTTCTTTTTTTTCTTTCAGGTGGGGCCAGGAGTGACTCTCGACCGACAATTTTTGCCCCCTTCCCTGCTCTCTATAGAGCCGGAGAGAGCGAGAAATCGAAAGGCTGCACCTTGGTTTCGTATTTTTTTTCTATGTACACCACGAGGCCCGTGAGCGTATTCTGCAAGTTTGACGGAGTCATTGGCTCGAAGGGGATATATACAAACGTGCGCACGTCCATCCGGACGCCTGTCAATATACCCTACATACATATATATTCGCGGACATCAAACTAGAGCCCTGCTCGACGGACATCGGGGATGCAATGGTGGTGAGGAAATGGCCCGCGCGGGCATCGGAGTATTCGGTTGGTCGGAGATCATTTTGCGTGTCTGTAGGGGAGGGATCGATACATGTAGTTTCACTTTATTGTGCTATACTGTGCCGTGTGCGAGGCTGAAAAGTTCTGACGTATGTAATATATATGTAGATATATTGCGATGTGAGAAAGTAGGGAGGCCGAGCTAGGGGAGTAGGGCACACCCATTGGTGAGGAGTTGGCATTCCGAATTAGTGGTAGGGAATTCCCTTATGCCCAAAATTGCGAGAGGGTAAAT